ATCTATGATTTTAAAAAATATGATTAGTGGGTTCACAAACTAAATTGTCAGAGACAGGAATGTCTACCCTTTAGCATCTAGCCTCAGGCAAACATCTTGAACAGCAGAATGAGGGTAAAGCCTCAAGGAGCTAGCTGGAGTAGACACTTCTGTCATTTTCTTTCCCCTTTCCTTCTCTATTACCTTTCCGTTCTATTCTTGCCCAAAATATAGAGCTGAATTATAGTTTTCATTGTTTGATGAACTTTTTATTTACATACTCCCTATTTGCTTAAAAAGTTATTTTAACAAAACCCCCATAATCTCAAGTAAACTAATGTTTATATGGAAAGGCCACCCTGTAATTGTTTGACAAGCCGATTTTACCCCAGGACAGTCTCAAAATATTTTTACCTCATTTAGGAGTTTCCATCACAGTGAGAGAAATGGCAAAGGGGAATAGGGAGGGGGGAAAAAAAGAGAAAGGGCCACTCAAGGGAATAAGGAAATACAGTCAACCAGCTGATATGAGTTTGTCTCCAGGGACATTGTAGGACTGTTGTAAGCATTTCTGGAGACGTGCCACATGCAAAGCCATTGTGCAGATATGGGCATATAGGTAAGAAGCAACTGGGCAGGGCTGGATAATACTACTTCTGAGGATAATATTATCCTCAGACACAGCACAAAACAGAGTAAGAGCTGCGCATGGTGGTGCACACCTGTAATAGCAGCTATTCAAGGCTGAGGCAGAGGATTGTGAATGTGAGGTCAGCCCGGGGAATGTAATGAGACCCTGTTTCAAAAATAAAATAAAATAAATCCAGTACAGAAGGAGATCAGGGAATTGGCAATCATGGGAAATCATGAAGTAGCTGCCCGTTATACCCTCAGGGATGTTTCTTGGGTCCTCCGTTTCTGAGGAATTTCAGAGTTGGAAATTCCAATTCTCATTCTGTAGTGCTGCCATGATGTCCGCTCAGCCCCTGCCCAGATACCAAGGAATTCAAAGAAAATGTAATAAAAGTATATAGGGTGATATAAGAGGAAGAATTGCTGTCTTTATAGACTAGTAGAGTTCCATGCCCTTAGAGAATTGGTCTTTGGCCTGATAAAAGTGGCTAAAATGAGCAAAATGAGCAATCAACTCAACTTCTTTGTTCTTTAACAAAGAAGGCTTTTCTGCTGCCCATGCCTATAATAAAACTAAATAAAATATCTGATGTTTTGGCCACTTGTTTTACTTTTTTCTACAAAGCCTTTGAGAAGAGATATTGAAAATACTGAAAATTTGAAGACCAGAATTTTATAAAAACATTATGAAAAGGGTATAATGGCTATTCCTCATGTCTGTTTCATTCAGCCAGATTTACGGTTTATAAGGAGAGGCTGCCTCTCTTCCAGCTTACCCTCAGTACCAACATTTATTAAATCAAACAACATAAACAAGAGTCCCAAACAATCATTGCTGCCACTTCAGTACGTTTTAGTCTTAGGGACTGGTCTCCAAAATCCTCTGGAGCCAACAGAGGTCGATTAAAGTACTTGAGCAGATTAAGTGAATTTGATTTATCCTAATTACCAGAGTACATGTTCTATAGGAAATTGTTGGATCACATTTAAGTCTGGCACACACACAACAAATTCTTCAGATTTTCAGTAAAGTGAGAGGAGAAGTGGACTTGTTAGAGCAGAAGAGTGGATTAAAGGACCTTTTTTTTTTTTTAAGCATGCAATGATTGTGTAACCATCCATACTGGCAAGCAGTTCATCAGGAAGGACCTGGCCCATCCATGCATATTATCAAAATGTGTGCTAAAACCAGTTCATCTGAAAACACTGCAGACTGATGATAGTCAAAGAAAAGTGATTTACTGGAATTATTATGTCATGAAACTGATCCAGGTTTTAGTTTTATTTTCAGTCCCAGTTTTCTCACTGACTTCATGCATGGCTTTGGTTATCACAGGATTATCAGACATAAGAGAATTTAGAGATCAGCTAATTCATACCTTCAGACCCTGTAAGAATGGGTGCAAGACTTCTTGTTTCAAATATACTTTATCAGTTCCTCTGTTCACAGAACTGAAAATAATCAGTGGTCCTGCAGACAATGTGGGTTGTTCCAGAGAGGAGGGACTCCTCCTAATATTTTTCTCCTAGTCCAACAAGAGCCACACATTGCCTAAAGAGAGAGGATTGGTGTTCTTGGATGACTGTAAGGAAGGAGAGGTTTAATGAAGACAGAATAAATGGAAAGTAAATGTTAGGGAATGGGTTAGGTGGATTTAGTTGGATACCAACATCTCAACATTTTATTTTAGGAATGAGAGATGTATCCTCTAAGGAGAGAGACTGGAGTTTGTCTGTGTTAGCTAATCTCCTTTGCCTCACTGAACATTATGTCTCCTCTTTCCTGTGCACAATGTGACCACAGCTCCCTGCAGCTGCAGGCAGGCACAGGCCAGGCTGGGGAGACCCTAGGTTGCCTTTGGAGCTGCACCCATGTGTCCCAGGGTGGCCACGTGGCTTTACTCTCTGCAGACAGGAACATCTAATGCCAGATATGGAGTGGAACTCTCCTAGCAGCAAAACAGCTGCTGGCCCCCTACTGTGAGAAAATTTTTGGAGCTTTTTCTGAATAGATATAAACCTGTCTAAATGATTAAAAACAGGCAGGTTGACTTTCGCCATGAGAAGGAAAAGGGAGGACAGTTCATTGTCATTTTGTTTCTCGGATAGTGTGTGACCATTTCAAATTTCTGACTATAACCAGTCTATACATCTTTAATCTCTGCCTTACCATCCTGGGTTAAATGTTCTGACTCCAAGCTCTACACCCACGTTGATGTGTAACAATTAGCCAGTAACTATCCTCTGTTTTCAGATGTCACATTTTCTTGTCAGGCCAAGTGGTGGAAAATGCTGCTAAAATAAATGATTCACATGTATCTTCTAGTAGTGGAATTCAGCTATAGAAATTCTTTCAGAAGCTACTGTTTTCCAGTTATTAATTAGGAAATTTTTAACAGCTGTCATTTAGATTGTTCCTGTATAGACGCATAATATTCTGACATTTTGTCTCCTACCACAATCACATCTGGTTAGCTTTTTTCTACTCATCCTTCAAGCCTCAGCTCAGCTGTCACATTTTGTGGGAAAAACTTTCTAATTTCCCCAGACTTAGTGGCATGCCATTGACTCTGGGCTCCCATAGCATTTGGGGCATACTTCTATCAGGACTCTTGCCACTCTGTGGAGAAAATTTGGTCATTAGCTGCCTTTTGGATTACCTTAAGCTCAAGGGTAGGCACCCTGTTTCTTCATGTATGTAGCCACAACACCAGGCATAGTGCTGAGCACATCACTGGCACTTAATAAATGTTAGCCGGATGGAATGGCAAACCTTTTACAAACAAATTGGCTTTAAAATGTCACTGGAATAACTTCTACATTTTGGTATGCTGGGAGAAGTTGTGAGGACAGCCTGATTCAGAAAAGGAACACAATGCACATTTAGAAACTGGATGACTTTCAATGAATGCATTGTACTACACAGATCACTTTTTATTAAGTGGAATAAGAAGCAGGAAACTGAAGAGAAACACCATCCACATTTTATAAGCACAAATATACCTATTAAAAAGATGAAATTAATGATGTGTTTTCTCTTTTACTCTTTCCTTAAAATATATTATGGTACAAATAGGCATGTACTCTGTCTCTCTTATTAGTATCTCAGGAATCAGAACCAAGACCATCAAGTGGTCTTGTATTGAAACGTATGCTTATTTTGGCAAATTTAAATCATTTAAGAAAATTAGCAGTTAGAAAAGTTTCCATGTAACAGCTCAAAATAGAGAACCTTAAAAAAAATCACATTTGTGAAAGAAGTATTATATTTGCAGTATAGAACTAAAGTTTACACACAGAAAATCATCTATGATGAATTAGATGTTTCTTTTCCCCAAAAAGATTAAATGAATTTTCCTACCGAAGAGCAAAAATGGACTCTTTTGAGTGTCACTGTCAATACCCAATTCAATTCAGTGAATTGGTGACAAAGAGAGGTATAAAAAAGTGAAACTAATGGGAAAAAAGGAAACTCCTTCTTGAAACTCCTACTATATTATCAGAAATATCTAAGGCCCTTATTTTTTTTAAAGAGAGAGAGAGAAAGAATTTTTTTTTAATATTCATTTTTCAGTTCTCAGCGGACACAACATCTTTGTTTGTATGTGGTGCTGAGGATCGAACCGGGCCGCACACATGCCAAGCAAGCACGCTACCGCTTGAGCCACATCCCCAGCCCCAAGGCCCTTATTTTTTTGCATAATGAAATGAGCTGATAAGATATTGGTATTTTAGATTTAAGGAAGAATCACAAAATGATATCAGAATATGATTAATCCCAATGTGCAATAAGGGACAAACTAGAAAAGTTTTTTTTTTTTTTTTTATCATAGAACAATGTTAAAAATATGCAATTCCACTGTCAAAACTCTATTCTCATTTTATCAGTTGATGAAAGTCCCAGGATCGCTGTATCTGAGACCAGTATTAAGCTGTTTTAAGTATTAACTATTAAAAACTTTCACCTACATTTTTATCCCAGGATTCCCACTTCTTTACCTTCCCTTTTCCAGCATGAGACCCAAATTCTTTGGTGTTTCAAAACTACTTTACACCATGCACACCCCAATTAATTTCTGGCCCACAGATTTCTTCTTGTATAATTTTTGGCATTTAATACCAACATTTGATACCAATTTCCTCCTATTTTGTTATGCTTCCAGCTGCCCTGGTAACTTACAAGACCATCCTGTTGGCCCCTCTACCCCCATCAATACCTTGCCTATTTTCAAAATATGACTCTAGAGGTATTTATATCTCATTCAAAAAGCTAAAGTGAAATGTAGGTTAGACCTTCCCTTAGGTTGGAGAAAATGACATCATTTTATGTCTTATTGTGGTTATGATTTCTAAACTCAGAACTCACCTGCACTACCACTGGAGCTTACCTTGTGTCTGGTTTCAGATTTTCTATTGTGGAGAAGGTTTGATTTGTAACTTGAATGGACTTGTTCTTCCCACTGAATGACCCATTTTCTCTGGATATAACTTCATATTCTGTAAAAGTGAGAACAAAAATAAAAACACCTCAGATATTTGCCTTCATATACCAAGCAATTTAATTCTTCTTGAAGCTAATAGCACAATAAAGCCACACACATAAAGATGATTGTACTTCTAGAGACACATTGATCTTACTCGGTTGCAATTTCCAGATGGAATGGGAGCATTTTGGGAGATGCTTATGGACTATTTCTGCTTTCCCTTGAGCAGAGCAGAGGAAGGTCTGGTAACTGGTGAAGACTGATGACTCTCTTATGGTTTCTTTGGTCATAGAGCCCATGATTCTTCAGGTAAGTCAGAAAGTCTGCTACTTCCAAGAAGCCCAATTTGGGGAAAGCTCTGTATCAGGCACTGTGCTTGGATAGAAACCATGCTCATCCTCTATGGGGCTTTCAACAGAGTTGGGTTTAGGCCACTGAGTATGTTATACTGCTGCAAAAAGAATTCTTTGGGCTTAAAGCCATATCAGCAAATAATGGTTAACTAAATAATAAACTCCCTTCTTATAGTTCATTATTTGGAATTATATAATTAGGATTTTCTACCTATTCCTTACAAAAGTTATGCTTCCTTGGTAATTTTCTTCATATTAAATAAAAAATCATACCCTTAAAGCCTGCATATAGATAAGCATTAATTTCACTTAAAGGCATGTTTCTATCAACTTACAGGGATCATCAAAAAACAAAGACTTTCAGAATAAGCGACTTTAATTTACATATTTGTTAGGTGGTTTTCCCTGCTCTCAGTTGGGATTTAACTTAATGCATGTAATGAGATGACAGAGAGGACTGAAAAACAAGCAATAAAACAAACTACACCTCCCCACTCAAGATCAGCTCCATGGATATAAAGAAATACACATGAGCAGGGCATCACATAAGGTAGGGAAGCGGCAAAAGAGCTGGCAAGTTAGGCCAGGGATTTCTGCTGATGTACCAGACGAAAGGTGTAAGATGAACACTGGGAATAAAACCAAACCCAGAACAGGCCAGGAAGGCCCAAAATCTCCCATTTTAGTTGAAAAGGATTATTAATAGCTTATTTTTAAACCCCCAAAGGAGGATGGCTTTTGCTGAACATTTCCTAAATGACCATTCTTCTGAAAGCCAAAAGTTAAACTTGAAGACAGTGGCCACTGGAACTGGACAACAGCAGGGCAGCTACTGAAGGACTAACGACTACTAGTTAACTGAACAACACCTTGCTCAGACTCCCTTCTGATCCCAACTTATCTCCCTATCGGCTATTTTAGAGTAGAGTGTGGAAAGGGAGGGAGAGAGAAGATCTTCAATTCAAATCTGTTTTATATTTTTATCTCAGAAGGGATATTTGCAGCTGTTAAAATGTAAGTTAAAAAAAAAAAGAAAGAAAGAAAAAGGGAATCACATGACCTAAGGAAAGAGACAAACCAAGCCACTTGCTTTGAATTTCAGTCTTCCCATCTGCAGAATGTCAATAATCTCTCTTCATGGTGCTGCTTATGTGGATTATATTCAGAACAAATGGAAAGTGTCTAATAGTATTTTGAGTGATTTTACTCAACAGGTTGTACTTATTATTATTGTTGTTGCTTTTATTAATTCTTATCCCTAAGTTGTGTTTTGAAAATAGGGCCACAGAAATTTTCAAAGATTCCAATTGGAAAGATTCAAGTGCTGCTTAGTCACCAAAAAAGAAAAGAAAACCAAAATAATCTAATGGTAATGAAACTCTTTTATATGAAGTCTAATTAATTATGTACCAAAGTAATCACCTTTAAAAAAACATCTTTGGCTTGGGACATTCCTTGTTAACTCTGTGTTCTCCTCCTCAATACGAACCTGGACTTTTGGTAGTCAATTAGATGTATAAATACATTCTATGTATAATTCTTAGAATTATAAATTTACATAATTAAAATACTCTTATAGATGAACCAGAAAAGAAAATCCTACAGCCTTAAAGAGTTAAATCAGATATTATCCAAGTAGGTATGTATTATATAATTAGATTTAATAATTCTAATTTCATATCCTACATCTTTAGGGCAAATGAAATTTCAGAGACCATTTGGCTTTAAGGAAAGATAGCCTCAGACTTTCACAGGAACTCCTTATTAGCAAGCAAAACGACAGAGTTTTAGATGTTTTAATCCATTATAGGTATTCAGTGCTGAGGGACTGATTTTTACATATTGGGATGGTAGCACCTGCAGGCATGGTCTCAGGTGAACAAGCAGGGCTAGGCAGATGGGAGGAACATAGGCAGGAGCTGGTTCTTCCTCAAAGCAAAGGCTAACTTCACATGAGAATGCACAAAATATGGTAGAGAGTGCCAGCTAAGCAAAGATAAGCTGCTTAAACTGGAGGTTGCCCAGATCACATGGTTTTGGTTATGGAGAAATAGCTGTTATTTTCCCCTTACATTTTCAAAGTAGGAAATGATTTTGGCAGATCCTGAATCTCCCACCCTGTGCACTGCTCCTTTCTCCTGCTGACAGCCTCCTGTTGGCCCTTCTACTCCCTGCACCAGGTATCTGGCAGGAAGGAACTGGGCAGCAGTTGCCACATGGACTCAGGCTTTGTTCTCCACTGATTTAAGCCATTGGTCTTTTATACCTACTTTTTCTTCTCATGTTTGACTATCTGTTCACTGTGAAGAATCAAATTGCCATATAGCCAGTTCAAAGAATAGACCCAGGTTTCTTATTTTTAACAGTCATTTTTAGAGGAATTTGGTGGGAGAGCAGTGGGAGAATCAAAATTTCCTGAGATGAGCACAAAATCACCCAGAAATAGATTTTTTAAATGCATTTTCTCTAAAGACGGCCTGAGGCTAATTTAAAAGTTGGGTTGATAAAAGGAAAACTAAATATCATGAGCAGTGGCAAACTCCTTCTGTATTTTCTTGATAATGGAAAGACCAGTTATGTCTGAAAGGAGGATTCTGAGAGGAGATGGAAGGGGTACAGCTTTAAGAAATTTATTAAATTAACAGGGAGCCCGCTACAAGGACAAAGGTGATGTCTCCTATCCCATGACACTTTTGACAATGTGCCTTAAGGTCAACAGAACTCTGCTAGGACTTGCTACACCTTGGATGTCCTTCCCATGTCAGCTTGGCCCAGGGTACCCCACTCCATAGACCTTGTGCTATCAAAGCTTTCTACTGAGACAGGGACAGAGAACAAATAGTTGGTTATCAATGAAAAGGAAACAGAGGTTTCCAACCAACTAGAGGTTGCTAATAACTAACCTCTGGATCACTTCCCCTACTCAACTGGCTGTTAACACTTCCCATGGGAGGAGGGATTGTACTTTCCAACACAAGTGATTGCCCCCTATGCCTGCTCTTTCCTGCTTTGGGGCATGTATGCAGGAAAGAAAGAGAGGGTGGGGAGGTCTATAAAAAAGCAAGACACACCTCTCCCGTGGGCACCAGCTCTGGGTCCCAGCTTCTCCCTGGAGAAGTCTGCTATCTCTGTTCTATCTCTTGAATAAAACTTGTTTTCTATGCTTCTCTTGGTGTTTCTCAGGTGCTAAATCTTCCAGGGGGAACAAGGACCAAATCCTGATTTCCAAGACCCATATCACTATATAGTAGCAAGTCCTCATGCCATGATCTTACCAGTTACAGTGTCATTTAGTGGCTTTTCCCAGTCCAAGATGACAAATGAGGGGCACCCTTCCACAGTGACCACAGTGAGGTTGGTGGGTGGGTTCTGAGGTGGGCTGGTGGCATTCCCCTCCATGGCTTCCTCTGTGGGGAACCGTTTGACGGAGTCGGTGATGGAGCAGGGCCTGTTGTCTGGCTTTGGGATGTAACGCACATGAGGACCTAAGAGAAAATTCTGGCATTTTAGTAATTTTAAAACCCACGAAGGAGATGGAGGTGAGCTCATAATATAATTATCTGTTGGAGGGCATTGAGTCCCTTCATTATGGGCAGATGCTTGAAAGCAGTGCTATGGTTGGTTCAACTTGCTCATTTATTTACTTAAACAGTTCTATGTTGTGTTAATATTCATAATTAATTTGGACTCTATAGACTTGGTTTATACCTCATTATTTATGGGGTATTGAGTCTTATCTCAGTAGAGAATAATGAGCCTGACATTGAACATAATTCTGGTGTCATCCAATAAATCTGAGAAGTTAGACTCAAAAAGATCCAATAGTTCTAAGTAATTTATGTCCCCAAACAAGACTCAAGAGTACTTTAGGAATTATATCTATATAATTTATGTGTGTGTGTGTGTATATATATATATACATATATATATATATATATATATATACAACTTACATATATATATACACATACATATGTGTGTCTTTGTATATATACACAGATATATATATATATAAAAAAACATACCTATATATCTACATATTTGTCTCCATATATACACATATCTACATAAATGTCTATGCAAATATATAGTGTGTGTATATAAGTGTGCACATCTATACATAGATGTATGCATATATATATCCAGCACCCAATAAGGTGACATTCACAGGAAAATGTTACCCATAATGAGAAGAAAAAAATCAATAATTTGAAACCAATCCAGAACTTGCATAGAAGTTAGAATCATCAGATAAGGACAATAAATAGTTATGATTATGATTCACATGTGCAAAAAGTTAAGACATGAGAAATATAAAAAAATACCCAAGTCAAATTTCTAGAGATTAAAAAACTACAAAATATAAGATGCAAATTGCACTAGATAGAAACAATATATAATATGTTACAAAATAAATGATAGTAAACTTGAAGATACAACAATAAAACTATCCAAAATAAAATACAGAGAGAAAGAATTAAAAACAACCAACATCAGTGACTGTAGATGACTTCAAGTGTCTCATGTACATAAAATTGGAATACCTGGGGTAAGTGGGCAGAAAAAATATTTTAAGAAATAATGGCCCCAAATATTCCAAATATAATAAATTCTAAACCCACAAATCCAAAAAGTTCAAATAAAATAATTATGCATTATACACGAAGAAAACTGCCAATCATAATCAAACTTCTCAAAACCAGTGAAACAGAGAAGAATATTTAAAGGAGATAGAGGAAAAGATAGGTGTAGAATGACAAGATAAAGATTGTGGTAGACTTGTCATTGGAAGGAATGCAAGTGAGAGACAACGGAGCAGAGTCTTTGAATATGGAAAGAAAAAAATGTATCATGTGGGATTCAACAATTTGTGAAAAGATCTTTAAAAAACAAAAGCAAAAGATTTTTCAAAAATATAAAACCTATAAGAATTCATTATCAGCAGAATCATACTATAAAGCATATTAAAAGAAGTTGAGGAGGAAGGAAAAATGATACCAGATGGAAATATGAATCCACATAAGGGGATGAAGAGCACAGAAACAGTAACTATATAGATAAATATATAAAACACTTTTCTCATTATTTAAATCACTCTTCAAGATAATTTATTGATAAAGAATAAGAGTTACATAGAATAATGTGAAAGTATAATATATGACAATAATAGCCTAAAGGCCAGGAAAAATAGCTGGATGAGTGTAAGGTTCTTACATGTGAAGTTATTTATTTATTTATTTATTTTTATTTTGGTGGAAGATAGATTGTGATAAGCTAAAGATGTAGACTGTGAACCCCAAAGCAACAACTAAAATAACAAAGAGTGACAGCTATCACACATCCAAAAAGATAAAACAGAGTCATAAAATACTCAATCTAAAAGTAGGTTAAAAAACAGGACAAGAGGGAGCAAAGGATAGATGGGATGAATAGAAAATAAATAATGAGATAAAGGTTAAACCTAATAATATCAATAATCATATTAAATGTAAGGTTCTATGTAATCCAAATAAAATGAAAAGATTGTTAGATTAAATAGAAAAGCAAGACCCAATCATAAAAAACACACTTTAAACATCAAGAGACTAATAGGTTAAAAATAAAAAGATGAAAATACACGACACTAGTCAAAAGAAAGTATGACTGAATATGTCAACGAATTAGATTTCAGAGTCAATAATATCACCAGAAACAGAAAAGGTAATTTCATAAGGATAAAGAATCAATTAATCAGGAGTTTATTATAATCCTAAATAATTTAGGTCTGCACTTCATTACACACATTTAAAACACGTGGCACAAAACAAGATAAAATCACAAGAAGAAATAAATTCATGATTATAGTCCATGATTTCAATACTCTTCTCTTTTTGATGATAGAGCAAGTATACAGAAAATCAGTAATCACATGGCATAACTGCACAGTACAAACAACTTGACCTAACAGACATTCATACCATACTATGGACCGAATTTGCATTCCTCTAAAATTCATTTGTTGAAGTTCTAAGTTCCAATGTTACTAATTTCGAGTAGGGACTTAAATGAATGAGGTCATAAGGGTTGAGTCCTAATCTAATCTGACTGGTATCCTCTCTTTATCAGAAAAGAGATATTAGAGATGTATAAACCCAGAGAAAAGACCATATAAAGTCTCAGGGAGAAGGGGCCATCTGCAAGTCAGGAGAAACCAAACCTGCCAATCTCAAACTTCTTACCTCCAGAAGTGTGAGATAATATCTTTCTATTGCATGAGCCATCAAGTCTATGTTTGTTATGACAGCCCTGGCAAGTTAATTCAGCATTCCATTTAAGAAAAAAAAAATACATTCTTTTCACACAGCATACGTACCAAGATGTACTATGTTCTAGGCCATAAAAAAAAGATCTCATCAAATTTAAAAGGATTCAAGTAATACAGGGTATCAAACGATACTGGAACTAAATTAGAATTAATAACAGAATGATCTCTGGAATATTTCCAAATATTTGGAAATTTAACAACACACTTCTAAATTATCAATAGGCCAAAGGAAAAAAATCAAGAGAGCAATTAGCATTTTGAACAGAATGAAATAAAGACAAAATATATAAAAAATTGGTGGATGCTACTTGAGTAATATCTAGTGGGAAATATGTAGCACTAATTTCTATATTAGAAAAGAAGAGCAGGAGCTGGGGGTGTAGCTTAGTTGTACAATACTTGCCCAGCATTTGTGAGGCTTTGGGTTTGACAAGAGAGTGGTCTCAAATCAATGAATTCATCTTTTATTTCAAGAAACAAAAGTCAGAAAAGCAAATTAAAACAAAATTAAGCAGAAGGAAGAGTAGAAAGAAATGAAACAGACACAGAAAAAAATAATGGAGAAAATTAGTAATACAAAAAGTTGGCCTTTTGAAAAGATCAAAAAAAAATTCATAAACTTAAGCCAGACTGATAAGGCAAAAATAAGTAAATAAATAAAAGACATTAATAACATCAAGAATGAGAAAAGTGACATCAACACAGATTCTTCAGACATTAAAATTATAATAAGGGAATATTATAAGCAACTTTATGCAAATAAAGTTGACTACTTAGATGAAATGCGCTAGTATTTTAAAAAACATTACCAGAGCTTCCTAAGGAAGGCAAAATATTCTGAATAGCCGTATACTTAGTAAAGAAAGTAAATTTATATATTAAAAACATTCCCACAGAGAATGTGAGACTCAGACAGCTGCAGTGGTAAATATTACTAAACATTTAGGAAAGAAGCAATAACAATTCTAACAAACTCTTCCAGAAAACTGAAGAGGCAATTTCAGCATTATTCTAATACTAAGCTAGACTAGACATTACAAGATCCACATATATATGGACAATTGATTTTTGACAAAGGTATAAATACAATTCAGTGGAGAAAGGAGTCATTTCAAATGATGCTACAACAACTGGATACTCACAAGCAAGAAAGGACATGTGTTCATAGTTTGTATCATATACAAAATCAATATACATCGTTCACTCAATGTTCATCAAAAATCTAAATGCAAAAATGTAAAACTTCTAGAGGGAAATCATGTGGGAGTTTCTCTTTGTGACTTTTGATTAACCAATAATTTATTAGACAACACAAAAAAATCCAGATATTAGAATGATAGTAAAGAAATATTATGAACTGAATGTAAATAGATTTGACAACTTAGATAAAATGGACTAACTGCTTGAAAGATACAACCTACCAAAGTTGAATAAAAAAGAAACAATACTGGAGAAAAAATTTAATGGAAAGTACTATACTTATTAAAGAAAGTGCATTTCATATAAAAATTGGCAAATAGCTTCATTAATTAAAAAGAGAAGACACATACTGGGAGAAAATATTTGCAATGCACGTTTCTGAATATACTCAAAATTCAACAACAGGTAGACAAACAATTCCATTTAAAATGTGGGCAAAGCCAGGTGTGGTGGCAGATGTCTGTAATCCCAGCAGCTCAGGAGGCTGAGACAAGAGGATTGCAAGTTCAAAGCCAGCCTCAGCAACTTAGTGAGGCCCTAAGCAATTCAGTGAGACCCTGATTCTAAATAAAATACAAAATAGGGCTGGGGATGTGGCTTTGTGGTTAAGTGCCCCTGAGTTCAATTCCCAGTACAACACCCCCTCAAAATAGGCAAAGTTTGGATATACCAAAAATATAGATGGATGGAAAATAAATGCAGAAATGAAAGCACATTTCCATACAAACGTGTACACGAGTGATCACAGTAATTTTATTGATAATGTAAAAAAGAAATTATAAACTCTTGAATATCATGAATAGGTTTAGAGAAAAAAATATTTTATATCCGTATAATAGAATACTAGTCAGTAATAAAAAGAATTGGGCTACTGGTACACAGAGTAACATGGATAAGTCTCCAAATAACTATGTTGAGCCAAATAAGCCAGACAAAAAAAAGAGTTCATAGTGTAAGTTTTCTTTTATATAAAATTCTGTAATGTGCATACTAATATATGGTATAGCACATCTGTGGTTACCTAGGGACTAGGGATAGATGAGGGACCTGAGGGGGAGGGATTATAAAGGATCATGACAAATGTCTGCAAATCACACTGTGTTCATTATTTTGATTGTGATAATGGCTCCATAGGTGAATATGTACATTAAAATTTATCAAATTTTACACTTCAGAAAAAAAATTACAAAGGAATATTATGTTTCTCCTACTGTGGTACATTAGATTATTATTCAAACATATTCTCTGTGTCCATGGAAGGAGTAAACTTCCCCATCCTTGGTTGAGCTTGGCTATGTGACCTTTTTGCCCAATGTTTATTGGCAGATACTACATAAAAATGAGCTTGAAATGTGGCTGTGTATTTGGATGGCATGTCTCTTTGCTCTGTATTACTATAAGAATGGCTTCTCCTGGTTCACTGTTGGTTCCTTATCCTGGTTACCAGAATTAGATCACTGCACTCCAGCTATATCACAGACTCCAGCTATACCTGCTTCAAGAAGCAGGTGCACCTTGCTAAGCATCAGACCCCCAGCTGACTTGAAGAGACTCAAAAAATAAATCCTGATTATAGTAAGCTAATAAAGTTTTGTGGTTGTTACATAACAAAGTCTGACTGATCTTCCCTCCTAAAATAGCCGTGTTAAACTGAAGATGCAGAACTAAACCTACCTTTGAATCTGGGCTTCCCAAGATGATCTGTTTCTCTTGTTGGGCTTGAACTAAAGTCAGTTGTGTTACCTAAGAATGAAAAACAATGAACAATTTTGGTGAAGAGAAGAAAAGCTTTATAATACAATGGCAAATAATAAAGACTGAAGATGGCCAATATTTATTCTAGTTATATGGCTGTAGGGTAAATTTCCTTTATTATTTTTATACTTATTATTATATTATTATTTTATACTTTTTTACCCACAATAAAAGGGTTTTTGTTATGTCCTGCTGCAAAATGTTCTGGACTATAATAAATAATGAATTAAAAATTACAACCAAGTGGTTAATACTCATTACTAACTTAAGATATGTGTAGTTAGTAATGACATGAGGCTTAATAGGAGGTAGCAGGTACAGTTTAGATCATTTTAGAAAACAAACTTGGCATTCTATGTCCACTAAGGAAAGGAGCGTATTCTACAACAATGTATTGAAAGTAAGTATAATTTTAAAATTGAAAATGCCCAAATTGATTATAAATTGAATAAAATAGAAGATTTAGAACTGAGACTTTATTTCTTCCCCAATTTGAAATGTTTTAGTACCTCATAGCGAAGAGGGATCCATGGGCTGTGTGTGGACTACATCGGCATTGCAGCCTAGTGAATAGGAGAATCTGGTGTCTGGGAACTTCCGTGGAAATTTCCTCGGGCTAAAACTGCCCAAACATATGTGACCCTATTCAAGCTCTGCCTGGTCACTGGAGATGGGGTGACCTGCTGTAGCCACACAGACTCTAAGAGATGGATGTGACCTGCCAAGATGTCAGTCCTCCTGCTGACTGCAAGACACCATGAAGCAAGACTCCACCCCTGAAACCTTATCTCAGTCTTTGATGTACTCCCTTAAATAAAACCACCAGAGTCATTTTCTAATTGTCCAGTTCCAGCTCCTGTGTGGCTTTGGCCTATCAGGTACCCCAAGCTTCTTTAAAACTATTTTTTCTGAATCTATGTCTTTTGTTCTTCACTAAGTATGCTGACTTATCTTACATTCTCTGCGGGCAGGAAGAAGAACCCATTATCAAGGTGCTGGCCGCCTCCCCATAGCTAAGCATCCAGTGAAAATTGATTGACATACTAACCAAGCTCTTCTCCGGAGGCAGGAGCTGTTGGCTGCTTTTTGTCTGTCTCTGGTCTCTCTGAGGGGATTCCTGTAGGTTTGAGTGTTGCTCTCAGGGGTGGGGAAGTTACTCGGCCTGATGAGATGATTCCTGTAATGTACAGCCAAAGTAGTAAGACTTTATAGAAGCACTGCCAAGCCTCCCATTTATTTATTCAATAAATATTTGGTAAGCACTTACCATGTGGCTTGGCACTGTTGGACAGGCTTGGAGAAAAATAAGACCTGGTTCTTGATGGAGGTAGATGTGTGAGCCAAGGGTATTGAAATATCACAGATATTGTGAAAGAACTAGATAAGGTCACAGCGGGGGCAAGGAGTGGGAATGCTTACAGATCTCTGTGGGAAAAGATGGAAGGTGTTGGGGAGGGTTGGAGTGTTTTCAGAGGATGTGCTGATAAGAGAAGTGATCAGTAGGCAGGGAGAAGAACTGTATTCTAGTGAAGTTGTAGGAAGAACATTGGGGTATGGCCCAACTTGAAGTTTAACTGGCAGCCATGGGAGATGGCCAGAGAAGAAGGAAACAAAAATTCCTAGGATAATGTCCATGATCTGGCCTGAGTGCCAGAACAGTGTTACTCTGAGTTGGTATATTCAACAGTGACTCCTCCACTTTAAAAATACTCATAAGTCTCTAAAACCGGATCCATCCCAAGGTCCAGGCAAGTCTGAGTGTTTACAGAAGAGTGGAGTTTGGATTGGATTTTCTATTTCCTCTGGGTAAAAGAGTCCTTCTTGGGCCATAGAGTCAAGGGCTCTGAGCTGGACCTGAGGACTCTGGCCCAGCATGGAATCCTGGGAGAGTCAGGCAAATGGCCTCTGATTCACCCCTGGGGACTTATGCTTCTTGTCCTAGAGGGAATGCCTCAATAAGACAACAAGAAAAACCCAGGGAAGTCACACCACAGCCCACATACACTTTTCAGAGTTGGCAGAGACAGCAGGAAATGCTGGCAGCCGTTTCACCCTGGCAAGGAGAGTGGGACTCAGAGGCCTTGGTGGATCTAGAAAAAGGTGACAAATGGCGGGTGCCCTGCAGCCACCTAAGACTGCACTCCCAGCCAGAGAGCCTCAGAGGACTCCCAGACATTAGATGGATTTCCTGAATTCAGGATAGATTTTTCTGTGGTGTCAATCAGGTCAAATCTGTACTAATGCCCTTGTTTGGCATTTGGCTTCTCGGTGCAGCCGTTTCCTTTGAATTGGTGGTGGAAGGTGTGGCATGGGGAGAAGTGACCAGAGTTAGTCTCAGAAGGGGAAAGTGTTTGTGGTTTGTCTTCGGGCTTAGTGGGCCGTCCCAAAGCTACACTCACTGAGAGGAAAGAAAATGATTTCATGTAGCAGCAACCAAGGCCACTGAATTGCAGCTGAAGACCTACAGCCTTGCCAGGGGACTCTGCAGGGGCAGTCCCCTGGGTTTTCCACGGGCACATTCAGGCAACACTCCAGTCTGTGACTCATTCAGTCTGACCTGAAGGCAACAGGCACTCATGTCACAGCTGCCTAACATTATAACTAATAAGGAAAACCTGGTATCCTCACGAGGCCATGTCACGAGGCTTTGACTCAGGAAAGCACCAAAAGCATGAATGAGGCCGATTCCTCCTCTAGACACCGGGGCTCTAGAGTTCATCCTAATAGTCATGGGGATCTAGAGATCATAATATACATCCCAAAAGCTTCCAATTAGCATGCCCTCCTGTTATCCAGCAAAAAGATAGATGTCTACTCCCTTTCACATAAGCCCTTCTCTGTTTCATCTTTCACAGTTGCCTTTAATACTTTTATCCTGATTGCACATACCAAATATTTAGGGAGCAGAGATTTGGCAGGAGAAGAAACCATGAGAAACATGCTATGATTTGCTGTCAGGTCCCAGGAGGAGAACTCTTAATAGCAGTGAGGTAAAGCTTTGCTCTGAACTGGATCGATTTTCATTGATTCTTAATTTCACTCATTTATTTGTTCAGTTGTAACTTATCAAATATCCCCCATGTGCTAAGCACTGAATATGGTTTTGGCAATTTGGGGAAAATATATCAAGATTTCTGTCATCATAGAGCTCACCTAACCTATGCAAACAAATAGGTATAAAACAAGTATAAAATGATTGCTCTTTGCCGTAATGGAAGTATGTGCCAAAGACACATTGAACAGAGAAGCAAGGCTGAGACCTCTTTGGGGAGCTAGAGAAGGATGTGTGAGTATCCCAGGCCTGGGAGGGACCATTCTGTGTAGAAGAGGAATCTACACCTAGATGTGGAGTGGGGAAAGAAGTTTGACTCCCAAGACACCTCCCTGCCTGGCTGCTTAGGGAGGCTAACTCAATCACCTCAGTAGTTTATTACCATCTCCTCCCTGAGTACCATAATACTGGGCCTGGCATGGGGCTGGTGAATAGGGGAGCTTTCATTGAGATGTATAGGATTTCATTTCAGGAGACAGAATGATAAGTCAACGACAGGGTATCCCATTTTCAGTGATCCTTAGGGACTTGGTAACACAGAGCATCTGTCCCAAATAATCCATTCATTGAAGGGCCTGAGTTGGCTTCTTTCTAGGTTCCAGGTACACAGACATCTAAGAAGCAAGCTGGCTTAGATGCAGAGGGGCTGTTTCTTTCACCCCACCCATCCAGATTCAGGATATGAATCCTCAAAGCTGTAACTTACAGTGTCCAGTCTTAGGGGCCAACACAAGCATGTGTCACCCATGCCAGTGGCTGGCACACAAGGAAGGGAGGTGGTTGGCTAGTAAAACTGAAATCATGGAGGAAGAAAGAAGATACATAATCAGCTTACCTATGCTTCCTGGTTTCCCAGTGACATTATTTGGTGGTAAAGGTTTTCTTCGTGGAGGCCCAGATCTAGGTGGCCCGGCTGGGTGGCGAGTCCCTGGTATTGGGATTGAGAAGTCATATTACAGACAAAGCCATCATAAGAATTCATTGTATAAAATAACAGTTTTTTTAAAAAAATAACTTCTGATAAGTATCAGTTGATGACAAAATAGAATTTATAGAAAAGTACATATGAATAATACACACTGATATTCCTCTAAATTAATGTTGGGTGTGTACCAGCAGTACATTAGTATAGGTAAAGTATATCCTTTAGTTATCAATGAAAATACATGAGTGTATCTATCTTTTGAAAGGCTGATAGATATAGAATTCAGCATATTTAGATTCTTATTTAAACTTAACAAGAAGCATTTCTGAACTTCATTATCCCCACTTGCCTTTGATTTTGAAACTATAATTTCGTATGCCATTTTAGCTTTGAATTAGGCATATTATTTCTTTTTTTGTGGGTCCCCAACCTGTCCCCAACTCCAGCATGAAACTGTAATTAGACAAACATCTTTAGAACTTCTCAAGAGATTATACCAAAGTAGCCCTAATGGCAGAAACAAGAATCCTGTGCCTGTGGAGAGCAGGGGCACTATTAACCACTTTGGTGACTGTGAACTGCACAAGGACTCTTGGCTAGGGGATAGAAGTGGGAGCTAAAGTTTAACACCCACTCTGCTTTCCCACTGGATAGCTCTGGCACTAGGCTGCCAGCCCAGAGGAAGGAAACTTTTCCAACTGGCCTGTCGAGGTACAATAATTTGAACAAAGGTGTCTATTTTGCACAAGGGTTGGCAAGTTTAAAGTTTTTGGAGCAGTCCACCTTAACTTAAACTTTAAGTCTTATGTTATAGCTTAAAATTTCTTTCTTTGTATTATTTATGTTGGTTTTAAAATCTTCAAGTAAAATTGTCAATCCAGGAAAATGCCCCATGGCTTTAAGTACTTCCTAGGATATTGGGGGTGGGGAGAGATAAATGGAGTGAAGGAGAAAGGAAGAGAGAACAGAGGAGGAGGGGGAGGAAGAAAAGGAGGAGGGAGCATGCACTTGCTCAGGAAGACGGTGACAGAGACAATTGTGTGCAAGACTAAGTCTCACAGCATCCTTTAAAAAAACAAAGGTAGTCTGAATTGCCACCTTCCTAATTTTACCTATTACATTTACATACAGCATACTCTCAAATCAGGAACATAAAGAATTTCATTCCAAAGACTGCGGTAATGAATCATACAAGAACATAACTTTAGCATGATTAAAAACTAGAACCCACAATGACTGCAGCATTTGTTCCTATTTGTTCCTCATGGCCCCTACGAACATTACAGAAAGTACTGATTAAATTGGTACCCCTTTATGGGTTCTTATTAATATTTAGAGCACTTTTCATTCCTCCAAAGATAATATTTGGGAATGTTTCTCTAGCAATATGCATGAACTGTTAACCTGGCTCTGACACATTGTGAGGAGATGATGCTGTTTTTGAACTAATACTACTGCAGTTACTGTCACTGTGCATGTTTTCAGAGCTGAGCTGCTGAGAGGTAGTCGGCATCTTACTCCTTACCTGGTTTTTTTGTGGAGTGGGTGAAGTCTACTGACACATTTCTGCCAGCACCTGATGGTTTGGGTGCTTGCTTGGTTCCTATGACAAGAAAACATGAGAAGGAATAAATACATGGAAATAATGTACTAAGTCTTCTTCGTGGGAACTTGGTAGATCTGTCAGTGGTGATGTGCATTCTTGGCAGAGCAGGGGTGTTGGTGCTTTTGTGCCCACATTTTAATTAGCTCCTACTATCTGCAGAAATAGAAAGATCCCTAGTCTTATATTCATTGATTATATCTTTTCTGTAAAGTTAGCATTGGATTGGAGGTTGTGGTTTTGTCACAATTTTCCATGATACTTATTCTGTACTGCCTTCCTGGGTGGTATTGCTTTACCAAGTAGAATTTTATCTACGGCAAGTAACTACTTTTTGCCAGTATTTGTAAGTACATTTTATGGTTGAAAAAAATGTTCCTCCAACTCCTCCATGCCCATTAAAATACCTTAGAATTCCAATATGTTTGGGATTATACTTAATGAATTAACTTTTAAAATGTTCCTTAGTTGACCTCCATTATCAGGCTGTTGAGGCTGCCAACTATATTTTTAACTTTGGAATTCCCTGAATAGGCCTAGAACTCCAAATTATTATTTAGAAGAAACCAAATTGAAAATTATTTTGTGTGACTTTTTTTTTTTTGTCTCCTAAGTTCCCCAAACACAACCTGGTAGTTATTACTTGGTCATTCACCTAAATATACAGACTTGAATTGGGTAGCTTCCCTACAGCAGAGAGAATGAATGTATATTTCATCTTAGTTTTTGTCATTATCATTTTAAAACATTAAAAATAATCTTCTCTGATGTGGCTGACAGTTTTCATTAAGAAAGAAGAGAAACAGACCCTATTTAGAATCTAAATAGTAAGTATCACTTTAGCCATAATGACTCAACATAAAAAAAGAGCCTTACTCTGAGGACCTGACTATAATTTACATATTAAAAATAAGAACAAAATCTGAAAGTAATCTACTAGTTGGTACATTAGCAATACCATCACAGTAAAAAAGGAATGACCACAGCCCTGTTTTAAATGGTATATTCCATGGATTGTGGTGGGATATTACTTACTTAATCTCATCCAATGTGTAAGCAGATTCACTGATTAAATATACAACAGAGGCTTTGCTTTCCAAAACTGAGACATTTCCATATTAACTGTGGAATTCAGGGAGGAACCTAATATTGCAATCTCACACTCTCTGCTGCTTGAATAGAGATAAATATATAAAATCATGAGAATGTTTGGATGGAACCATGAATCAAATGTTGATTATTTGTGGTAGGAAAAAATGTTTCTGGGGCTAATGACTATTTTGTGGCTCACCCCACAGGCATGATTAACACACGGCTAAACAGTCTTCCTGTGCTCCATTGACAGGGGTAATGGAACTGGCCCATTTGAGTGGCTACTCTGTGAATGGCACAAGGGAATGGAAAATACTCCCATTTGTGCCACCAGGATAACTTGGCTTGGCGAGGGTAAAATGAATTTTTATGTACTCCAGAAGGCCATTAGACTGTGCCTTGAGTAGATCCTTATTCACGGCCATTCTCCGAAGCTGTCTACCCTTGAAAAACAAAGTAGTTTGATCCAATATTGTACAAGCACCTTACATATTCATGACCTGATTTGAACCAAAGGCAAGGAGGAGATTAAGCAATCTGTGCAAGGGTTCACAGCTAAGAGGTATTGGGATCCAGAACCACTTATTCCTGGGTCCAAAGCATTTCTCTCAAACATTAGGTCCTCCTATTTCCTTCCTTCTACTTCTGACTCTAAATGACTACAACCCAAGAGTTCTATACTCTCTTGGGTAAGTTGAGATGCCACCAATATATGATGGGGCTTGATGGCAAGCTTCTGTTATCTAGCCAATCCCACTAGTGTGGAGGCCTCAGAAAATGGTCACAGGCTTTTAGCCGTCCCTGACCAAGCACACGCAGATTCACCAAATCACAGTGGTGAGACCTCAAAAGGGGCAGATGAGTTGAAGACTGAGAGGCCCTGGAGAGAATCCAAAATTCTGCTGGGCTACTTTATGAATGAGATGACTGATATAAATTCCCACGTGTCTTTTCTAATCAAAAAGAGAAATTGGGCTGGGGATGTAGCTCAGTGGTTGTATTTGCCTAACATGTATAAGCTCTGGTTTTGATCCCCAACACTGAAGGAAAAAGAGACATTAAAAAAAAAAATCGAAAGAAACTAAGACATTTCCTTTTATTTTCTGTACAGGTGAAGAAAGAGCCATCATACTGTTAGAATCCTTAGGTGTAAGTATCCAAATCAATAGCATATCAGCTGCTAGCTGGACCTTCTCCAGTCTTTGAAAATAGATAGAAGATCACGCAGTATATGAAAGCACTGGAAAGGGCCCTAAAAAAAAAAAAAAGGCGGGGGGGGGGGGGGGGGGAAGGGCAGCTGTGGGATTCAGTGGAAAGTGGTTGGGATAGGAAACTGAGCTCCAGGTCAGATTAGATCAGTGAACTTCTGTTGCCCTGAGTCAGAGGAGAGCAAATGAAGGCCAAAGGCAGGGAGAGGAAAGAAGGAAGCCAGTAAAAGAGATATTGCAGAAAAAAGGATCTTCAGGAATTGGCTCTCAGTCAGACAGTCTGGACAAGGCTGTGACTTGAATTCTTTTTTCCCCCAAGCAGGATTAATTGACACATCTTTTAAAAGCGCACAGCCTGCTGTGGAAGCACCAAAACTTGAGTCTCAGCATGAGACCCCAACTGCCATATGGGAGTTCTCCAAAAATCTTGGGATTTACATAGTTCACCACTTAGCAATTAATTTTTTGTCCAAAATGAAGTAAGGGTATGGGTATTTTTAGCCATAGTAACAAAAACTTTGCAAACAAACAGACTGGGAATCAATTTTCATATGCATTAGTAACTTCATTCCCTGTGACCAAAAAGGGGCCATATTAATGGATGATTGGTCTCTGCACCCTTTCCCCAACTCTTGGCTAAAATTTCGGGGCAATGAGCCAGTAGCCTGGAAGATTTAGTCACAGACCAGAAAAACACATTTCTAACCCCAAGGAGTCTGGGTTCTTGTTGTGAAGTATATACTCTATGTGGGGGCAGTAAAGTGTGGTTTCCTCATCAGGATGTAGAGAAAGAGAGTCTGGGGTTCAGGTATTTAACAGTATCTGCCAAATCACATGTGCCAAGATGGCTTCAGAATTATGCTTTGCCTGGCACATAATGGCCCTTCAATAAATTCTTGTTGGAGAGAGAATAGCTAGACAGTTTAGCAATAGCCATCTTCTGGGAGAAAGGCAGAGAGAGTCCAGCAGAGCAGTGGGTAAACTTTTTCTGTAACGGGTCAGACAGTAAATATTTTTAACTTTATAGGCTATACCATCTCTGTCCCAATTCACCAACTTAGAAGATTCTAATATGTGGAACACACCAGCTAAACTGAGATGTCTCTGTGGAAACTTTGAAAAAGTAGAATAATGAAAAAAAAAATGACCCATTTAAAATCTCAACCTCTTCAGGCTACTTCCTAACTTTGAAATAAAGGAAAATCTGTACATGTAGGTATGAGAGAAACATACTGCAGGGCAAATATCTGTGATAATGTTATAAAATAAGAAATAAAAAGTCAGGCTTGATTCCCAAGGCTAATGGAATTATTGAAAGATTTTTAGAGAGACCCCAATAATCAATGATTTATAGTCTTTAGGTCTCAAAGTTTACCGTTCGTTTTTCCCTTTGTCCCTCCTTTTTCTCTTTTATCTTCCAAGTATACAACCTTAGGTGTCTTAAGACCATGAAGAATATAGACCCTGAACTCATAGTTTATCAACTAATTTTTAAATGTGATTTAATTTTTAAATCTGAGCTGAAAACTTCAATAAGAAAAATCACAGTAAAATGTATGTGAGATGGGTAATAAAGATAAATACTCTGGGAAATTTGTCACAGTTGAGCATGAACTCCATTGACACAAAAATAGTCTCTCAACAAGAATTGATTGTTGGGGTGAGGTGGAATATGCCTGTAATCCCAGTAACCCAGGAGACCGAGGCAGGAGGATTGCAATGTTTGAGGCCAGCCTTAGCAATCTAGTGAGACCCTCAGCAACTTAGTGAGATTCTGTCTCAAAATTAAAAATAAAGTAATATGAAGCACAAGGCTGTGTATCTCACTGGTTCAATTCCCAGTACCAAAATAATAATAATGATAATAATAATAATATTAATAATAATAGAGGCTAGAAGAGAGTGTAGATGAGATAGCAGAATTGTGTCAATAAAGGATATCAATGCAAACAGCTTCATTTCTATAAGTAAGGCAGATAAAAACTATACAGAATCAAAGGAAGGTAGAGATGGCAAACCTATAAACTGGAGAGAATGTTTTAAAACTTTTTTTTAGATCACCAATTTCTTAACACATTTGCAAACATCTCAGAGCTGTTAAACTTTCCTTTATGATGTATTACATAGATATTCATAGTACTTATGATTTACAACTTTGATGCCATTTACTTATTTTCTTGCCCTATTGCACTGGCCCAACATTCCACTATGATATTGAAAAGAAGTGATAAATGTAGGAATCCATGCTGTATTCTTAATCTTGGAATAACATCCAGTCACTCACCATTAGGTATCATGTTAGCTGTTGGCTTCCCATAGATGCCCTTAGTCAGTTTAAGGAAACTTTAAAAAAAAATTCTTAACTGCCAAATTTTCATCATGAATCAATTTTAAACTTTGTCCGTTGATCTTTCTTTTTCATCCACTCAGTTGATCATATGACTTTTCTCTTTATTCTATTACTGAATTACATTAGTTTAAATGTTGAGCCAACCTTCCATTTCTGGGAGTAAATCCCATTTGGTCGCTAGGCATTATTGTGGTAGACATGGAGATGTGCCACCCAGTTCTTGTATTCAAGGATCTCTCAGCTAAGACTGTCCCTGAAGGAGATAACATCTCAATGCTTTTTGCTGAATTTTCTCCCTATTGGTGATCAGCAAGTTCCTCCTTGACAGAGAAACCCAACAGACGGTAATAAGTAGACAATATGTAAAATAAATTTTGGTTGGAGATGAAAGAGGAGCAAGGAACATGGAAATAATGAATTCCATTTTCTCTATTGTGAATATCAGTCCATTTTCTATTAGTGACTAACTTGAAAAAGCAATGATTTAAGATATTATCCTTTCAAAGTCATATTGGATAAGAACATGCAAGAAGGTACTAGATACCATTCACTGTTCAATTCAAGTGGCTCTGTAAAAATGTTCACATTGTTGATAAGCTAAAATATACAAATGCTCTATTTTACCCTCTGAAAGACTAGCAGTTTGTTATTAAGGATCCATGTTTGATTATACTGAAGGCTAGTGGTTTTCAAGTGTGATGCTAGCAATTGTATTTGTTCTTTTATTTGCTTAGTTGATATATAAATGCTTTCTTCTATTTTTACTTATGCAGTCTCCAAGGAATTATTTAAATATTGAAAAATTTGTACTTATCCTCCTTCCAAAAGGAACTGAGAGATAAGGCCTCTTTTTAGAGTCAGATTGTTTATATCAATCAAAGAAATTATGTACTACCTAATCCTATAGTTGGGAAGAATCAAAAGTACAACTGAGCACAACTTGATATTAGAATGCTTTCTTGATTTTTATATTTTATAATACTTGCCTCATTATTTAAAGAGAAACAAATTCCTAAAATTTCAGATACCATAATAATCAAAAGTACAAAAAAACACATTCTAAAGCAAATTTAGATGATTTTTAGACTAAATAATTTTAAGTGTTATATCTCTTTCTCATTAGGAACCCATCATGGATTGATTGAATAAATACACAATAAGTAAATTTTGATTTTTATGTTTTACATAAGCATAAAAATTATACTATTAAAAATATTTCAAGGGGATGATATAATCCCATATAAGGCAGCTAATTGTTATCATTTATCCATTGAGTAAGATGGGTGTTTAAATTCTCATCATATCAGTGCCCTAATTATCTATAACTGAGCTTGCCCCCACAGAACTGACCAAATTAGGGCTATGTCATTTATGATCATTTACAAATCACTGAATGATTTGTAAACATTAATATATCTGTAACCAGTGATCAGTTGCTAATTGTGCTGATTTAATCTACTTCTTGTTTAAATTTCACATTCCAGCTTGCTAACAGATGCAGGTCTTTAAGAAAATTATGATGGTACTTGTGAGAAATTATACTTTTCAAAATCAAGTAAGGATGATTTGAAAGATCATCCTGTGGATGAAAGTGTTTTGAAATTAGTGACAACAGCCATTTTCATTATTCTCATTCAATTATTCATATTTAATCAGGTTCTTTTTAAGAAGTGAGATTGTATATGGCAGCTAATTTAGTGGGCTGAGTTTAGAAAAGTGAAACATTCTTTGATATTTTTAGAGACATTTGAAGTTTTGATTTTGGAATGAATTATACCTTTGAATTCCAGTTTTACAAAGAATTTCCAAAACCAGTCAAAAAGAAATGAAGTGTAAATTCAACTAAATTATTAAAAAATGAATAATAACTTTTATTGCTTTGACAGGATCAAAAGGAAATAAATTTATGATTATTACCTGTTCCGACTCCATTCCTGCTGGGTATCCCACTGGGCTTGGGTCTAATGGGTCTTGTCCTATTCAGAACTACAATGAAGTGGGACATAAATAGTTTAGATATCTTTTTATTAAAAGTTTGCAGCCAAGGAAAACAAAACTTCACAGAGAATTGGAAGTCATTTAACCAGGCAATAAAAAATGATGAATTACCAAAAAATGTTGTTCAGGATCTAGAGACCACATTCTGGTTCAAAAATCATAGACTTAAATTTGGAAATAGAGTCCTGAATTTGTACTGAGGTGATAACTGGTTTCAATATTTGACTTGAAAATAAACTGGCAATGGATTTTATAACTCTAAGTGGGAAATACTTACCTTGATACATTTATCACATGTGATACATCCCAAAATAGAACTGAAGGAAGATCAGAACTACATAAATCTAATGAAAACCCCAAACCTGAAGTGTACTTATTATTAAAGCCTCAATTCATAATCATTAGTTGGTAGTCCTTTTGTCGAAGTCTCTAGTACAGATGTTTCACTAGAATAGTCCTTGCACATATCCTATTGGACACTAATATGAAACCATTTAAATTTCTCTCCTGTTCTATACAAATTCATAGCACTATAAAACCTTAAGAGGGCATCTGCATCATGGTCCAGTGAGGAGACTCTTTAAGAAAGAGAGCCGAATGCATTGTGCTTACACGAGCCAGCTCTGGAGCCAGATTGCTGGCCTTTGAACCCCCCTTTCTCAGGATCTTAGTTTCTTCTCAGTAGCTTAGTTTCCTCAACTGTACCTCTAGGCAAGCATTTAGCCATTGTCAACCATTATTGTTACTGTTTATATATTTTGTAGTAATGTTTATGCAGTTACACATCAACAGCTATTGTGACACAAAAGTCACATAGAAATGTTTACATAAGATTTCTATGCCCAATTAATTTTAGGAGTTGGAAGATTACAGCCAAAATATGGGGGCTTTCTACACAAAGAATTTTAAAAAAATTTTTTAAAAATTATTTCTTCTTTCTCTCATATGCCTGGAAATATATTGAGCAAGATTATTTCTTTGCGAGTTATATCAATTAGAACTTTAAGAACATTCCTTAGGATCACAATGAAAAAGGACAAAAAACACCAGTCTTTGATCCAGTTTGGGCTTCAGCATAAGAGCAATTTAAATGGATCACGTAAGTCTGTCCATTAACATCTCCTTCAGTTTCATGGAGGGATATCTTAGGACCTTTGGAGAATTTAGTAAGTTTAAAATATTTAGCAAAATGTAACTATGACATTATTCAGAAGCCTGGATTTTTTATCCTCTAAAGGAATCAAGTAAAAATATTCTCCTTTTACACTAAGAAGAGACCATGTTTTCCTAAAGAGAGAAATAACATTTGAAATTGTCATGGAAAATTGAAGGTGTGTGTGAGTAATGCCCAAACACCATTTGAAAGCTACTTTTATATCAATAAATTTCCATAGTGGTCTCTAAATCCAAACATGCATGGAAAACATTCGTTAGGTCCTTTAGCGTCCATGGATTTGTCAGAACCTCTCTGTTCTTCACAAGGATTATAATTTCTGCATGTCCTTTATCACAATTTAAGGATATATATTTCCCATACACCTTTGGTGAATTTGTTTGTCTCAATTCATTTCATATTTTCCCCAGCCTGATGATTGTTTAGGTCATCAGAGAAACAGAAATAATTTACCAGGTCTGATGTGTGGTTTGCCAGGTATTCTGGGTCTCACAGGAGTAGTATACAATCTATGTGGTGCTGAAATAGAAAAAAAACCCACTTTATATTTAATAACTTATATTTCAAAGTTACCTAGATGGGCACTTATCAGCCTAGGGACTAACAACTTGTACACTTTTTGCATGTAAATAGAAAGAATGTGCTGTAATGTCCAATTATGCATTATAGACTTCATGCTAAAGGAATGCAAAACAAGTGAAAATATTCATGACTAAAACTCAAAGATGCATACAGGATGAAGAAGGTCATTTGCAATGTGTATTAAAGATTAGTCATTTTGGCCACATTTTCCTAGAGCATTAATTTTACCAGAATGCTACTTAACATAACAAACATATAAGCCATCTGTCTATCTGTCCGTCTATGTACCCATGCATCCATACACACACCTCTCCATTAAGAGTTACTATGGAGCATGATTTTGCCAAAGAAGAAAAGAAACTTTAAAGGTAAAAAAATAAATTTTTTTGATAGGTAAGAAGAGTAGAATAGGAACATTTGGTCTTTATCAAATTGTCTTTGCTCATGAACTCTGAAATGAATATACAGTGAGTGTCATCCACAATGCTATATGTAGGAATGAAAGAAAATGATGTCTGGTGTCCTACCCATAAAGGAAAGGTAAGCAAGGAGGGAGAATTTGGGCAAGACATGAGACCAACATACCACCTGCTTATTCTCTGCCCCTGTTTTGGAGGGCCCGCAAATGTAGGACACCTAATAAAGCCTTGCTGAATGAATAAATGGCTGATCATTGTAAGTAGGCACATTTGCAAGAAGACACTGAAATATTTCACTTCCTAAAGTTTTAAAGTGTGCATTCATTCTGTAATAGGTCATTCCCACCTGGGTTCTTCTCTACTTGCCCACTGTGCCCCCATACTGCATGCTGCCTACCACCACCAACTTTCTTGGTAATGTTTTAGCTAAGACTGGAAAAAATTTTCTTGTAAACTATGTATGTAGGTTACATCATTTTGATGATTTTGGTCACATTTTGTGTGGGTATTTATATAACCATAAATCAGCAATGCTTTGCCTACTGAGCTAAAAAAAAATACACCTGCAAAATAGACTATAATATATTTCATTCATAAGCTTCCAATGTAAAGACTGTGATGAGCAGGATTTTGCCACGCTGCAGGCCAACAACAGCAGAGGCATCCTGAAATTCTCTGGTGGCTCAGCTTGGGCCTTCCTAAGGGTAGAGACCAGAATGAAGACATGTTAAAAATGTTATAAAGAATAAATTCTGCTGGGTGCGGTAGTACATGCCTATAATCCCAGTGGCTCAGGAGGCTGAGGCAGGAGGATTGTGAGTTCAAAGCCAGTCTCAGTAAAAGAGAGGCACTAAGCAACTCAGTGAGACCCTGTCTCTAAATAAAATACAAAATAGGGCAGGGAATGTGGCTCAGTGGCTGAGTGCCCCTGAGTTCAATCTCTAGTACGCCCTCCCAAAAACAGAATTAATTCCCACAGACCTTAGAATACCTGATAATTTGCTAATGGTTTTTTTTTTTTTTTCAATTTTCATTGAAAGTGGTAGAAGTGGCAGTCAATTTAACCTATTTCAGCTTTTCATATAAATCCCTTTGAACATTCAATTGTTTTTGTTTAAAAGAAATACAAGGATCATGGTTCTGTGTCATTCTAGAAAATATATGAATATTAAAACTTCGGACAGGAAAGAGATCAGAGCAGAGCACAAAAATAATCAGCTATGGGATCAGAGCTTTTGTTCTAGTTTGTCTCTTGTCTTAAATCTAGAACTCACTTTTTAAATAAGAGCTGAAATACAATATAAGTTTAAGCTAAGAGTTACTCGACCAAATATAACATGGCCTTGAGAAAACTGTTCTAGGGTTTCAATTTTAAACTAAAAAAAAGAAAGAAAGACAAAGGAACTATGATAATGTACCTGCATAGACATTGCCACATTGTTTTAGTGACTTATAATAAAAATAAATAGTATACAAAGGTGGCTTCATATCTAAATATGAATTTTATGAAAATCCATATTAAAGTTAAAAACACTGTATGAAGACAACGTCAAAATAAACAGCAATCACAGGAGCACACTTTGAAGAACCCATGCTCTGCCCAGTTACAGGGTGAAAGGAGAGAGAACATGGCCTTCCCTGGGTAGGGGAGGGATTCAGGGTTGAAATTGAAACAATAAGAATTTTCCACAGTGTCCCTGGCTAGGTGGACCCCTACAGTGGGCTGAGACAAGAAGGGGAAGGGAAAGGAGTTACAGCACCCTGCAGGAAAATTGTCTCAGTAAACACCGCAGGGAGGGAGGCTGCCACAGGAAAAAGTGTTGGAGATTCTACTCGTGGGCTCATGCTGAGGGTACGAGGATCACCACAGCTGAGGGCTTGGAGACCACAAAGCCACATGGATAAAGGGGAACAATTCCATCTCTACTCCATGTCTTTCAATAGTGATGTACCATCTTCTGTTCCTGAGGTGCTCGGGCACATGCTTACGAGGTGACGCAGCACACCTTTATCAAAGTTGACCCTCAACTCTCAAACGGGATTATTGGAATGGCCTAGGTGTGGATGCTCCTCTCATCCCTGAAGATGGGTTATTTCCTCCTGTTCTTTGTTGTCTACAAATAGATCCCAGGTGAGTCCACTCTAAAGATTCTGGGCACAAATCCAAAGAAGCATGAATCATGGGACAGCACAGTTGAAGCTCAAACTAAGAATCCTCAGTACATGATAAAAAATAAAATAACACCTTGTATAAATCTGTTAGGATAATCCATATAATTATATAAGAGCCTCCACAGATACAGAATAATCGGTAGAATTCATATCTAATAAAATATTTTAGAAGGAATTTGATAAAAATTCCACACATATTAGTAATGATGACACAGTATTGACATTCCCATTACAGTCAAAGCCAAGCAACAAAAGAGCAGGCCTATGATTTTTCATCCTTGACCCTAAAAAAAAAATCTGTGAAGCTTTCAAAAGCTAAAATGTTTTTCATGTTTGGCAACATGGCCTGAGCTAAATGAATGTCTTTATTTATCTTGCTTATTGTAAATATTTATATATTTTGCTGCAAAAACATTGTGCTAGGTTATGAGAATGCAAACATCTATTAAGTAAGACATTAAAGAGATTTGCAAAAACAGAAGTGGGGGAGACCACTAAAATCAGGGTGGAATGTGGATGTAGTAGAATTGACCATCTGCTGTTAATGGTTAAAGCTGGTAATGGGGATGTGAGGGGGCTATTGTTATATTATGCTTCTGACTTCTGTGTATATTTGTAAATAAATAGAAGGTTACTAAGTTCAAATTTAATAAATAGTGAAAATTTAAGACATAATAAAAAGCTAAACCAAACAAACAAGATTTAGAGATTTTAAAGGAAATGCGTGCACCCTGGACAGTCTTAGTCATATTTGTTTATGATAAACATTGTCCCTCTGAAAAAGTATGTACCTTATAATTAGATTTTTTATTGTTATCATTTATTCTTGTTATATCAAAGTTCATTCACGAATTGACCCCCTCAAATTTGGATTGATAAGGGGTAAAATAAACTTGTTTCTCAACTCCTTAAGTAAGTTTGCTTTTGGCTTGATACCATTTAATAGAGATGGGCAAAAGAGTCATTAAAGCAACAACAACACAGCAACAATGGAAACCCCAAGGGTTATAACCCAAGTAGAATAGAAAAAAACATAAGGAAGAAGAGACTTCTGAGAGCATGAAGATAAAACAGAGATTTGTGTAGGTGAGTTCATTCCCCCAAGTAGGAAGTCACAGAAAAACTCCTTGGATGTTTTAATACTGTCATCATTAAAAAAAGATTTTTTCCTTATGAATAGTTTCTTTTCTCACTGTAACCCCAGTGACTCAGGAGGATATGTGTAATTCTAGCTTCTTGGGAGGCTGAGGCAGGAGGATTGCAAATCCAGAGCCAGTCTTGGCAACTTAGTGGGACCCTGACCCAATATGAAAAGGGGTGGAATGTAGCTCAGTGGCACAATGCCACTGGTTTCAATCCCCAGTACTGAAACAAAAACAAAATTCAATGAGCTGAAAAGAAGGGGGTACAAGAGATATGTGTATACAAAGCTGACATAGCTCACAGAAATGAAGATGATCAAATTTGTAAAATTTGATTGGTCCATTGTAGCTGAACAGTATGTTGTTTGCCCTCCACTGCCAACAGACGTACTGTCAATGAAGGTCAGTAAGTGCTGTATCAATACGAAAAATAAATACCCACAAAACTAGTTTTTTTTTCCCCCTTAGGATGCAATATCCATATGCTTCATCAAGTAGGAGAGATGGATGATAGGGAGGAAAAGAGTGATGGGAAAGAAAAGGCAAGGAGGAGATAATAAAGATTTCTTCTTATTGATGTGACATACGAAGTTGAAGCAAGGAATAATGAGGCCCATTAAGGTTAATTGGGAAAAGGAAGAAAAACCCTGAGAGCTTTCATTATTATTGCATCAAGCAGTAGATGACACATTGGAAATAAAGCTTCAACTAAGAACTTGTCTTCCCTGCATTCAACTGGTACTCAGTTAAGTATTCTGATTTGGCTGATGTCTTCTACCTTTAAAATGAAAAAAAGGCAAGTAACAGGCTGGGATGAGAAAATATCTCCTGAAAATAAAATTTCATTCTTGATTAAAACACAAGGAAATGTTATTCTCCAGAGGTGGGGAAATAGTATTACCCTGAGTTGTCTTTGCCCATTCAGTTGTTCTTGGAATCTTAGTTGTGAAGAGCTCTTGGGTGGTCTGGTCTGTTTCTTCTGGGGAGAAACACAGTAAGATACCTCATCTGAAATGATTATCACAGTGAAAGTGACAACAGCAACAACCACCCATGCTCTTTTCCGCCCCATGCAATGATGGAAGGGTGAATTCTATTCAAAAAGATGCTTTATAATGTGCCCCTGATCGAACTCAGGGGCACTTAACCATTGAGCCACATCCCCAGCCTTTTTTGTATTTTCTTTAAGACAGGGTCTTACTGAGCAATGAGTTGCTTGGGGCCTCGCTGAGTTGCTTAGGACCTCATTAAGTTGCTGGGGCTGGCTTTGAACTTATGATCCTTCTGCCTCAGCCTCCTGAGCCACTGGGATTGCAGGCATGCACCACCATACCCAGCACAAATTTTGGGGAAAAAAAAAAAAGTACAGCTTTGCTCTAAGAACACTTTTCTTCTTAGAATATAGTAATCCCTGGGTATCTTCAGGAGATTGGTTCTAGGACTTTCCACTACGGATGCTTAATCCTTTATGTAAAATGACTTAGTATTTATATAACCTGTGCACATCCTCCTATATATTTTAAATAATCTTTATACTACTTGTAATACCTACTATAATGTACATGCAATCTATACAGTTGACATAGTGAATTCAACTTGGAATAAGAAAAACTCTTGTTTAGTACCGACACAATTTTTTAAAGAATATTTTTGATTTTTTTTTTTTTTTGGTACCAAGGATTGAACTCAGGAGCAATCACTGAGTTACATCCCCAGCCCTATTTTGTATTTTATCTAGAGACAAGGTCTCATTGAGTTGTTTAGCATGTCATTTATGCTGAGGTTGGCTTTAAGCTTGCATTCCTCCTGTCTCAGCCTCCCTAAATGCTGGGATTATAGGCATGCCCTATCTTGCCCGGTAATATTTTTGATTTAAGGTTACTTGGATCCATGGATGGGGAATCCATGGATATAAAGGGCTCATTGTACTTGAAATTTTTATATTGAAAATCAGCATGAATATTAGAAGGACAAACATACAGTTAATGTAAATTATCAAATGAAGCAGGTATTTTTTGGTATAATGATAAAAAGAGATCTTCTATTGTTGGGAAACAATCCATAAGCATACTGTGCTTATGGCTATAAGGGCAGTCTCTAAAAAGTAGATTACTCATTAGACTGAAATATCAAAACAAAATTTACCCAGGGTGGTTTGTAGTTCCTCTTGACTAGGACTTGGTGAAATTATAGGTATAAAAGGGATGCCTCGTGACTCTAAAGGAGCTGCAAGAGAAAAGTATCAATGTTGTCAACTTTTAATTCAAAGCCAGCACCACACCAGAATGGTATTATGTAAGTTTTCTTCATTTTAAATAGAAAAGGGAAAGTGATGAAGAAGAAAATTAAGTATATATAGAACACACAGGATCATGATTATAGAATAATAGAATAATGGTTCTCAGCTGTTTTCCCCATTTTTTAGGACACATAATAAATGACATTCTGTGTTCAACCAGCTCCATGAGAATACCTAGTCAAGATGGAGTAGGGTAAGACATGGTTCTGGTCTGTTAGTTACAGCTCTAACCCTCTACCTACCACCCAAGTGAGCAGAGTAAATTACAAAATTGTTAGGATAATTTTATATCTTTTCTAGTTTTACAAGTAAATCACTGGCAGAACACAACAGTCACTAGTATGGAAATATGTAAATCAATGGATGTGTAATTGATGTGATTCTGCAATCTGTATATGGGCTAAAAATGGGAGTTCATAACCCACTTGAAGCAAAGTGTGAAAGATGATATATCAAGAACTATGTAATGTTTTGAACAACCAACAATAAAAAAAACAAGTAAATCACTGGCAATTTTCAGCATTTTGAATGGTATGAATAATAATTTCTCTACAGTACCTTTCCAACTTGTCACATGCTAACGTATTGTAACACTACAGCTGAGAACCACTAACCCAGCAGGAACTGTTAAATAGATGGGCACTGTAAGGCGGAATCATGAAGATAAATGAGGTAGATGAGGTTGCACTCAGTGATGAGCCATCTTAAATTGATCTTCAGAGCAAAGCCTTTATAACAGGAAAGCCATGGCATCTCTATTTCAGAAAGAGTGATGATAAGAATGAAATGATGAGATGGGTTGAGAAGGAACGATGTTTCAATTATGACCATTTGAGAGAGACCTGCAATCTTGATGGTAGTAAAGAAAACATTTAGAGTTGGCAATTATGGGAAAACCATTACCTATTGTTGTCTCTGGTGGCTCGATTCTAAAGGTAACAGGTTGTAGAACTATGTCAAAAGCAAATCAAAGAAACATATTTATGAGAGATCCTACCTGATAAAGTCAAAATAGTCTCTATATTTTCTATATGCATTCATTTAATCATTTGAACATTCTCTAAGAACTATAACTTGAGAAAATTCTACTTTCTAGGTGCTAGTCAGGAAACTTAAACTTTAAAGATCTCATTCACAATCATTTTGTGGAAAACTTGAATAGATACCTGTTTTTTATTTCAAAGTATATTCATTGTCAAAACATAGCTACATTTATATTTTGAAAGGAGGTAAAATAGTTGATTCAGTTCATAATTATGTTTTGTAATTTTAATATGATCTTTCATTCAATTAAAACACTTTCAGGTAATATAAACTTATTCTACACTATTCCTTCATTTATATTTCAGATTATATGATTAAATTTTCCCCAAAGAAATATACTGATGTACAATATAATATTACTCAGCATTAAAAGAAAATAAAATTATGGCATTTGCAGTTAAATGGCTGGAGTTGGAGAATACCATGCAAAACGAAGTAATCCAGTACCAAAAGCCAAAGACCAAATGTTCTGATCCATAATGGGGATCCATTATGGGGGCAGGGCATAGGAAAAATGGAGGAACTGTGATCAGCCAAAGGGGAAAGGAGAGGAGGGGAAGGGGCTTGGGGACAGGAAAGATGATGGAATGAGATGGACATTACTACCCTAGGTACATGTATGACTGCACATATGGCGCAATGCTACATCATGTACAACCATGAATGAAAAGTTGTGCTGCAATTGTGTACAATGAATCAAAAATGCATTCTGCTGCCATATATACTTAATTCAAATAAATAAATTTTAAAAAAGAAAGAGAAATATACTTATATCCACAATTTTTTTCACTTCTTCCATAAAATAATTTTTTTAAAAAAAGAATAATTTTTTTTAAAAAATATGCTTTATAACTAAAAATAAGGTAACTAATTTACCAGATTCATGCTGAGAAACTTCAGGGTCTGGTTTATGGGGAAGGAGTGCATCTTTCGGAACTGAAAGAAAAAGATGATAAAACATTATGTAATTCTTGTAAACAGAACCCACTTCCCAGAAAGCATGATGGATGCAAAAGTACTTTCATGATGGTTAAGATAAAGCTGAGGAGATCACCTCCTTCAAAATGCAAAAATGCCACTGTGTAGAGAAGGGTCTGGTGACAGTAAACAAAAACAAAGTTGGTCACAGTTCACCCTGGAGCCCCACTTGAGGAAAGGAAAAAAGAAAAAGTGTGTGTGTATGGGGGTGGTGGTGAAATCACTAATGTAATTAAACCCAACCCAAGAAGCTAGGTCTCCCTGAGATCATTTCAAACAGAAAGTCAACTTTCATCTGGAGAGTTTAGCTGCCATTTGATATTATTCATGCTCAAATCCTGCTGACAGCAATAGAAAATACATTATCTTGGCTAAAGTGCATAAAATGGCCTTCATATTGAGGAAAACAGCAAGAAAGACAAAAATATGAAATATCTCAGGGGAGGGCAAAGTTTCATTTTAAATGGCATAAACAATTGTTGTGGGGAGAGAATAAAACGTTAGGAACTGGCCAGTCATTAGAGACCAGCCTGTGCAAGCTAGTGAATGCTAGCTGCCGCCAGTTTGCCTTCCTTAGTGATGGGGCTCTTGATACGTTATACACTTTCATGCTTGACATGTGTGCATATGGAAAGCCAAAAACAGCTGAACAATAGATTTACTCATATCAGTCCCTGGCATAATTTTAATGCTTGGGCTCTATTTTCACAAAATAGAATGGGAACTTTATATCTTATTTCTTTTTTTCTGGGTACCGGAGGGAGGTTGAACTCAGGGGCACTTAACCACTGAGCCACATTCTCAGCTCTATTTTGATTTTATTTAGAGACAGGGTCTCACTGAGTTGCTTAGCATGTTGCTTTTGCTGAGGCTGGCTTTAAACTCGAGATGCTCCTATCTCAGCCTCCCAAGCTGCTGGGATTACAGGCTGTGCCACTGCCCCTGGCCTATACCTTATTTCTTATGAGGGAAAATATTAAATTTGCCTATTGTTCATACCCCATTTCTATGCCAAAATCTCATTTCAAGAGCAGGGCAAAACACTTATTTGGCTCAGTTTCAATGTGAGGAAGACTTCCTTGAGCCCACTTTCTCACTGAAAAGTTTCCCTATTACATTGAAGGTTTCATAGATACCAATGTCTCTGTGGGAAGCTGTGTGATTTTCTTGACTCTTACATGATGCTGGAAAAAAAAAATTAGTGTTCAGGCTAGAACTCTGCCTCAGAAGTAAGATTGGGAAAGCTTTTGAATTATGAGGTAGCCAAGCACCACTTTATTTTTAGTGTAGAAATAGGCAGCATATAATGAACATTCTCTTTTTATTGTTTTTGGGAGTAGTTTAACTTGCATGCCACATCTATTCTTAGTCTATGCCACTAAGTACCAGCTAAATTACAGTTGTGGAGTTTGGTTGATTGAACAGAAACTTGGACTCTCAGAACTTCTCTGAGCTAAAATGTAACACTGAGGAGAATTTGAAAATCTAGATTTCTTTTTTAAAGAAAATAGGAAACTCCAAAATGATCAGTGGAGAACTGATCTTAGAGAAAAATCCACCACAATCCTAGACATTTCATCTTTGCTTTGGGGGATTCAAACACTAAAATATGAGGAATTTCCAATTGTAAATCAAACTAAATATTTATTTGGAGGTTGAAGGAGAAAGTACTTCGATTTGGCTCTGCAAAATTCATGAACATACAAAGAAGCCAGAGTTTATAAACACCCTAATTAATTACAGTACTAGACTATACAAAGAAGAGCTTGGATGAAGGAAGAAAAAGCTGAGAAAAGATGTGCTACCAATAAATTCACCATACTGTAAATACATTACTTGCTGCTGCTTTAGTTTACTGAGAAATTTAGGCTAGGATAATGTGGATTCCAGCTGCTAAAACTGGCACTTCTCTTTCTAACCATGAGGTGATGATTTAATAAACTGCCACAGCAGACTTTCTAAAGCAGGTGAAATCAGTGGAAAGGAAAGAAGTAGAAATGTTTACAGGAAAGGGATATGAATCATTCTCCTACTTGATCCACTGCAGTTCTAAGAAATGCACGCTATTATTCTTTTCTTTTCCCTATGTGACATTTCATATGTACCCTAAATTGAGCAAGAACTCAATCCCTAAAATCTACATTGCCTATTTTTTTTTTTGGCAGGGGGGCAACTCATCAATCTAAGTAATGATGATAATTTATTTGAGAGGCAGTTTTGATTTCCTTATACTTACCATTATTATATTGTAGGCTTAATTATGTTAAGCAAATTCACATTTATATTAACTGGCCAATCAATTATATTAACTCTCTTTTTAAATAAAGTGTAACACTTCAAAGAAAAAATAAATTAACAAGAAGGCACTTATGAGTTCCTTTTTCAGCTATGTATCCTTAGCACTGGTCTGAAAGGAAACAGGATCCTATTCTGGCCCCACTTTCCAAGTATTACCTGTGCTCTTGGACACCCTTTCTCCCTTCCCTTCTGAAACTTTTTATTTTCCATTATTCCTATTATCTCCTATTTCTCACCATCAATCCATGTCTCCATTTCTTCCTGAGTTCTTTCCCTTCTACCTATTCAATTGCTCAAATGGTCCAGCATCCTGAAAACAACAACAAAACCCAGAAAACAAAAATCCATTCCTTGGCTTCCCTTTCAAACCATCTCTCTCTCGTTTCTTTAATCAAACACTTGGTATTTGCCTCTGCTTCCTGGTCTCTGGCTGTCTTCTGTAGCCACTGTAGTCTGGCTGTCATTCACTAATCTGCAACCATGAGCCCACTATGGATATGCCTTGCTCATAGTTCTGAAGTCAAAGAAGCTCTGAAAATAGTTTTGCAAAAATTTACTCAGCAACAAAAAGTGGCTAGAACTGATCCAAGCACTTTCAGTTTTTATGATTCCTATGTAGTATTCATACTTCTCACTGCAGACTTATCAAAATATTTGTGATCAATTGTGTTCATATACTTTCATCTTTCTAAAATCTGAAAATTGCTGAATTCCTAAGCATCCAGCCCAATGATACAAATAATGGGGTTCTAGACCTGCACTGTTAGGTCAGTAGCCTCTTCTGACCCCTCCCCATTTTACCGTCATTGTTGGCCACTCTTCCCTTCTTGAGACCCCTTCCTGCCCAACCTCTCTGGTACCCTCGGATCTTTTTTGACAACAATATCTCGCAACTCCTCTTTCTCTTCACAATTCTTAAATGTAACTGTGATTTCTGACCTCTTGTTTTCTCAGCCTATACATTCTACCGAATGACGCTATCCAAGATTTAAGACCATCTAGAAAGATAATTCCTAAATTCTCATCCCAAATCCTGACTTCCATTTAGAAATATGGAAAAACATTTTCAATAACCAGTTAGACATCCCCACCTGAGAGTCTTATAGCCCTGTATGCCTAACAGGTATAAACCCAAGCCTCTGTTCCTCCTTCCATATTCTCCATCTTGATTAATGGTAATATCATATGCCACTTGCTCCAGCTAGAAATGAGAGCATCTTCCTTCTCTAATACCATTCAGTCACTTCTAGGTCTTACCAATTCCATCTCCAAAAGGCCTTTCAGCATTATTCCCTTTCCTACAACTATCAGTTCAAATATTCATAATCACCCTTCTAGGTTAGTGCAAAACTTCTTCAATGATCTCTTGTCACCAATCTTTTGCCAGCTTATACTCCACGTTTTAATCACAACTGTCTTTCTAAAATACAGAACCAATTATGTCACCTCCATGACAAAAACAACAAAAGCATGCACAATTTAATGTCTAATTGCCTATAGAAAAAAATTTAAAGTACCCAGCATGATGTTAAATACCCTCAACCATTTGAGTCTAATTGACTTTTCACATCCTCATCTTGTACTTGCCCACAGGGGAAAAAAAAATGGCCAGCAATTTAGTCCTTCTGAATTCCAGCAGTTTAGCAACAGTGCCGAGTGCTTTGTTACCCTTCTTTTTGATTCCTTACAAATCAATAGCTACATACCTACTTATCCTTTAAGAATGGCTTCAAAGCTCTTTTTCTTGATGATGTATTCTCCAATTCATACATTTAGAATGTATTGTTTTATTTTATTTTGCTTATATCACTATCTCACTAATCATTGAGATTTGCCTTATTTTATACTTATTTATAGATATTCCTGTTTTCTTCACTGCACTGTGTTCTATGGCAGACATCATATCTAATTGTCTTTTTATCCCTATTTCCCTAAATGTAGAACTGGGCATATAAAAATCAATCAATATTTACTGAATTGAACATGCATTGCAGTATTTTATGAGGGCAAATCTGGGAAAGACAGGCACTTCCCATGAATAGGCACTGTACTTTATTACAAGCATTTAAAGACTCACATGGGCCTCTACCCCAGATTCTAATTCTTCTGGAAGTTGTAAAATAGTATTAAATTATGGCTTCATGGCATTATTATATGAACACAATCTATGGAATATAAATAAATAATTTGCTAGTCACATCAATAGCTCATTTAGTTTAAGGGGGTTTTGAAGAGGAAAGTGCTGAGTTTCTAAAACTTGGAAAAACACATTGATATCTAATATGCCATCAGGTACATAGCAAACTTCTGGTAACTCCTGATTTGAATCCCAATGTGAGGTTATGTTTTCTCTGGAGGAAATTTATGAAAGAACTATTAAACAAACAAAATTATATAATACATACTTCAGGGGAAAAAATAAGCTTTAGGAAGAAATGATAAAATCTGTAGAAGATGATGGTACTGACCACAAGGCAATGTAAAACAATGACAGTAACAGTGTGACTTGAGGAGGTAATTCTCTATTCAGCTCATCCCATTTATGTCAAAACAATGACATTTATGTCAAAACAATGATGAGGGGAATTATTACCTACTTTTGTCTTGGTTTTCTAAGATTATATCAGGAAACAAATTCATAAGGCTCATGGTCAGGTTTCTCCCTAATCCAAATCTGGCAGTATTTTAAAGTAAGTAATTCAAGAAAATGATTGCTTTACCGAACTCTAACTCAATTATCACTTTAAACAACAGGGCCCAATTTTTAGAAAGCATTTAGAATTAAACCCTCATTCTTTTAGCTTACACACCAAAAAGGCCTAATTGAAAACATGAAACTAACTATGAAAATACCAAAGTTGCAACCGCAAATAAGAAATTTCCAAAGATAATAGGTACTTTGAAAATTTGGGCACCTTGCCAAAATCTACATTTTCTTTCTAGCTCACTCTCAGTGACTGAATTCTATCCTGGTGAATTTCATAGGGGGAAAAAAAACAGACAAAAATCAATGGGTACAGAAAAATTTATGAGCAAATTGCTAAACATCATTACCTCTATTTATAAAATGCCATGTTATCATTTTTGTTGTTGTTGTTGAGAAAAAACAAACCATATTATTTTATATTTTAGTTTGGTGAAAATTTTGAGTATAGCATGTTAGAATCGGCAGGTTCTTGGGAAGACATTCTATCCTTGGCATAGTTCTTTAACTTCTGATTGCAATAACAGCAATTATTACAATTTTTGTAAAATTTTGTAGCAATTCCTACAAGAGGAACTGGTCTCTCACGAGACCTCTGAAATAACCTAACCATACCACATATGATACAACAGGGCATTTCAGCACAAATGAAATCTTGACCTCACATATATCAACTCTCATGTTTCAGGACAGCTGAATGCAATAGAATGTGTTTGGCTTAAACATGAAATAAAACATTTACCAGGTGTAGTGTATAATGCTTCTGGACTTGGTGACATTTTTGGTTTTGAAGTAGCACGCTGGGGCCCCTTAGGAACTGAAAGAGAGAATTCAGTTCATGAGTCTTTGGTTTCAGTGTCTCAAGTCATGCTTAACACATAAGGCCTGGTGAGGAATAAGCTGGAATGCTGATAAAACAGGATACGGTTGACCCAGGGGCTAAACAGAAAAGTAAATCATAAGCTCAGGGAGATAAGTTAGAAATCCAAATACTTTTAGGAAAACAAAATCTGAGTAATCACAAAATTTAACAAACCTTTGGGGTATGATAAAGAATTTTTTTATTTCCGAGGATACAGCAATTAAATAAATGCAAGAGTGCTTTTCCTTTTTGGATATGTTTGATTGACTTCTTAAACGTACTCTCATGTCTTCTGCTGGAGAAGTCAGTGAAGTCAGAGTGGAAACCTACCAGCACTGACAGGGTCAAGTTACCTCAGGCCACAGCAGAAAGGCAATGGACCATTGAGGACCGGTGGGTTCACTCTACTCCCTTGTGTTTCTCAGGCCTCCAGGAAGCTTCGAATAAACATGTTTCCAAATTAAACTTTTCTTTCTACATCCATTCCTTTGGAATAACAAGGTGCTAAATGAACAGGCACCAAGAAAATATATCTAATTTATTTATAGTTCACTTCTCAATTCAGAAATGCTTTTATAGGGATTATGTCTTCCGGTTTACACCATCATGCTGGGAGGAAGGAATTATCAGCTACATTGAAAGGTAAAGAAATAGGCAAGGTTCATACTACTATATAGTTTCTTCAACTTCTCAAGGAACTTTATAAAAATGGCATTGAAGAATCTGATTGTATCCTGATTTTCATATCGTTTATCCCCCCCAAAACTAGGAGCACCCATAATTATGACGTTTGATATCTATAAATATAAAATTAACAATAGTAATGTTATTATGTATGAACATAGGAATCTAAAAATCAAAGTTTTATGGACTTATAAGATAGCCTTGATGACTTGTTCCAAATTTTGGATTCTGCTTTGTCCTCAAATGCAAATAAAGATTTCAATCTCTAATTTATAAATATACTTTGCATTAAAATAGCAAGAAAGATGACATGACCAATTACAGAATTTTATTCTGAAAAAAGTTGTGGATAAATAAAATTGTGATACATTTTGAATTATTCACATTATTATTAGATGATACTCTTTTTTTTTATGCCCAGCATAATTTGCATTGGTATTATATACATAAATAGAACATTCTCTCACTCAAATGACCTCTTCATATTTACAAGAGTTGGCCAAAGGCAAGGGAAGAGGTACTAAGATTTGAATGTTTGTCTTTAAAATATTTTGTGACATGTATGTCAATTATACACACATATCATTAAAAGACTAATAATCTAGGATAATGCTAGTACCTGTGAAATAAGATTTGTATTCTCATTATGGGTAGGAGAGATATTCATTCCACCTACTTTAAAAACAAATAATTAGAATGGATTTTTTTCATGATTAGTTTTCCAAATTTTTCCCTTACATTAAGTAGCACTGACAAAGCCAGAGGTATTAGGGTTGCAGCTACTTTCCATCAGAGATCCTGATGGTCTGGAAGCTTCCCCAGTTGGGACAATTACAGGATACTCTTCTTACAGTTTGGCAGCCCCTTCAGGTTTTAGAGAGTGGAACGCATTAAGCCTGTGAATCTATCCATTCTCAAGTTACACATCTTGTCAAGAAAGGTTAGCTGAAGGTCTAAATCAAAATTAAACAAATTTGAAACTTAGAATATAGTATAATAATGGGAAATTAGAGCAAATTCTATTTTTATAATTACAGAGTACTAAGATAAAATTACGAATACATTTCTCTATTACTTCATCTCTCCTTTAATTATTTATTTACTTACTAACTAGACATTTTTAGCCTGTGTCTTAACTCCCAATATTTATTTTTTATTTTTCTCTTGTATGTCAATATCTATTAAGTTTTTGTGTTTTTAAAATTTCCATTTCTTCTTTCTTTTTAACTTGCTCTATGATGTATATTCAAATAAAAAATTGAGAGCTGCTTCTCATGTAATTTTAACATCATTTTTAAAGTGAGATTTTTAGTTTCCTATCAACAAATTTAATAGACTTGATTATTTCATAACTACTAGTTTTAAAATTTTTTATTTATTTCATACCTGTCCTATTATTATTTATTAATTAATCACTAATTATTTTTACCAGGACTTCTTATATCTTAATGTTTCAAATATATTATTTAAAATTTCTTATTCTTTGGGGCAATGTTATCTTGGCACCTTCATATATTTATGCATCAGAATGTATTATTTTCATAGTAAAGTTTTGGTAACTAATTAAAACAAATCTAAAAATGCACTTAATAATACAGACTTAAAAATTATTAGTTACTTTAAGGAATTTTTCTTTAAAGAAAAAAGTAAATTTTCTCTCAGAATCAGGTGTGGACCAAAAACTATAGTTTCTCTCCCCTCCTTCAGTGGAGTTTCCAAGATATGATTTAAATACTCATGGTAGAGTCCAGAATTACTACCTGGATCAAGAATAATTTTGATGCTGCTAAATATTTTCCTTTTCCAGACCACTAGTGATAGTGAAGTTTCATTTCCTGGTATCCTTGGGGAGGTGCACCTCAGATATTTTCTGCAGGTAGGTCATATATTAATGATAATTTAAATTAGGTGACTGCATAGGGGAAGTCCGTTCAGAGGTGGTGGAAGGACGAGGAGGACAATCTCAAGGTGGGAGAGGAAAAGGGAGTGGACAGGTTACCCTAGGAAAGAAATGCTGGTCTCAACTAGCCCCATCTTAAATAAGGGAACATTAGAGAAGCTTAGTGAATTAAGCTCTCCCAATGAAAAATTATTTGCTCAAACCTAAAGATAATAAAAAAAACCTTTAGTAGATGAAGACTTGTTTTATATGGGTTAAAAAACTCGACCTGCTATAATCAAACAGAATAACTCTATTCATTTCAAATTTTTCATTTTAAAATATAAAATATATTTACCTGGTTGTGTTTGTGAGATTCTTGGGTGTGGAGATGTTTTTGGCTTGGGAGGAGCACGTGGTGTCTGCCAGGGAGCTACAAGAAAGACATAGTTTTGGAGCTCTTGAGCCCTTCTTGAGAATCACAGTACCTAAGCCTCTAGGAATTTAAAGATGTTGGTTGAGTAACTGAAGACCAAAATACACAGCAAGTGCAACGAAAGCTTCTAAAGGACTACAGAGAAGAGGAAGACAATATTTTTTAAATACAGAAAACAAAACACAAAGGCACACTAAATGACATCCAAGATGTTCATCTGACAAAATGGAACTGTTGGGATTTCAGAAATATCTCCTTCAAAATATCTATTCAATAGGTTGAAAATAAATTTCATAAAATTGATTCTTATAATAAGTTTGCATCATTTCATCAGAATATCTAGGTGTGTTATTTTATACATACGTTTTTTTCTAAATAAAAAATTAAGTTACCAAATTATATTCCAAATATACAGTATATGCTAATAGCAAGTACTAATGGGGAAAATTAATCTTACTAAACAAAACACAATTTTATTGGTTATATCAGGGAAGAAAAATTGAACATCCAAGGTATTTTTCTGTGGAGCGTTATCCCTTTGCTTGATATTCCCAAGAAGTTTTAGGATATACAGTGTAAAACTGATTGTTGCTTCCTTCGCTAAGGAAATTAAAAGTATAACCTGACAAAGGAAGGTAATTATCATATGCAATTATCATCTGTGGAAGCACCTGTTTGGTTGAACTAAAATGGGTTTTCAACAAAATATAAGAAAAAATATGGTATGAACATCATGCAGGTTCAGGCAGCTTAAGAAAAACTTGCTGAAAATAAGAATTATTAGACACTAGAAATTTCTGAATGAATCTGCAAAGGATTCTTTCATACTAAACATCAAAACACAGAAAGTATGCAGGGTTTCAGTGGAATCCTCTTGCCTGTTGAGAGAAGAATACCAGCACATGTGGGAGATTATTTTGGTTTAGGAGCCTGGTGGTTTAGCTCCCTTTGCTAATCACAGGGCTACAGACTCAAGTTCTTCATCAAAAGTTACTGATATTTTAAGAGCTTTTCCAATGCTAAAATTCAATGCTTTGTTTGTTACAGTGCCATGATTTTCTGGTTCTCAACTTCCTCACTTGCTGAGGATCAATCTGATGGACTATTTGCTTTCCCAAGGATTTATGAAGGACCATGAGAAGGTAACGGCACATCATGAAGCAACTCCATGAAAAATGATGCAGAATAAGAAATAATAGTGTTTACAATTAGGTATTTCAAAAATATAAATGATTAGGCCTATTGAAGACAAACTTTGGAAAAGTCAGGTACAGCTTCCATTCATGTACCCAATGTAGAATTCTAGAAAAAAAATTAAACTGTAGAGTTTATAGGCAATATTTAGAATGTTTCAGAGCACAATAGATAGAATTAATATCCCTATTTCCCCTGAAAGCAGAGTCTTATAAAAATAGCTTAAGAGCAATCAAAACACAAGTTATGGCTTATTTATGATAAAACTTCTCTCCATGGAATCCTGCAGGAATTGAGAAGATCTTCCTTGGAGAAGAGACACACTTAATTTTTCATCTTGGCTACTTGTTTCCATTGATCCCTAACTACAACACTAAGCGAAACTTTATGACTTGCCAAAGTTAATGGTTGAGTTGAGTTTCTTTTATGTGTATGCAGTGAAATGACCAGACCACTACAGGAATGAGTGGAAAAAAGTAAGGCCCCTGAATAATCATGGTGACAGGCCAGTGCTGTTCTTCTATGTGGATTATATTGTGAAACCTATTTCTGGAGGTTTCTTTTAATCTCAAACACAAATGAGATATGTTAAAATTAATCAAGATGATAAAGTAATTAAGATTATGTATATGTATTCACATTGAATGTGTCATATATACATACACACACACACACACACACACACAGACTTAAAAAGAGAATATAAATGTCCTTTCCCAGAAACATTTCTATTTCCCGAGTTAAACACTTGAAGACTAGCTAAAGGGTGTTTTTCAGCATTTTGCTAACAAAAATACACAACATTGCCATTTGAGAGGTTACTGATGATAGATGGAGAAGTGGTACATCAGACAGGTAGGCTCACCCATCTGAGACGGTGAGCAGAGTGATGAAGCCAAGTCTTCATATCCAGAAGAGACCCATTTCTCATTGCAAACACTCACCTCATGCATGAAATATGAAATAAAGTATTTACCAGGTTCAGTCTGAGGCTCATCAGGGCTGGGTGGGGTTATAGTTTGGGAAGGCAGAGATGACGTTTCTATGGTAATTGAAGGAAAGTATGCCAGGTTACTAAAATGCTTGACACACCCTGATTACAGACAACAGATAGAAAAGTAACAGATTTTTTAAAATAAAATTGAAGTCTGTAGGAAAACGTCATCCCTATTTCTATGTAACTCATTTAGCTTAAAAAATGCTTAGTTAGTGCCAGGTTTCAAAGCACGTTTGAAGTAAGCAACATTATTACATTTAAAATCTTCATATTAGGATCCTGCCTCCTCAACAATTCTAGAAAGACATATTAAATAAGAACCATGAAAGGAAAATAATAAAAAAAAAATGTTGTGACACAAGCCAGTTAAGCAATATAGCATTTCACTTAAACAATGAAGGAAGAAGAATCCAGAAAGTAAATGAATGGGATGGAATGAGTGTTAATGGGAAGTCCGCTGCTAGGTAAGAAAGTAGAAATGAATCATCATACAAAAAAGCATCGCCTGAAACATTCAACACAATACCAAATTGGTGGAATGCTTAATGTTAAGAAAAGAGATGCTTTAGATTCAAACATCTGGCTGATGTAAGCAGAGAAAGGAGATCAAGGCTTAATATAAAACGGAAGAGACATTTTTGGACAATGGTTATGAGCAGAAGCACCAAGAATGACAATGAACTGTGTGACAAAGAATGGTGATGCAATGTGAATTCACAATGAGCGAGACCCTCAGGGGTCTGGTGATGGTGTGATGAGGACAGAAAGCATATGGGTTGGACGCTTGAGGTTGTCATTACCTAGCGTGGTCACAGGAGGTTCAGATACAAATGTAATAGATTCCACAACTGCATCAAAACAAAGGAGAACTATTTTAAAACCTGTAAGAAGTTAAGTTATCCTCAAGTATTTCTTCCTTGACTATCAACACACCTCACTTGAATCAAAGTGTGAAATATGATATATCAAGAACTATGTAATGTTTTGAACAACCAACAATAAAAAAAAAGAATTAGCATTGTCATTTATGGATAGAACAATGTATTTAGACAGGAAAAAAAGAAAAACAGGAGGAAATTGTATTTTATGACCTCAATTCTCCAATGTTTTAACTGTCTCTGACTTCCAAATGTTTTTATGCTCCAATCTTTAGATAACAGCAGAGAAACAGAAATTTATTTCTGTTTTCAGAGTCAATTATCACTTTCAGAATCCAAGAATGCAGGCTGGGGCGCAGCTCAGTGGCAGAGCACAAACAAATAAAATAAAGGCATTCTGTCCATCTATAACTACAACAAAAATTAAAAGAATAAACAAAGAATCCAAGAATGCTGGTAGCTATAGCTCCTCAAATCTGTTCAGTTGTAGAACAAATAAGTACTATAGGTTAAACATTTATGCTATACTATGTAACACATACTAATTAAAAATGTGTTGAATAAATGAACTGTAGCATGAAAACCTTTACCACTTTTAGGTTTTGATTCCTCTGTCCCGAAAGGTGATTTGGTCGTGGGATATATATAATCTGTTTTGACTGGTGCTGGGAAGAAACAGGGAATGGCTGGTTAGTGGAGGGCAGCCCAAAGTATACTGCCATGGAATCCTGTGTTTACCTTGAAAACTCAGGTTAATAATCTTATGCAGATATGCTCATGAGGATAATTAATATTCAAGCAGATTATCAAGATTGATATCAAGTAAATTATCATTTTAATAAGATTGAAATGAGGGCAGAAAATGAAGGCAGTGTGCTCTCTGGGAAAACATATACACACATGCACACACATCACATCATAACTGGCAGTATTTCCGGCAATTACTACCCAGAGCAAAGCAAATAATTTTACTTCTTTACATATTTTTGCATAAGAGTTCTTGTAAGAAAAAGACATAGAATGAATCCTTAGGAAGCATGGATACGAATATTAAAAATGATGTGAAAATGAAATTTGTGCAAATGTGAACATATTTACATATGTACACATATTAAAAGAGTGATCAGAATATTAAAAAAATAAAAGTTTCACTCAGGGAGAGGAAACTAAATAAGGAAATCATGAAACTTGCATAGCAGCAGATACTGACACAATATGCTGTATTTAATGACTCTCAAGACTCACTGGATAAGCATGACAAGAAGTGAGGAGCAGGTGGCTGTGAAAAGTCACAAAGCATGAGGACATCCAAAGATGATTTTTGCAATGAGAATGGAAAAGCATACATGCGTGACTTCCCATTGGGGAACATTTTTACCTATGGTCTCCTTTGATGACTCAGTGCTAAATGTAACCGATTCCAGAACCTCAGAAACTAGCAGGAGACACAAAATAGTACAATTGATCAAGGATGGATTGTTGTGAGCATTAAACAAATCAGTACAAACTAATTATTATGAAAGGAGCCTTCTACCTGGTAAGCATTCAGTGTTAACCGTTATAACAACAACAATGGTATTAGCACTAACATTAAAGGAAGCTCTAATAATTGAATTTAATTTACAATATAATTATTGTACGTTACCATTAATAACCATATTTTCAGCATGAATACCAAAATGACATTTATATAATTAAAAGATACTCAGAAGAGATGAAATTATAATCCTATGATAGAAAAAGATAGAATCCAATTTTTCAAAAATAAATGTAAGGGACAAGCAACAGCATCACTAACACAGATTTTAAAATTTTGCTCCAGTTTAGAAGGGCAATGTGTTTTGAAGCACTCATTGTTTGAGGGTAAGTTTTTCATTCTTTACTGAAGTGAGAACTTTCTCCTTCCTTGATGGCCATAATTGAACTCATTCTTTTCAGATAGTAGAGCACAAATTCTGCTCATGACTAAAGAGAACCACAAATTTGTTACTGTTGATTAAAAAAAAAAAGATAAGTTATATAATCAGGTTTTCTAAATGGTTATGGTAACCACTTAATAAGATGTGATTATTCCCTAAAATGATACAAAACAAACTCAACAAAATGAAGGCATTTTTATGCCATTGAATAATACAATTAATATTAATAAAATGTAACACTAATTTAATATCAATATACAACCATGGAATAAGCACTGTAAAATACTTAGATAAATTTGTGGAGTATATGTTCTTTTTGCATATGTTATACTTAGAAATATAATTCTTAGAGGATCACAGTCTGTACCCTGAAGCTCAGTGTATCCAGATAGATAAAACAATCTATTTACCCAGTTGACTTTGTGTCATTTCTAGGCTTGGTGATGTCACTGGTTTCAAAATAAGAGTCTGCAGTTCAGTGGGAGCTGAAAGAATTGTTGTAAAAACAATTATGAATTATTGTTTCATAGATTTTGGATAGAGGTAGCAATGAATTGAAATACACACATCCTTAAAATCACAAGGTTATGGAGAGCCATGCAGAGTGAATACTATTTAAAAAGCTATGGATGAAAAGAAATGAGATCTGAAGAAGATACATCTTTTGTCAGAGCCAATCCTTAGGCAGGATACCAAGATGATTTAAGCTACCATGTTGATTTCCCTCAACCATGAACCCAGTAATTGCTGAGCTGTTATTATTGTGCCTTGTCTCTTCTAAGGCATATAAGCAGGGATTGCAAGCCACTTCAGTGTCAATCAGAGACAATCATCTGGAGGGACCCGAGAAGCCACAAATAACAGATTTTCCTGATTCCACTAAAAAGTTTGAAAAAGTTTGAAGTTTGGAAGGTAGATGAGTCTTCTCCCTCTTAGGCTTTTTAAATTGAAGAAGGAAGATATTGGGTTATTCTAGAATTTGTAGGTCTAGAATCCATCAACAGCATTGTATGTGGATCTGTTTCTAAAGCATTTTATATTTTCTTGAGTTTATGTCCTAAGTTAAAAAAAAAAGTTAGTAATCTTTTATTATCACAGATAGTTCCATTAGAGACCAAAATCACATACAAAGCTCATTTGTTGATTGAAGGAATAAATATTAATATGCATAGATACTTGGAAAGATCCCTACTTAGTAAAGATTAAAAGCCATTGCTAAACCATGGTGGAGCTGAAGAGTGGTTATGCCCACTGATGATGGGGAGCCTGGATTAGCCAGGGCACAGCTTTATTTTTATTGACAATAAAATAGGGACACTTAATTTCTTAGAATATTGAGAACAGTACTCAGATCTTATGGAAAGTAAGTTACTTAGAGGAAGTTCATGATACTTCTATAAATCTAAACACCAAAGAGAAGATGAGTAATTTTGACCTCAGATTCAACACTAATCATATAATGAAATCTTAGAGATTCATGGAAGATAGATGCTTTTAAATGGATCCAAGGACATCTGCTAAAATTAAGACTCTTGGCAACTTATCAAGCATGAAATGGTATGAAAATAGCAGTCTCTGGAAGCAGGAGCAACTCTGGCCATGACAGTATGGTTTTTAGCGAGCAAGAAAAAGCATTTTATGAAAGTCACAAAAATCATTACCTAATGTTGTTGCTGGAGCCTCAGTACTATGAATATCAGGTTCAAAGCCTGGAGCAGTAACTGATTAAAATCAACAACATGAATATAAGAAAACTTAAATGCACATGAAAAACTAGTGTTTTCTTTCAAAACATTCCAAATGACATTTGTTAAAAAAAAAAATTAGAATAATAGGAAGCAAATAGTTGCATTTTGGAGATTTGGTTACACTGGCCAGAACAGTTCACTGAAGAAGACAGTCACATCTTCCGACTCTGCTACATATCTACCATTGCACATATGGTATTTAGTTTCTGATTATAACTTGTATGGTTGATTGCTTTAGAAATTTGTTCAGGTAATATGTATGCAAAATATACAAAAGTAACTCATTGTATTTCTTGGAAGTAAAAAAAAAAAAAACAACAAACAGTTTATGTAGCCATGCTACAACAAATGCTTCAATGCAGATATAGCAATAAATAGCCATTGGTGACTACACCAATTGTGCTGTAAAATCAGCTTTAAAGAGAGACCAAGAACTTCACTCAAACCAAATCATGTAAGAGAAAAAAACCCATGAGTCTTCCAAAGACATGTTCTTCTGGACAGTTCTGTAGGGGAAGCAGCTATAAACCATTACCCAAGGCCTTGACAAGGTAGACAAACAGTTCTTAGAGAACATGATGACTCTAACTTCCCACCATGGTTATTGCTTTGGGTTCAATGCTTAAATCAAGGAATTTCAGATTTACCCGGCTTGGTCTGGGATTCTGCAGGACTTGATGTGGTTTTAGGTCTGGGACGTGGACGACGTGTTCGTTGTATTTTAGGAGCTGGAGGAAGAAATTTTGGATTATGCTAGGGCAGTTGGCTTTGGAAACAAAATCCTATGTTTTCTAGGATTTGTGTCCTGGAAAGTTGAGGCATATATCTTTTAAGATTAAAATATTTTCTCTTACTTTTTTTTTAATCACTGAAGCTTGAGAGAAAAAACTCACATGTAAAATTAAGTTAAAGAAGGAAGAGACTCATAAACCTCTAACTTGGTGGGGTCTTAGATTCCTACTAAAACTTTTGTATATCCCAAAGAATCTACGGTACTATAAAAACTGTTATAGTTCAGTCTGTCTAGATAAGATATAGACACTACTATGTTTGAAATTCAGCTCTAGATGTGAGTGCTGTTTAGACAAAAGTACATGTCACAAATTCAAGTAGGATTACAAGGTAGGAAGATATTCTAGGTTCATGCATAGTTTTCAAAAACAATAGGACCCTTTTTAAAAGAATCTTTAACCCTCCTAAGAAGAGGCAATATAGGCTGAAGCTATGGCAGATGATAAGACAATCTTATAAAGCTGATGACAAATGTGATGATGATGATAATGGAATGGGTTTGAAAATGAACAAGAAACGTTGAGGAACACAGAATGTAATTACCCAGTGTTGTTTCTGGAGCCTTGGTTCTAAGAGTGACAGGCTCGAGGACTGTAGCAAGAGCTGGCCAAAAAAATGAAAAAATAAACCAAACAATAATTAACAATTCACTTTAAGGTTAATGCCACAAATTGATTTTTAAGCCTCTTAACTAAGAGAAAAGAGACATTTGTTCTTTGTAGATTTTCCCAAACACAGCCAGGTGCTTGTTTATCTCATGATACTGACTTGCAAGATAATAGCATATACAGCTAAATATCACGAAGTAGTTCACAAGATGTTTGATTACCTGATCCTTGCTATTTAGTCTGCTTGGCAAGCTTTTGACATTTAAATAATATATGCTCTTCTGATGGCACTAAAAAAAAGAATTTATTAGTCTTGTACTTCTATAGAAGTTGAGATAACTGTCTACTATTTTTGTTTACTATTAAAATATTTATGAGTATAATAAGTTCATATGTTTGAATGCCTAAGGAACACCACCAAACTGATAAACTGTGCCCATCAGAATACAAAGTGGCCTCCAACGCAATAAAAATTAAGAAATACTTTTAAAACTGTTAGAGAAAGACAATGAGTTAGTCTACCCTATCACAGAAGCCTGTCAGTTAAATATTCCAAGTTAAGCACATTAAAAATTTTGACAATTCACTATGGACACCATTCCTTAAAACAGCAGATCCATAGACCCTAGAACAGTAAGAGGTAATATGAGCAAAGCAGCATGATATTTCCATAATTGTTGAGGGACAAGAAAGTCTAGGTGATGGACAGTTTGAAATACAGCTTCAATTGGTGCTGTTTAAGCAAATGCACATGATCACAGGATACAAGGCTGAGCAGTTACATGACAGTTCTAAGTCCTGAAATTAGTTCATGCACAGTTTTCTTAAATTCAACTAATAATCTGATATAGAACCCAGAATGATTTCAAGAGAAAGACTAATGGGATGATATCAGAGGATGATGAAATGGTCCTATGATGCAGAAGAACCTGCGATACAATGATATGGTATGATAATGCACAGGAAAAGCATAACTGCAGACATAGCATTCTCATTACCTATGGTTTCTGAAGCTTCAGTTCCAAGAGAACCAGGTTCAAGATCTGTAGCAGGAACTAATTAAAAGCAAAGAAATAAATGTGTGTGGAAAGTCAGCAAATTAAATATCACCAATATAATATTGCTTCCACAGGTATATGGCAATTAATTTCTGAAATTTAATACTGGTAACTTGGAGATTTGGTTATCTCGTAACCAGGTAAACTTTCTTTCAAGAGGTGCTCAGCCACAGCTTATACAATCTTCTAAGAATCTCAATAAAGTCAATACAGTAATCTCCTAGGTAACTGTACCTGCTTCCAAGTATTGTAGAAAGCTACCCTAGAAACTTCAGACATTTCACCAAAGATGTACTTATCTAACTATTCAACAACTACTGGTTTTTTTTTTTTTTTGGTAGAAGCTTCAAGAAAATAACGTTTCTAAAAGAGTATGGATACAATAAATAGCTTTTATGTTTGAGAGGAGAATGTAGCAAATAATAAAGCAAAGTGAATTGTAATAATCTTGTTGAGAACTTGACTTTGGAAAGGCTGAGATCTCGTTCAAGGCAAAGGTACTCAACAAACCAAGATAATGGATATTCACTCAGTGTGTGGTACTCAGTAGAGAAGCTCTCTGCTCTAATCACAAAAATGTAGTACTTTCAAGTGGACAGGAAAGATCACTGATGCTTTGGGGAAAAGATCCAACCTTTTGAACCATACCTTCAAGGTATGCTTAACTGTGCTTATAGACCTCTCCAAACACAACTACTGTCACAACCCAGAATCAGGATTCCACTTGTTGTAGGAAGCTGTGCCCCTCGTTGGGCTCCCCACCTCCCTTCTATCTCTTTTCATCTCCAACACTTTAAGAAGCAACTTTTTTTCCCCCCAAATCTGGATTCCTGTCCTCCACAAACTTGTCCTTCTCAAAGTTCATAAGTGCTCATGGCAATCTAAAACCAAGTTTGGTCGGCAACCATGATTAGCTGTAGGAAGATGGAAGGCTTTTAATGTTTATATCTTGAAATAAAAATACTTGGTTATATTTAAGACATTTTGTCTTTAAGAGAAGGATGGAATGAAATAAGCAGTAGTAAATATGATCACAGTAATAGAGAAGATCCTTATGCAGAAAGCTGGAGGAGTTCAGCTGTTACCCACGTCCCCAGCTATATTTTCTCTTGGAAATGTGACAGTGGCAGAAACTGTAGATCACTTTTTGCTTTCCCTGATATAGGCTGTCACTCCCATCACAGGCATTAACCACAGGTTTCCAAGAGTTGCTAGGATGCACACTTTTATCAGTAACCCACATTTACCCGGTTTGGTCTGAGGAGCCTTAGGACTTGGTGTGGTTTTAGGTTTGGGACGTGGACGTCGGGTTCGTTTTGATGTTTTGGGAGCTGAGGAAAGAAAACCTTCAGTCATTACAAAGTCTATAGTTCAAAATTCATGGGGTAGCATGATACACAGCTTTAAGTTTCCTAAAACTTACTTAATTTTTTTCATATTTTAGAGAATTTTTTGTAACTACCACCTTTATTATTACAGCCTGTTTGCTTTTATAATTCAAATTCCATTGGAGTAAGTCAGATATAAAATGGAATTACTAATTCAAGAAGTGAAGAGTAGTTAATAGAACTCTGACAGAATAAAAAGCTTGGGAGTCACTACTAAAAATTTCAAAGTGGCAGTGGGTGATTAATTGCAAGCTCTTTGTAAGTTTACTAAAATAAGACCACAACTAGACTGTCAAAGAACAAATATTGCACAAATAGCCAAGAAGAATGAATGAATGAATAATTAAATAAACACAAGAACTTTTAGATGCACAAAGAAACTTCCTGGCATGGTAATCATTGTTAGAGCCAAGAAAATTGCTTTTCAAAGTTACCTTTAATAAAACACTGCTTGAAAACACACAAAATGATGAAACAATTTCAGATGGTTACATGCCCAACATATGACCTTAATTAGATTCATATGAGTCTCTTAAAAACAAGAGGTGACTTGTTGTAAGAGTCATAGTTTAGAATATTTTGAGAATTAAGATGGTAATGGAATGACAGGAGATGATGGTGTCGTCTTACAAAGCAGAAGCACCTGAGGCTGTGATTTTGATGCAAGGAGTCAACAAGGAGGAAGAGCACTTACAAAGGACTACAATGTGTCATTACCTTCTGTTGTCACCCACATCTCAGTTTTGAGTGTCACAGGTTCAAACTCTGCAGTAGGAACTAACCAAAATATTAAGCAAAATGATAGTTTCAATGAATGAAAATGATTGTTTTGAAATGCATCTTTCTAGTACCATTTAGCTTCTGGAACTATATAGCAACTTTAAAAAAACTATTAAAATAGAAAAGAATATAGTTGATTTCCTAACATTTGACTGTACCTAAGTTAGGTGCTTGTTTCTTAATTTTTCATTCTTTGATTATCTTATAATCCAAAGTGGAATGTATAGGTATTGCTGAGAATTCGTCTTTGGAGACACTGAGGCCTCGTAATGATGAATTGATTGGGTTATCTCTCCATTTGCAGCAAAGAAAGAGCAGGCTTTCATGGGGAGACCAAATCTCTACTGCTCTGTCAGGCTCTAAGGATCTCCACCATGTGGGGAGAGGCAGAAAGGTTTCAACTCCCACTTGAAGCAAGATGTGCCCTATACCAGGATTTAAGTTGCACTCTTGTGATTGATCTCCACTTTGGTCTCCTCTGATTTTATTCTTTCTACCCTTCTGCTTATCCCTTTCCTACAGTGATTTCAAGACTCCACCCTTTAATCTTTAATTCCCTGCTTCAGATATTTATGTACCTGCATATCTTATTGGTAGCATCACAAAATCAATCTTGTATTTGCTTAGACACTGCCTAGTGCCATTTTCTATCTTATTTATAAAGGAATGGCTTCTATTTTTAAATATCTTTCTGGTTTGAGGATTAAAATATATCTCCCACTTTTGATGTATACCTCAAAATATGCATAGAATTTGGAGGCTATCAAAACCAATCAATGTTTATATTTTAATTTGAACTGAATCTGTCTAAAGAAAATTTATCTTCAAAAAGTAAAAGGAAGTAATTAAAATGCACCGTGAGAGAAGACGCAGTCAGGAGGCTCAAGGCAATGGGTGCCCTCCAGCTGTCCCTGAGCTGTTTCTCTGAACCTCTCTATAGTAGGAACTGCTGCTGCTCATGCATTGCATCTTCACTCTCATAGGGGTACTGGTCCCCCCAACTACTGAGATTACTCTTGAGACCCTAATGGATCAGGCTGCTGAGACTTTAAACCAGGAACATGAATGCTGAGACTTTAACCAGGAATGTTTACCTGGTTTGGACTCAGGTGCTTCAGGACTTGGCATGGGTTTTGGTCTGGAATGTGGACGAGTTATCCATTGTGATGTTTTGGGAGCTGAGGGAAGAAATTTTTGGGTTACTACATACATTATCTATGGCTCTGGGAGCTCTGCGAGGTGAAAATGTGACTCTAGACTTTAAAGCGGGTTAGATATTTACCTTTTTAGATTTCTGTCTCAAAAAGACAAATAAATATACATGTACTTATTATAAATCTTCTGTTATCATAGGAAATTCTTTGAAGACAAATTTACTTTTTAATTGAAGAAATAGAGACTAGAATTACAAAGTCTCATAGGGCATCTTGACTGGCACCAAAATATTTAGGAACCATTGCTAAATTTGAATGGACAATGTGGGACAGTCTCACTAAATCTGTGATTGAAATTTTCAATCTTTGACATGTTTTCTATGTAACTATTAAAATAAGAATATGTTATTACTGAAACAGAAAAAAAAACAATAAATAGTAAGCAAATAAAAGAAAAAAGATTGAAACAGACTTGCAATGGCTTTATCTGTGGGGGGCAAGGGAGGGAGAGGGAGAGAGAAAGAGAGGGATGTGTGTGTGTGTGTGTGCAGGCTGAGACCTGTGGTATGGTCAAAGCAGAGCTTTAACACAAACACTGCTTAAATAAAACAAACTGACATGACAATTTCAAGCAGGTTACATGCCATCTAAATGATCTAAAGCAGGTTTATGCACAATGGTTCTCTTAAAAACAACATATAATTCAAGAGCCTTCTTAATTTTTAAAAGAATATAATGGAATGACCACAAAGAATGACACTGTTATTATAATATATTCACATTACCTAATGTTGTTTGTGGGGCCTCAGGTCTAGGAGTGACAGGTTCAAGGACTATAGCAGGAACTGACCAAAACAACACAATAACCAAAGAGATTTAAAAATGTATAACAAATTAGAACATTCACATCCAAGTAAATTTTGAAATTACTAATAATATCAATTCTTCTAAGGAAGAAGAAAAGAAAAATAATTAACTTGTTCTTTGAAGACTTAGCCAAACTTTAGTCATGTTTGGTCTTAGGCTTACTTCTTTAGCCACTTTGAGAATCTTAAAGAGGTCCATGTGAAATTCTCCTAGGTAGTTAATGAATTCTTATATGGAAAACTCTTCATTGGAAAATAATTTAATGCATTTACCTAATATATACTGAGAAAATAAATTGTTAACTGACATAATTGCTCTGTACTTCTATAGAAGCTGAACTTGAGTACTTACTATATTTAAGTAAACATAGATGAGAAAGAGAGTTTATATGTTTGAAACACATAAAATTTAACAGGCAAAGTGGCCTGTAGTAATCTTGACAAGAACTCATCATGTGTGGAAAGAGTTTGAAACCTCCCTCCAAACTATGGCACATAAGACAGCAAGATAAAGATGGTCAACAATGTATAATGCCCAGTAAAGAATCTGTCTGCCCTATGTCCACAAAAAGCAGAAATCAAAGACTGTAGATATCTGTATCCTAGCTAAGCTCCTGAATCAAATCCTCCTTCAAGTGGCCTGATGGACCCTTCCAAACCTAGCATCATCATCTCTTTCTGGCCATCTCAAAGTAGTCCATCTGGACTGGCTGCCTTTCTAGCTGACCCCCTTTAGAAGGTCTGTCTAAACCTTCTGCTTTGGTTCTTTCTTTCCTCTATTGATCCAAACTCTGCAGTGGGTCCAAGGGGCAAGTCTATCCAACTTTGATCTTTCCCTCTGCCAGATCACTGATTTATGTTTGCATCATGCAGCCACATCTTTTTAATTCTGCTGTTTTAGAAGTAAATCTCCTACAAGGGGCAAATCACCCAGAGTTGCCAATGTAGGTGATTTCCAATTTGTTTACTTGAACTGAACATATTGGCTCTGCTAAAGTAGTGTCTCCTTTATGATTTGAACGCAATTTGATAGTAAGAAATATGTTAAATGCATAGTTTGGAAGAAACTAGAAAGAATAAGGTATTCTGGCAGCAGCTGGATCTCACCCAGTCACATTCTCTTTGCAAGCTGGGCAGAGATGTTATACTGAGGTCTTGTGACCCCACACTCGGGGAGAACAAGAGCTATTACTACCTAGAATTGCCATTAGTTTGAGTCCCCACTGGAACAGACTGCCAGGGTTCACCCTTAACCCAAGTAATGACAGATTTACCCGGTTTTGTCTGAGGCACTTGAGGTGTCGGTGTGGTAGTTTTAGGCCTGGGTCGTGGACGCCGGGTTCTTTGTGATATTTTGGTTGCTGAAGGAAGAAAAGCCTTGTGTCACTCTACGTCTTATAACTCTGGATACTGAGGACAGTTTTTTTCCAAAACTTGTCAGATTTTCTAAAGTTCTGGGAAATTATCCTTTAAGTTTTACTTTATAACTCTTTTTATATCTATGTATCTTCTTTTTGTCATTGATAGTGCATTGAGTTTCTTACTCAAGGCATGAAAAGTAGTACTAGTATTGAAAAAGTCATAGAACTTCCTCACCTGGGGGAAAATGATTGAAAAGGAATGTTTAATAAAAGGGAAGGAGAAATCAGGGTCACACTCATGAAGAGATGAAGATTTCAAATTTGGGTAATTTCCTAGTTGTCAAATTAATAATAAAATATAACATTACTTAAAAGTATCAACAAGAAAAAAACACATCATGCAAAGAATTATAAAAAAAAGATGTAGAAACTTAAATGTGCAAAGGAGCATAAGAGTAGCCATTATTGCTGATCAGCCTAGATAAGAAATAGATCTCAATTTGCTTAAAAACCAGCTTTACTACAAAACATTAAGTGAAGTACAAGACAACATGACGATTTTAAATGTGCCACCTGGAAGATAAATGTTTGCACTAAGCTCATGCCTGCTCTCATAAAAACAGTAGAAAACTTGTTTTTAAGAGGCTCAAACTCTCCAGAGGGTAGAAGTGGTTGAATGGCAGCAGAGGCTGACGGCTGCCATCGCAAAGGTAGAAAAGCCACATCATGGGGATGCACATCATGGGGATGGAGACTGAGTGGACTGTACAATGAGCAGCAAAAACTTGGCAAATGCACAAGGTTGTTACCTAGTGTCGTCACAGGGGTCTCAGTTCTGGAAGTAACAGGTTCAAGGTCTGTAACAGGAACTGAAGTGACAAAATAACATTTAAAAAATGTATGAAGAGCCACCACACACACTTCAACATGAATCTTTTCAGTGTAACATTGCTTCTAGAATGTATAATTTTAGATTTCTGGATGACGGATGCTATGGACTGAATTGTGTGTGACCCCACATTCATACGCTGAAGCCCTAACATCCAGTGTCACTATATTTGGAGGAAGAACCTTGAAGGAGGGAACCAAGGTTAAACAGGATCATAAGTGTGGTATTCTAATCCAGTCTGAGCTCCTTTTCAGAAGTCAAGGAGACACTAGGAATGAATGCACATAGACAAAAGGCCTTGTAAAGTCATAGCAAGAAGATGGCCAACACCTTGATCTTGGACTTCTATCTTCCAGAACTATAAAAAAATTGGCTTCTGTTGTTCAAGCTACCCACTGTGCAGTACTTTGGCATGACAGACTACTTAGCTGACTCAGAGTATGATCATTCTGTCCAGGCTGGCCGAACTGTTAGGTCTCTACCTCACATCTCTGGTCTTGTTTAGCACTAGAGGCAAATTATTTCTCTAAATACAATGCTTGATTATCTGAATCTAAATTTTGGAAGACTTTAGGACATTTTCACCCTTGTACTTAAATATGTTTCTAATCAGTCTCAAGAAACACATGAAAAACTAACTCACACATTTTAGGATGCTAAATAGATAGAACATCTACCAGATTTAATCAAATTATGACTGCAAAAAAAGAGTTCTGAAATATCTAAGCAGACATTATACAATAATAAAAAATAATTCAACTAGCCTATAGACTAAAAAGACATCCTAACACCCTGAGTTAGAGGAAAGGTTCTATTCTTCTCTTCCAGCCATAAACTCCTTGCCAACCCTGGGGAGATTCCCTCACTAAGAGACATGTGACTTTATATTTTCAACCAGTGACTGACTCCCAGGCTTCTGAAACCTAGAACCCTGTATTTATCTGGTGTCTTCCCAGGTATATAGACTTGGAGTGGTTCAAAGTTTGTTTTCTTTGGGACATTTTTGGAGGTGGAAAGAGATAACCTTTAGTTATTTTAAAACTTATGGTTCTTCAGAGAACAGAGTTTAAGAAATATTTCTAAGTATTCCAAAGCTTGATAAATTTTCTTAAGTTTTAGGAAATGTATTTTTTTTTCTAGTACAAAACTTTTGTTCCTTTGCTAGTACAAAACTTTTGTTCTGTTACTGTATTTTCTTTTTTTATTGAAGATATTTTGGGGGAAAATTCACATACATAATGAAGTTATTAATTCAGAAAGTCAAAATGGATATTTTTGCTTTTATTTATCACATCTTCCTAGAGTTCCTTGCCTAGATTAAAATGGTTGAGAATCATTAAACTTTAGTGGAGAGGAAGAGGAGTGAGATTAACACTAAGAATGGGGTTCATTATTTAAACTTATAAACCTTGATCATATTGTATTATTCAATTCACTAAAACATACGACCCAAATATTAACAGATAAAAAACACAGCTAGAATCAAAGGGAGAAATACAAAGGATGTATAAAGAAACTTCCCTATAATAGCTTGGTTTGCATAGACCCAGAATCAGATACTCACACAGAAATATGAGATTTACCTTCACAAAGAATTCTGGTTAGCCAAAAAACAAAGTAACATGAAAAATTTTTAAGTAACTTATAAGGCAGGATGATATCCAAAACTAAATTTCTAAATGATTTTCTTACAAACAAGAAGCAATTGTTTTATGCCTGTTCAGCTCATGTATAATGAAGACTGTAACTAGAGTTACAGTGAGTTTGACAATGAGCAAAGGAAGCACTTGCTAAAGGTCAGAGTAGCATTACCTAATTCTGCTCCTGGGGCCTCTTTTACAGGTGTAACTGGTTCAAAGACTGTGGTAGGAACTGGCAGAAAATAACAAAACAACAACAAAAAAACCAACATTAAAATTTATAAAAATTCAGAACACTCAATTCAGAAAGAATTCTACCAGGAAAACAACATGTTGCAAGGAGAGGTGGGGGGAGGGGGAGGGGGAGGGAGAGGGAGAGGGAGAGGGAGAGGGAGAGGGAGGGAGGAAGAAAGAAAGGAAGAAAGAAAGAAAACAAAACAAAACACAGTTAACTGGAGCTGAGGCAATATGGTGCCCCCTGCCATCAGATGCCAGTTTCTGTCTTAAGAGGGATTGACATCGATTTTGTATTTAGATAATGGCCTGTGTAAATAGCCTTGACACTTTTCTCATTCTTTGATCATCTGAGTCTAACTAATGTACCAAAGTCACCTGCCATTCTTTGAAACTGGTTTGTGTTCCCCAATGGTCCACAGTGATTTAAAGGCTTGGTTCCCAGGATGACACTGTTGGAGCCTAGTGACAGGTCCTTAGGTTACTGGGGGGTACAAAATAGTTTGCACAGCCTTATGTAGTTCTGGGGTAGCCCCTTGAGTTATCAAAAGAGGATCATTATATAGCAGGGTTCAGTGGCATATACCTGTAATCCCAGAGGCTAAGGCAAGAAGATCACAAGTTCAAAGCCAGCCTCAGCAAAAGTGAGGTGCTAAGCAACTCAGTGAGACCCTGTCTCTAAATAAAATATAAAATAGGGCTGGGGATGTGGCTCCGTGGCTGAGTGCTCCTGAGTTAAATCCTCAGTATTAAAAAAAAAAAGATAATTATGAAAGGAGCAAGCAAGCTTGGCCCCTCCTGAGATTTGATCACTTGCTCACTCCTTCATAAGCACCTGCCATTGCTAACTGAGCCAGATGGTGGTGCCAATGTACAGACCTCACCAGCCTGAGCTCTGTTATTTGGACCCTGAGGCTCCAAATCTGTGGGCTAGATAAACCCCTTCTTTACAAGTATTTTGTTATGGTGATGCAAAGCTAGTACATAGATCAACCCATCCTACTGGAAACTCATCTCTGGAAAGAGCCATGAGCTCTGTCCAATTTGAGTACATAGTAGGGCAGGATGAGGTGCAGCCAGGTATAGCACAGCAAGGCATCCTTCTGTCCAACACTGAGAGAAAGCCTGAGTGTGTGGGTTCTTGAATGTAATCCAAACTCTGGAGTTTAAAATTTCTTGACTGGTCCTATGGGGCCATCTAGCTATTGCAGTCTCAGTGCAATATTCTGACCAATCCCTGGAAGCCTGACAGACTCTGATAAGAATAAGTTCCCTTCTCTCCTAAACTTCTCTATTATCCTCCTCCCAGGGTGATTTTCCCCTAAGAATGATTTTTTTTCCTATTTGTAAGTGGTTGGGAAAAAAAAAACAGAAAAAAGAAGAAGGAATATGCAACAGAAAATGTAGCCCACATAATCTGAAATATCAACATTTGCTAAAGCTGCCTAGATGATTATGATCACTCATAGAACTTTACAGTTATCAAGAAATAAGCTCCCAATGGTACAAACATGCATTTGTTTTCTAACTGGTTCAGTTGACTATATACTTGATACTTAAAATATGAGCAGAATTGAGTGAGAAGCAAATTAAATACACGAAAGAGAAGAATTCCAGTTCACAGAGTACAAGGAATTAGGCTCCCACACCATCTCCTCATCTTATTCCTCATCACCTGACCTCATTGTCCCCACTGTGACAGGCCCATATGGTTAGCATTCCTTAACCAGGACCTACACATTTACCCAGTTCTGTGTGAGGTGCTTCAGGACTCTGTGTAGTTTTAGGTTTGGGACGAGGACGGCGTGTTCGTTGAGGCATTTTGGGAGCTGAAGGAAGAAAACCTCAGGTTAATGCAGTGTTTTGGTTTCCAGAAGCTGTGTCTAGGGTTACCCTTGTTTTCATATCTTGAGTTTCAGGAGATTTTTTTTCTTTTGAGTTTGAAAGATATGTCCCTATTTTGATAATCTACATCTTTATATCATTTACATTTCTTTGCAAAACAAAATTCACACAGAAACATGAGTTGATATATCAAGGACGTTTCAAAGGGGGTTCTCACAGGGCTTCCTGAATTCAAGAAAGGTCCCAAACCTTGCTGAGTTATGGCTGGGGTGGCGCATGATTTTATACTAATGATTGCACTTATAATTTAAATTCACTAGCTTTGGACATCTTTTCTATTTTACTCCTTACTGAAACAAGACTATATCATTACCTAAAGTGGTAATCCAAACACAAAATCATGCCCATACTAAAAATAAAGGAATTTAGAGCTGCAGAAGAACTGTCACACTATAATAGCTGTGCCAATTCACTAAGACTAGATGAGACATAGATGTCACCCGCCCCCATCACCACTATTGATTGTATTTGACATGCAACAGCAAAGAATGTGATCAAAATGTTACATGGGAGCAGAGACACTAATTCAAAGGCGGTACACTGCATATATATACACACACACACACACACACACACACACATACACCAAACTAAATTCATGCTTGGCTCTCTTAAAGACAAAAAACTGTTGTAATATCCTTAAACATTTTAGATGATCAATGACAGGAGATGATGCAGAAGCCTTGTGAAGGAGGAGAAGCTGTGGTCATAATGGTGATGAATGGGCAGGAAATGTACATGAACACAACATGTCATTACCTAGTGTTGTCCCTGGAGCCTCAGTCCTAACAACAACTGGTTCATGGATCATGGCAGGAACTGATCAAAAGTAATAAAAGAAACCAGAGAGACTTTGTGAATGCATAGAATGTAAAAAAAAAAAAAATTCATCTTACCAGTAAAAGTTTCTAAGGCTAAGAAGTTAACTTTTAATATTCTTAACTCAAGAGAAAACAAAACTATTTTTTTTCTTAGAATATTTCTGCAAACTTGGGCACACTCATTTGATTCAGAAATAGTTGTAGCCTTTGGACTCTGCTGACCATCTCCCTGAGGTCAACTTTAAAATCTCGCTCTTGGTTAATTATTTGATTTGAACTAACTTGAACACTGATATATTAGTGTTATATTTGATTTAAACTAACTTGATCACTGATATATTAGTGTTATATTTGATTTGAACTAACTTGAACACTGATTCATTATTAGAAAAATATGTTGCAAAGACAACCAGCACTTTTGTAGAAGCTAAAGCCCAAAAAGCACCCACTTCCTGCAATAACCAATAATGACAGATGCAATAAACAGTTCAGATATTTGAACACAGATATAGAAGAGTAAACCATCTCTAAGAGTAAACCAACTGAATAATTCTTGTCTAGGTCTTAACACCTTCGTGTATTCTCCTCCCCTTCAGTGTGTTGTGTCTTGCTTCTAATAGCAAAAGGCAAAAGTGAGAGGATGTCACTCCCAGAGTGTCTGCCATGCTATCACAGGAGAGAGACAGGGAGACAGGGTGGGGAGGAGGAAGGAGGAAAGAATGGATTATAAAAGGTGTTAATTCGAGGAGCAGGAAATTATTGGGGTCACGCTGGGCTTTGTCTACAACACACAGTAACAACCAAAAGGAAGCTGAGACTACCCTGAGTCCTTTGTGAATATAGCGCTACTTAAGATGAAGAATGACCTCAGCTTTTGATACCAATAGGCTGGTTATCTTCAGTTCTCTGAGCAGAAAAAGGCATGGTCCTGCCCTGAAGCAGAAATCACTGAAGCACAAGGGATAAAACTTAAGCCCCTCTGGTTTAGTTTATCCCATGGGCCATTCAACAGGAAAACATCAGTAAGTTGACCTGTCTGGGGAGGCAGCTTCAATGTATTACCTGTCATTCTTTGTTCCTTCATCCTTCCATTCATTCAAATCCTGTGATTTCTTCCAATTATCCTCAATATTTTCCTCCTCAAAATGTTTATGCTTCTCCTAGCATGTACCATTTATACCATTCAAGAAATTATATTTGCATGAAAATGCTGTCTTATATTACTTTCTGTTTACACAGGAATAGCTTTTGTTTACTACTACAGTGCAAGGGAATTGGTAAATAAAATATACCTCTTACTTCTCTTGTATGAGCTGATATGGTTTGGGTGAATTATAAAGGACTTAATAAAAGTAGTTGATGCTGCTTAATACTATACTGAGCAGCTTTATCTTTAAAATGGATGGCATTAGAGCAGATTATGCTAAGTGAAGCTAGCCAATCCCTAAAAAACAAATGCCAAATGTCTTCTTTGATATAAGGAGAGTAACTAAGAACAGAGTAGGGACGAAGAGCAGGAGAAGAAGATTAACATTAAACTGGGATGAGAGGTGGGAGGGAAAGGGAGAGAGAAAGGAAATTGCATGGAAATGGAAGGAGACCCTCAGGGTTATACAAAATTACATACAAGAGGAAGTGAGGGGAAAGGGAAAAATAATACAAGGGGGAGAAATGAATGACAGTAGAGGGGGTAGAGAGAGAAGAGGGGAGGGGAGGGGAGGGGGATAGTAGAGGATAGGAAAGGCAGCAGAATACAACAGACACTAGTATGGCAATATGTAAATCAATGGATGTGTAACTGATGTGATTCTGCAATTTGTATATGGGGTAAAAATGGGAGTTCATAACCCACTTGAATCAAAGTGTGAAATATGATATGTCAAGAGCTTTGTAATGTTTTGAACAACCAACAATAAAAATTTAAAAAAAAAGAGAGACAGAAACAAGATGGTAATAAAGGAGATTTCCCAAGAAGCAAGCATGAAGTGCTTATCCATCTCACGCTGTCCTCATTAATCAGTAGCTTCTACTCTTAAGAGTTATGCAGGGCATGTTACAATATATCATATGTGCATAGAATGGAGGGTCCCAACTGGGGTAGGCTGCATGGGTTCTTAAAACCACACCACATATTTACCCAGTATTGTCTGAGGTACTTCTGAATGGGGCATGGTTTTAGTTTTGGGATTTGGAGGATGGATTATTGAAGCTGAAGGAAGAAAATTTAGGGTTAACAGGGTGCTAATGCTCCACTAACTGTGATGAGGCTCAAATAACATGGCTGTAAGTTTTCTAAAACTTGTTAAGAATCTGAGTTCAGAAAACTCTGTCTTTTTGTATTGAAATTTTCTCGTTTAATATATTAATAGAGTTTTTTTGATAATTGAGAATTCCCCAGAGACAAAAATTATACATATGATTACATTTAAGAAATAAAGATTAGTAACTATCATTATTTTCTTGGAAGTATCTCCAATCCTGAACTAGTTACAAATCACTGCTCAACTCTAATGGTATGAGGGATGTTCCAACCAACCCTATAGTGTTTGTTCCCTTATAACTTAAGGTGACTAGGTCCAGACAAGCTTTCCTCCTGGCAATTTACTAGAGTAAATATATGAAATTCACGGAAACATCAACAAAGTGAAAAATGACTATATAAAACCTGAAATATAGAAATCAAGTTGCTTAGAGAACTCTTCTAGTCTCATCATCGATATTGCATTAATGGTCTCAATGAGGAGCATGTGGGGAATCATATTTGGATGTTGACTCTAACAAGCTGTTAATATTGTTCAGAGACTCCAACCCACATGGTGATGCAATTTCAGGCTGGGATGTGCAGCTGATAGCTGCCTTGAATTAAGTCCAGGCTGTTTTTCTGTTACAATGCAAGAAAGCCTTCAACATTTTAGGATGAATACTGTCATAGAGGATTTTATAACAGAGGGTGGCACCATCATCTATTCAACACCACAGCAAAGTTTAATAAAGAAGAAAAGACAGTTGCTGAAGATAAAGAATCATTACCTAAAGATGGCTCAGGAGTCACAGGTCCAAAGTCTGGTACAAGGAGTGATCAAAAGCAATTTTAAAAAAGAAAATGTTAAAACACATGAGAAAAGCTATCAAATTCTCCTAAAAATGAACTTTACTACTTCAGCTTTGGTTTTATAGCCCTTTTAAAAGGCAAGATTTTAAAAATTCTTAAACAAGGATCCTTAGACATTTGTTTATATAACATAGTTACATCATTAGCATCTCTACATGGTGAAATAGCAATTTTGCTTGTTTTTATATTATCTGATAATGAAAAACTGTTTAGAAAAATATTTAGTCATCTGTTTAATGATTATGAGAAAAGAATGTGAAAATATAAAAAAATTTATAACACTGTAGATTAGAAAACAAAGCCCTAGATCATAATAAATGCAATTGTTGATATATTTAAGCAGATGCAGTCATGAATATCCAAAGAAACAATGCTTTTTTTTTTTTAAATTGAGAGTCCACTGTGGAAAAAGACCAAGCAAGACCTTTGTCAAAAGAAAGAGCTAGATATAGAGGGTCATTCAGTCCATGGAATTTGTTAGTGCATCACTGTTATCAGGACAGAAAAGATCTGACCCTGAAGGGCAACAGAGCATGCCAGTTGGCTCAAATCCAGTCACTGAAGTGGGGCATTCAAGGTCCTCTTTGTGCGCCCTCCCCAAAGTAGTATGGCTGTCCAGCTAAGCAAAACATGCCTTACTGTCAGGTTTCACTTCTAACTTCTGTCCTCCTATTGTCACCCACATGCAGCATCCCCCTCCCTCTGTTTATATGATCCCTGTCCATTCTGCTAACAAATATTAAGTTTCCAATTATTCCAAATATTCACAGATTCCTTGCTTCGCTAAGAATTAACTATGTTTTCCACAGTGGGTAAAATTTAATAAATATCTGCTTTCCCCCAAAATTCCTGTATCTATTTGTGAACAGTCTTAACAAGGGCAGCTTCCTTAGTCAACTAAGTCATTCGTTATTTCTAAAGTATCCCTCACAGACGATGATGTGGCCTTTAATAAAACATGTGGCTACTTGAATTAAATGTTAGCTGACTAGACACCTAACTACATCAGTTTTTCTGAGCCAGATTTAAAGAGGAAAAAATAACTGCATGTCAGAAAAACAAAAATACTCAGGTACCAAGAAGATATGGTGTAAGCAGCCAGAGCACTGTGCTGGTAGCAGCTTATTTCTGTGACTTGGGCCTTCACCCTTAAGGGTCACGGAGGTGACACTAAATGGCATGTTAAACTTCCACCACAGTGTCATATTCAAAGGTGTTCCCTAGGGACCAGGAACAATATATTATTTACCTGGTTTAGTCTGAGGTATCTTTGGACTTGGAGTGGTTTTATGTTTGGGACGAGGACGACGAGTTCTTGCACGTTGTGGTTTTTTTGGAGCTAAAGAAAGGAAACTGGTTATTGTAGTCATGACTCTAGATATTAAAGAAAGAATTACACAGGATTCTAGGGCTTCTAAATATTTCCTAGATGTTCTTCAGTTTTGAGAAAATTTTGTCTCTTTGATTCGGAAGTTTCTGCTGGTTATTTATATGTAATTTTTTTTAGCCTACTGATAATTCTTTTGAGAAAAAATAAACTATATAACATTATTTTACTATTCTGAAAACTTTGTTGTTAGTTGTTGGTATCAGGTTTTCAGACCCAAAACCAGAAAAAGAATGTGAATCATCTTAACCTTAACATGTTTGTAAAGCATTTCCTAACTCTGGGCAAGTTCACCTGCTTTCAGAAGATTATACATAGAAATTATGTTGTTTAGGCACACAATCCATTAAAAATTATTAGAAAAAGCCCATTTCATTTCCTAAAAGTCATTGGTACATAATAAATATTCTGAAAGAATAGAAACCTAAACATCTCCAGAAAAATAACTGATGTTGAAAGGGCAGACACTCCTAATTGTATTTGAAATTCAGCTTTAACACAGAATACTATTTAAGCAGACACACAGATTCTGTAAAGCATTGAAAAGCTGGATAATATGAGAGAGAGATTGATTGATTCTTGGCACTTGCTGCTTACAGGCTTATAAACAAGTCATGTATTTTAAGTGCTTTCAATATGTTAAAACTGAGGACTGCAGTTGAATGACAAGAGTGGATGACAAGAAAACCTTATGAGAGGGAAACAAACAAACAAACAAACCAAAAAAAAAACCCTTAGTCCAGAAAGATGGAAAAGACCATGAGCAGAAAATTCATATGCTTGAAGACAGAAAAGGCCATTACCTAATGTTGTTCCAGGAGCCTCAGTTTTCAGAATTACAGGTTCAATATCTTTGGTAGTAGCTGAACAAAAGTAATACAATGAACAATGGAGAGTAAGAAAACCAGAAAAAGAAAATGAATCATCTTAACCTTATCGTTTTTGAAAAGCATTTCTTAACTTTGGGCAAATATATTTGCTATCACCAATAACTGGCCATACTTTTCTATCTATGTATTTATCTTATAAAATAAGCATACCTTTTGCACTCTGTATAGCTATGAGGCCAATGTAAAGTATTTTTCCATGTTTGATTATCTGATTCTATTAGAAAGCTGACTCCAAGAAAATCTCTGTGGTGTCTGACATGCAATTTTAAATAACTCCAGAAATTATTATAAAAGCTTCTGCTGGTATTTGAAAGGTTTTCACCATCATTATTAATTTGTTTTGAAGGGTGATGGCTGTGAGAAGAATTAGAAAAATATTAATCAGTCTATTTACTGGGGCTTTATGACAATTGTGCAAAGATTAATTTGTGCTTTTTAAAATAATAAATATGAAATTACTTTTTAGTATGTTTCGTTATTCATTTATCTCAAATGAATAAATAGGAGACAGTAGAAATAGAGGTGATTAAAGTGAAAAGTTGAAAAGGTAATAATGCAATTTTTTGTCTCAATGAACAGGATTTTTGCACTTCTATAATATTCTGAAGCACATAGTTTTGAACATAATTAGAAATTACAACTCTGGTATTAAATTAGGGTCTCCATTTTTCGTTATATCTAGAAAATTACACATGATACTCAAAACTTCCCATCACCAAAACCTTTTAAGCATTTATACAGAGACTGACTTTTCAGGTGTTCAAGACACCATAGCACAAAGTTGGCTTAATCCACATCTGAGAGCTTCTTCTGAATCAACAGTGCATAGGAGAGCAGCATGACATTTATAACTGATTACCTTCAAACAAAAACAAAGAATCCCAATTTTGTTTGAAACTTAGTGTCACAAGATGAATTTTTCAATGTAAAGGTCCAGGTGCATTTGAAGAACATGGAATCAAGGAAGAAAGGGCTTTTACAGAGACAATGACATGTCATCAAGCTCCTTATAAACACACTGAGGACAAGCTCCAACCAGCTTTTTCATTGCTCCCCTCCTGTATCCAAAAACTCACACATACAAGCAGAGGTTCAGAAACTTCCTCATCTGAAGGGTAGATGGACAGAGCACCCATGACTCTAAAGTGTCAAGTGACTTAATAGATGCAGGTGAGTGAAGAAAGAATCATACTCAGGTGCCATGTGCCGAGAAGATGTAAGAATGCCTAACCAGATGTTAAGGTGGCCTTTCATGAAAAGAGTACACAATTTTTAGAAACCAAGAGGATGAATGTACATGAGGGAATACAGATAATGGCAAGAGAGATGAGAGATGCAAGCCCAGGGAAACATTGACCAAGAAGACACAGTTACCTATGGTGGAAGAGGGAGCTTCAGTCTCAACTGTGTCAAGCTCCAAGACTGCATCATAAAAGATAAACAGAAGTAAAACAATGTAAGTAACATTTAGGTACTCATTGATGTTTAATTCAGAGGATACAGAACCTGTTGTTTATTCTGACTTGATATAGACTGCCTTCTTGATAGGCTAATTTTTTATGAGAGATACTTTCAGCAAATTAGAATTTTATGCTAACTAGAATCTTATGAAAAAATTTCTATTACAAAACAGACGGATTTTCAAAATAGTTATATAAATATCTTCTTATTTGGTAGATTACTGTTTAAAATGCCAGTAAGGTATTTTAGAGGAAGACAATCCCTGGCTAGTTGGGTGTTCTTCAGTCATACACGTTAAGGAAGAATACAGGGTCAGCCTCTCATGTGTATTTCCCAGTAGTGCTTACCCAAATCACCTTCAAAAATGTTCCAGACACAGAAAAATCAACCTTTTAGACATTACAAGTTCAGAGAATAAGACCAAAAAGTGCTTTAATAAAATGGAATCCATCCAATAATCAGGTATAAAATCGACCAATTTCCCATACATTGATTTCTTCACTTAGCATCAAAATGTTAGTGTGGCTACTTTGAGAAGATAACGAACAAAATAGTAATAATTTGGATTTCTGTGCTTTATGTGATATGTAAATACTTGCAGCAATATTTTCAATAACATTTCCAAAGAAAAAACCTTGTTAAACTAAGCATGAAAATTATGTTTACCGGATTTAGTTGGTGAAATGTCTGGTTTGGCTGAGGTTTTGGGCTTAGGAAGTAATTGCTTTGGTGGTTTTGAATCTGAAGAAAAAAGGGTGCTATAATTAGTGCCATAGCTAAGCTATAATGTAGATCAATATAATTTACATCAATTTTCCTATTTATAGGTCAAGATGGTGATTACCAGGCTGGATTTGGGGTACATCCGGTCTCTGTGTGGTTTTAGGTCTCTTGGTTGGTTTTGGAGCTGAAGAAAAAGGTATTTCAAATTAACATAATGATCATGGCTGTGACTATCAAAATTAAGAATACATGAGCTGAGTGAAGACATAGTATAAATTCAATGTATATATTAAAATCAATTTCTGGGGGTGCAAAGGTGGGAAAACTGTCCATTTTAACTACATACTTGCATCATTAGCTTTTCCTGAAAGAAAAAATCCTCAGGAAATGTTTCAGATGTGTCTCTGAGCAAAAGTAATGAGAATTGATATAAGGCTTTTTTCCTATATAAATCGTTTCAAAATGGGAAAAAAAAGTATATTAGCTAAAGTATATTAGCTCTATTTTTCATTGATAGGTTTATTTGGTTAAAAAAAAAACAGTAAAATAAAATTATAAAAGTTGCTTATGAGGAGACCTGGAAAATAATCCAGAAATACTTGATATTACACATAAGAAATGATGTTACATGACTATTGATTTCTGGAATTTTTCAAAGTAAAGCAGTAATGAATTGATTATGGATGCCAACAAGTTACAAAGAAATAATTATAAACACCATTATTAGTCACCAGTGTTAGTACTAAAAACAGTAAGACCATCTTGGGACTTTTAATGTTTTCAAGGTACAAAGGCCACAACTAGTTTTATACTGGACCCTACACCAAGAACAACTGCTGGTTATCCAAACATCCCCCAAACCATTTTTCAAATAAACAAAAATGCTGAAGACAACATTATTCATGCAGCTTAAGAAAGTCTTACGAGTAGAACAAGCAAAGCAATGAAATTATAGCCACAACACTAGAAAACATTTTTGCCATTTTTTCAGTCCAGAATGAGCCCAGAAGTCACACTGAGACACATGTGGCTGAAGGATAGGGTCAGCAGAGAACCAGGAAGTTGTGTCCAAGACCACAGACCTTCCCTAAATGAGCACACAGACTCCTCTCCTATCTTCAGGTTCTTCAGACCCAGATAGGAAATGAGAAGCATGGAATGAAACTGTGAAGGGGTGATGGAGTGGTAGAACTGCAGTCATGCCTGGGGTGGAGAGCAGAAAAGCCAAAGTGACAACGGTGACCATGACTGGAGGGGGCAGAATTACCGACTGTGGGAACCAAGAGCTCCAGTTGTACTGTGGCTGGTTCCAGAGCTACAGAAGCAAAACACCAAGGATACCAGTTATACTGAGAGGTGGAATCAGGAGGAAGGAAACATTATGCCTCTACTTAGGATGATCTGCCTAAACTGTGTACTTTTTCTGAATGTGATTTCCCACTTATTTTTCCCATTTACCTCTTTTTGCCCATTATTTTCCCGTACCTCATCTGCCACGAAAAAGTATCAGATGTAAGATTTTTAAGGTGAATTACTTTGATAATCCACTTAGTAGACCAGTTTTCTACTGTGTGTGCCTAATGATTACAAATAAAAATATGAATACTTTATATGAAAATATAAATATAAAAAGTGAGTATAGATGATTACATATAAAAAAAAATCAACTACTATTGGTTCCTAAAACTTCAGTAGCTGGTGGCTCCTGAAGCCTAGACTACCATATCCTACTTTCTATGTTAATTTGGAACCCTGAACACCACATTTACCAGGTTTGGACTTGGGCACATCTGGTCTGCGTGTGGTTTTAGGGCGGGGGCGACGACCTGGTCTTTTGGTCTTTGGTGGAGCTAAAGAAGAAAAATAGCTAGTTAATACAGGAAAGTGATTTTATAAACTGATAATAAATTGTTACATATATCTTAAAAGCATTTTCAAGCCATTTTTACTTCTGCTTTGTAACTGTCTATTATTATTTACTCAACTAAATGAAGTCTTCAATAAGTTTTTTTTTGGTCAAAGAATTGTAAACTCCCTCTTTTTACATTTTAAGATGCGAAATATCAAAAACAGTATGGTTTAGAAAAGACAGTCACATTAAATAAAAACTTGAAGGTATATGCTCAAAAGGAACATGGGAAAGATTGCTTTGGGAAGCCACTAGGGATAAAAAAATTAAGTTTATTTGACTTAGGATTCAAAAACAAGTCTTTACTTAGCATTTTAAAAATACACAAATCAACAATATCCAAAAAGTCTTTGTATTCAGAAATTGTTTCAAGGAGGCAACTTAAAAAATAATATATATTTATAAATTATGTCAGGATTCTATTTTTTTCCAGAATAGCAGAATGTACAAACAGAAAACAACATTGAAGTATTACCCCATGAATGTGAGCCTGCCAATAAAAACACTAACAATTAGAAAAGAAGAAACAAAGGTCACCCACTGAATAAGTGTATAAGCTTATATTCCCAGTGTTCCAGGTCCTGAGGCTGCATGAAAAATCATCAAGGAGGAATCAAAATCCAAAAGAAATATGACAAAATTTAAATATGGGATATACTTAATGTTGAATTTCTAGATTGAACAAATTTAAAGAGTAAAATTTTGTCCACATAAGTACCTTTTCTATTTAAATCAATTTGTGCTTTTAGACAAAGTGAATACAAATAGAGCCAGTCAGTTAAGTTTGGAAAGAAAAATGGAAAAAAAGGGGCATGATTCTTATTTGAAAGATGTGAATGTAATAAAGTAACCAGCAGCTCATAATATGAAGGAAAATATTGGTAATTGGCTAAGATGTCCTCAGAACACATTACTTTTTTTTTCTTTTGAAGAAAAAGAAGCTGTAATGATTGAGGTTGGGTTGTTTATCTTCCCCCTCTCTGCTTGGATTTCCTAGTGACACATCAGGGCATTTATATCTGGAAAGTTCAAAATGCTTTTCAAGAAAGTCTGCAAATGCTCGAGTTCTAAAAATACGAAAAAACACCTCCCAAAATGAGAATGCAAATATGCCATAGGGAAAGAGGCCAGGATACCCTGCTGGAAATAACCAGGTTAGAACAAGCTAAGGATAAAATCCTAGATCATAAGGCCAGACAATGGAGATGGTGTCAAATTGAAATCAGCATGGCTTCATGGGTGTCCCAGAGCCTGTGTTCAGTCAAGCACAGGCACAAAGTGCATATTCTGGCAAAAGCGGCTGGAATAAAGACCTGAGGATAATTAAGAAATATTTTAAAAGTAAGCCAAAGCTAAGGGTGAAACTGAATATAGAAGATGTTAACAAAGATCATTGGTTTTCAGTGGTTAAAGGAAGCTTCATTACCTTTGGTTGTCTGTGGTGTTGGTGGAGTCTGAGGTTCTGGGGCTGCAACAAAAGCAAATCATATCAAAAGCAATGCTGAAGACCACATTTAAGAAATTAAATGTTCTTTACCACAAAGTGTTCCTTCCTTGGTGAATGACTAGGTTCTCCTTGCTTCTGACAGTGATACTCACTCACCCCATCTCCTTTCCGCAAGCCACAATAAAATAAGAATTCTCATTTTTGTTGCTGATATTCAGCTGTGGCCTCGCTACCTGATAGTCTAACAACTGCCCCTGGTGGCAGAAGAAATACTCATTAAATGGAGACCAGGGTACTTTCTCAGTGGGGGCTCTGAATTTCCTGTCACCTGTCACTTTGTTTCTTGCAGTTAGCCAAGTTCACCCAAGGAAGCAGGAAGAAGTGACACACCCACCAGGCAGACCTGTTCCCAGACCTGTGCTCTGTGAATGATCCAGTTTTGCTGGACTTGACAGTTTTTCACCAAAGACAGGAATTAAACTTATAGTCCAAGAGGGGGCAGGAGTGTTCATGTGGTACTCTGCATAGTGACTAGCATCTATTTACACATGAAACAATCCATTTGGGTTAGCAATAGGTATCCAAAGCAGTCTCAGGTTTCATGAAATGCTGAATAAATTAAATAATAATATTATTTAAACATTTTGATAGATAATGAATGCTCAAATTCATGGTAAGTAAATTATATCTCATGATGGATGTGGTTTTGTTATATAATATTTGGGCTTTTGAAAAGAATGAATGTCTTTCAATAGTTTTCATATTATTCTACAGAATAAAAAGAATCATTCCTTTTTCAGGAAGGAAATAAAAAAAAGAATTCTATTTTTAAAATTAAAAATAATTCTTTGTTTTTTTTTCTCCTTATAGAAAGAAATTGATTACTGTGGCACTCACTGTTCATCTTAAAAGGATTTACATCATTCTGCTATTTATACATTTCTTATAATTATCAGGCATTATCTCTGATGTTTATGGAGGAGAGGGTGTGGCAGGTTTGGGAGAAGTCGAGAAGGAAACAGAAACTGTAACAATAATTTCTATATAGCAAGTAAATGGCTTTTTAGCAACTGGAACAGAAAATTTAACCACAAATAGTTCAGATAGAGAATTTTCAATGTTTCCAAAAGCAATGTATAATAGCACAAGATGCTACTTAAAGACATGGTCATTCATTACCATGTCTGTGGCCAAAAATAATCTTTAAGTAAAAATACAGAAGAATAAAAATTGAGTGTGAAAGAACAAAATTAAAGGGCAATGATTAAAAAAACCCCACATATACCCCAGAATTCTTAATTCTTAAGAACTTGTCCAGAAATAGATTTAACAGATACAGGGCAAAGCCATAGTGAAACATCAGACTGAAGTAGACACTGACGTAAAACTTCTGTGTGTGTGAGAGAGGGGGAGAAGAATAAATGAGTCTGAGGGTCCCATATGCTCCCATATGCTATAGGAAAAGAAGAAAGCCAGCATTAGTATATGAAATATAACAAATATCAAGAAAGCATCTACATGTGAAAATATCAAGGAACAAAAATTTTTTTTGAAATTTTAAAGTTTCATTTCTACAGAACTGCCTCCTAAAGGAATAAAAAGCAAATACAATTTGCTATTTGTAGCATCTTTTAAGTTCCTGACCAAGACTGATGGGGATGGAACCCCATAGGTTGACACCAAAGCCAATTGCACTAACAGCAGTAAATTTAATGTTCAGTAAGAACAAGTACAGCTTGTGAAAAAATAGTCTTAAGATATTAAAGATAAAGGCATAAGATAGTCTATAACCAAGCTGAGTGGCCTGTAAATAACTAAACCACAACCTCAGCATAAAACAGAAATATACAACACCTTCTTGGATGTGTGACTGATAAGGAACATGGTTTGCAATCCTATCACCCACCACAGGGGAGAGCTGCATCACACACACACACACACACACACACACACACACACACCCCTATAATGGGGGCTCTTTCCCTTGTTTTGGTCCACTGAATGTTATTACCACCTTGAAGATTACTCCAGAGGGAAACAATTCTTATTGTGTGAGGTGAACAAGTCAGGACATGGTGGCTTTGAGAAATGTACTGAACTGTGATTAGAAAACAAGCCCAAACCAATGTGGATTTTCACTCTCTAACTTAATTGTCAAGGAAAACCAAAGAAAAGCATCCCATGTGGAAAAAAGGAGGAGTATGAGGTGAGGCCAGGGAAGGTAGTGAGTTCCTTAAGTCAAAGATTTTGGCAGTTTCTGTGCTCTTGTGAACCTTGTCCAGAAACAGAACTTTTCTGCAGAGCTATAAAAGTAGCCTTCTCTAAAATAAAAATTTAAAAGCTAGACCCAAAGAAATGGTTTGCAGAGACCCAGTTAGTACCCTATGTTGTCTAAGACCACACAAGGTCACCTTGACTCCTTGTGTGTAGGTGTGATCCTGAAGTAGCTATGTTTGCTGCGTGAGGAAATGGGTGAATATTCTTAGGTGATTAGAAAGTTTAGAAATCAAAGGAACATAAACATATTAGCTTCCAAATAAAATGTTCTACTTTAAAGGAAATGTCAAATTAAAAAGACTCTTTACTCAAACACCTCAGAATGGTAAGAACACACCTTCCCACACTTATTTGTATTAAGGAATGAATTTCCTCTCAGAAATCTTTTGTCAGAAACCACTGAAATAAATAATATAGCTTATATATAAACTGTAACCAACATTTGGAGAAAAAATTGGTAAATTAAATTTTATCTTATAATAACACAAATAACATTTATTTAAATGTAGTGACCTAAACATGGAATAATATTTGTTGATCTGCTTGGTAGGAGTCCTCTAGTCATAATAATTGTTACTGCCTTATTCCAAAGCCCTCTAAGCATACTTTTAAAATAAATGTACATGAAGTCCTTTCCAAATACAGTTGTCAGAATTCTTCAAAGGCTAGGAGTTCAATTTTATAACTGTGCTTCTTCGTTTAAATACCCTCTCCAAGTGGGTAATTTTAATCCCACTTCTCTGACTCAGAGATCTCATGCATGGTCAACTATACTCCCTTTGCCTAATCCCTGATTTCCTTCAGTCTGACACCTACACCTGGAAATCTGCTTCTCCAAAGGGATTTGAGACTTCTTTTTGTAAGCAGTTACGATTTTCTTCCTATCCACTTTATTGCAAAAACAAATCATGCCTGCTTAAGCAGAAAATGTCTTGTTTTAATAATCCTACTATGTAAACATGCCCATTAATGGAAATGTAAGTTTATTATCCATTAAACATTATAGTGAGAAATATATTTTTCCCAGAACTAAAAGTTTAAAATTTAGAAAATAATAACAACAATGTTTTCTATTGAAAATCTTATAAAAAAATCCAAGAGGGCTGTATAAATTTTGGATGGACAGAAAACATGACGACTTAGGTCATTCAATATGTTCCACAATCCGTAAGCAGAAAAACTTCTGTTTTTATTTAAGAGAATCCCTTTCTTCAAAAGAACCGCCTTTTTTTTTAATTCAGCAAAACACCTTTAAAATCTCCTGAGAGGTAAACAGAAGCCAGTGTTTAGACATCAGCCCTAATTAAGAAGGCTTAGAGAATAAGAAAAATACAACCCCTTTCTGGTCTTGCAGCTTAAGAACTGAGAAACCCCCAAACAAGGCAGAGTTCTTAGAGAACAGAAACACTTCTCCTCCTTTCAGCTGAAAGGCTATTATTATTTAATGCAATCAGAACCCCAGCCAACTTTGGTACTGGAAACTATTTTGTAGTCCTAAACAAGAGGTCCTCCATCCCTCCCAGTGCTACATTTCTGCTTTCTCTGCATTGGTCATAAATGCAACCACCACAGCTCAGCTCAGAGCAATGCCAAGATTGCAAAGGGGGTGCTTATGAGGAGATTGTTCCATTGCAGTTTTGCACCTTCCTTGAAAAAATATATTGAAGACTAACAAACAAATCAGAAGTTCTTTGCTCCAAAGAACTGCATAAAATAAAATTTCAAAACCATTTTGGGAATATTTATATAAAAAAGTTCAGGGTACATACCAGGTTTAGTATGTGTCATTTATGGAATGAGAGGAATTTTAGGTTTCAAAGAAATAGACTGCGTTATACTGAGATGTGGAAAATAAAAAATAATGATCAAATCAATATATAGGCATTTAAATATCTAAAAACACAAAAGAAAAACCTTAAAAATCAAATACATGGTAAGTGGAATGAACCCACCATCTTGGAAGACTTTGGAAATATTCCATTAAAAGATCATTTTACATTTCATTCACAGGGAAACACTTTATAGAATACACTGATAAGTTTCTGTGTGGTTTGGAAAAACATGTCAACAGTTAGATATAACACTGCCTCTAAATAGTTATAGTAATTACTCAAAGACAATGATTTTAATAAATTAGTCTAGTTATTTTGCACTCTTCCTATTTCTCAGGTACATCTAAATCATCAAGCACCAGGTAGAAAAAACACATTGTCAAATTTAATATTCAATGATAGGCCTAATGCTATGATCTGATGCATAAAGGAATCCCACTAACCCTAAAATGAAAGGTCATTCTTCCCAGTGAATTCTGGACTAGAACTTGAAGGCCTTAAAGAAATGAACTGTATTTATGACCCAGTTTCTAAACCAATGACTAGGAGAGGAAAGGCAGACAGGAAGCAGCAGTGGTTCTGCTGCTAGCACAGGATGATATCTGAGTGCTGAGTTCAGATCAACAACTGTAGGACCAGCTATCCACAAGCATCATAGTCATGGTGTTGGTGAAGTCTATGAGATATTCAGTGTTCTTCAAATGAGCCATTTAGGATAACTACTGAGGCAGTATATAAAATCTAAGTACTGGGTTTTCCATGGTGAGATGACAAAACAGATCCACTAAGCACATATCATTATCGTCCAGTGTTATCTGTTTAGGTTTAGGGTCTTTAAAAAATTGTAAAGGTAATTGTTCCAGGACTATGGTTCTTTCTTGTGAATGTGTGTGATAAAAAGAAAAATAGATTATCCTAGAGATAATGAAATATCCTCCAAGATGGAGCAGAATGACCCCTTCAAAATCCTACCATATTTAGTAGTCAATTTCAAAGTGTACAATGGGTAAAAGTTTGGGGAAAGAAAATTTTAAACTGTTATAACAGCATAGCTCATATAAAACTGCATTTATGTTATAAACATAAGTAGAATTAGGTCAAATCCAGTTTGTCAAACAGGATTCTTAGTATATTACTTAACAGTGAAGAATATCATGTCCTGGTTGTAAGCTACCGGAACCACTCAAATTCAGCACTGCAACATACATTGTTTCTCTCCTTCTCCTGCATCCAAATTCCATGTATATATTGAGGCCTGTACCTTAAACTTTCTTGGAGCTTCTATTTAAATATTATAGACCCTGAAGTTTTATTATCTATGTTTTGCTCTCATTGATATGTCTTATCGTTTCAAGATTATTAGCAACTTGAAAGCTAGAATCATCCTTTCCATTTCAGTCATTTCTTTAGTGGAAAACTGAAGACTTAGTAGGCACCAAAAAAAAAAAAAAAAGAGAGAGAGAGAGAGAGAGAGAGAATTATCAGCCTATCAGACACTAGAACACAGAGCCATACCAAAATAAATAAATAAATAAAATAAAAGATGAGTGCTACTACATATCTCATTCTCTAATGCTGGGCAATAGCGCTTGTTTCTAGGTTTATCCCAAAATTTACATGCACAAAATTCAAATAATTCTTAGTAAAATCTTATTGGAAACATTTGATTTTTATTTTGTATCATTAATTATTTAATTATTAATTTCAAATTTATAAAGAAAGTGTCCTATAGAATCATGTAACTTCTTTCTTATAATAAAGAGGTGAACATGGTCTATTTGGAATTAAGTATCCTTAAAAATTAAAGAGAGATTTATTTACCAGGCTTAGTTCTTGGTGTTTGTGGTCTGGGGCGTCGTTTAGGTGTAGAAGGGGTAGATGTAGTTCGCTGGGGAACTGAAAGAAGAAGACTGAATATAACTTTCATAAGTGACATTTTTGGGGGGTCAGATTTTTGTCTGTAAGCTTAATAAACTTCTTGAGTGCCAGAGCTATTTTATATTTCTCTGTATTCCTAGAATACCCAATCTCATGCTTTATAAACATTATGTACTAAGTGCTAACCAGGTCAAAAGGAATTAAAATTCTACAGGAGAACTAAAGCTGTATTGACTAATTAAGTGTGAAAGTGAGCACCCTGAAGGCATTTCAGAACACAAGGTACAATTAAGAACTCAAAACGATAACAGTGGAGAGCAGGACAGATGCAAAATAAGATATCTTAGATTTAGAAAATGGAAAGTTTAGAACTTCCATTTGTAGTTCATGACTATCCTTGCCAGGCATTAATGAACTCTATCATTTAAATAATTTTCCATGATAAAATGTAGGTTGTGCTTCCTCTCTTTTATGTATCTTTCTTCACATATCCAGTATTGCAGAGCCTACGTGGTGTTCTTTACACTTAGACCATTCTGAATGAAATAGTCATATTTAAAGGTGCTCAATATGAGGGAATATATTTTAAAATAATTATCATCTAGGATTCTGCTGCTGTTTTCTGGTTGACTAAGTTGAAAGAAACATAGGAAGGAAATTTTACTTCAAAATATATAAACATTGAGATTATGGAAATTATTTGAAGATTATCCTAAGGCTAGCAAACTGGATCTCTGAAGAGTTTCCTGGTAGAGAATGAAGTGAAATGTTTAGTCATGAATATATTTTAAAAAGGCCAACATGATGATTGTTTTTTGTTACTTTACCCGTTCCTTTCAAGCACACACTATACAAATGTCATTAGTTACCAGGTGTTGTAGGCTGCATTTCAGGACTGGTAAAGGTTTCCATTTTTTGAGGAACAAACGGTGTTTCACTTGCAGCTGAAAGTACAAACACCCCATCCCATCAAATAATCCAGTTAAAATGAGGTATCTTAAGAATTTCAACGTGCTTTTAGAATCATGCAATGCACATGCTACACATATATGAGTAAGGATGGAAATGCATGTCGTCTTAAAAGCTGATGGATGAAATTATGATTTAAAGTGGGGGAAAAAGCTAGAATGACAGTTGTTCAGTAGCTGATTCTAGGCAGAGTCACCACATGGAAGTAGGACAATTCAGGCCACAAATGCACAAGATGAGATGATGTGGATGATGAAGATGTCCATGTGGTTTTCAAAGCTTTTCAGGACTTTAAGGATGCAGGAAATACCATCTATCACAGTTCAGTGAAGAAGTTGGGGGAGGGATGAAAAATGAAATATAAAAGATGCCTGTGTTAAAAATACATATACACGTCTATTCAGAAATAGGAAAGAGACAAATGACTAGATGTGATGGAATGAAATGGTCATTCTGAAGAAAGGCATTCACATAGATTATGAATTTTTTTGGTGGAAAACAAAGCACAATTTTTTTCTGTTAAAAACATTACCTAGTGTTGCCCTTGGCTGCTCAAGAGTTCTAGAAGTTTTAGGTGGGACAGAATCCAGAATAGGATCACTTGTTGCTGTTGGAATAAATGTCAACATTTATAAAAGCAGTAGAAGGCCACAGGAATAAAATACGAACTTGTGAGTAATAAATTATGCCTCATGAGGATAATATCAAGAACACTTGAGGGACTCCTGACCAACACTTTGAAACCAGTGATTCACCAGGAGCTGAAGATGAGCTCACTTCAAAAAACATACATACTTTAATAATACTGGCCAAATTATATTGTTATATCATGTGAGTGTATGAATATGTAACAAATCCCACCGTTATGTACAAATATAATGCACCAATAAAAATATAAAAAAGAACTTAAATATCAGAAACCATGAAAAAGTAGATTTACACATTCAACTTATGCCTTCTGTTTTATAGTTAACAGAACCCACTTGAGCATTCTATTTCATTGTCTTCTTGCTGTGAAAAGTCTTCACCTTTATTTGTCATGATACAAATAATGCTAAGACTACACTTACAGAAAATACCAGGCACACATTTGGCAGAGACCAGACTTACTTTGAATCTCCTACAGTGCTTAGGTATAGTAGGTGCATAATAAATAACTGCCATAGGGAACTTGTTGGACTTAGACTAGCTGTAAATGGAGCAGTGAATTCCAAAGATGAGACCCACCTGACCGTCTACAAATGAGTGACAAGAGACTGTCTATGGCAGGATTTCTCACCTAGGCACTGACAATTAGGGCGAAATAATTCTTGGTTGTGGGAAGATACTCTGTGCACTGAAGGGGTTTGGTAGCATCCCTGATCTCTGTCCACTAGATGCCAATGGCACTTCCTCCCAGATGTGTCTCTAGACATCACCAATGTCTGTGGTGTAGGGGAGGGGGTCCCACATCACCCCCATTTGAGAATCGCTGCTCTACAGAAAACCCCCTAAGCCTCTAAAACTTTTTCAGAATAATTTCAGGCAAGAGAGCAATAGGCCTTTTACTTTTCCCCAGAGGCAACCCAGTCTATCTGCAGCTCCCTCATGTGACAGAACTGATTGACTAATAAACATAAAGAAACTGTCAGTGGGAATCTTGGGTAGGTTCGCTTCCTGACACACAGAGCTGCTCTTCCCTTTTGGAGCTCTAGAATGCACTTTTTCACTCTGAATAAACTAAAAGAGACAGCCCACCTAGTGTTGTCCAAACACCTGGGATCCGGAGACATAACCAAAAGACTAGGCATACCTGTGTGGGCCTCTGATATTTCAGTCTCATCTGAAGTTGTAGAACTTGAGAAAACATCATAAGTTGCTTTAAAAAAAAATGAAACAAAAGAGATGTTAATGTTGATTCATTTTGAAAGATTTCGTAGTATATTTTAATTCTGGCTATAGGACAGCTCCATGTAAGTATGAGCAGATTTAAGCATTCAGCTGCTGGCCTTGTCACTACTGGGTTAGCAATCACCACCACTGTGTTAGATTTTGGCTGCCTTGCTCTGAGCTGCAGGATTTATATAGCAAGGCTTGGCGCTGGCTCTGGGGTGATGTGAATACAGTGCTATATGTTTATAATGAAGTGATGCCAGCTCTAAATCAAGTGCTTCAAAGAATATAAACAAATAAAGTCAGATGGCAGCTTAGGGAGAGATTTCTAAAGAAGGAAATGGCAGTCACATTGAAGCTATTTGCATAAAGTCTACAGCTTAGTCTTTCTGCATAGTGAAAGTTGCCATCATGATATCTCACGTGTGGATAGTACTTTACACAGCACTTTCTCACACATCAGCTTCTTTAACCCTATTAATATCCCTGAGAAACATGGGAGGTTGGCATTATCCGCACTTTCTTGATAATGGGGTGTTACAGTTGCAGACACACACCAGAACTGTCATGTTCAGTGCATTTTCCACTCCATGGCAGGACCAGGAGCAGCAGGGCTAAGACCAGGACCCATGCAGCACCATCCCTTCTGCCATTTTACTTAGAGACAGCTTTTGTTTTGTGTTCCTCCATGAGCCATAAGCCCTTCCACAGTCTACACTGCTTTAAAGATCAATTTTATATGAAATAAAGAAAGGGAGATACATTTAAACCTCAAGATTGAATTATTTTAATGCAGGGATAATTTTCAGGATAACATAGGAGCTAAACCTGCAAGTAAAAACAGCATTAGATTACTTTTCTTTTTTATGCACAAAAAATCATTACTATGGAGAAGTAGAGAAAGCAGGATCTAACAGGAGATGACATTGCTTTCCTTTTCCATTCAAATTTGCTATATAGAAATAAAACAAAAAGGAGGAAATTCACAAGATTTACTCATTGGGGTTACTTGTAATTCAGTGACAATTTAGTGTTTCTGTATCACTGCTGGTAGAAACCATAAGAAAGATAATATGAGCTGGTATGACTGTCTGAAAGCAGAGGACAGCTTGTGCTGTCAACATATCAACAGGCCAGGAAATATATTCATGATGGTTAATCTACTCTTTACAAAATCTTTAAAAAAATATTGCAAGTTAAATATGCACATATATTAGAATACATCTATTATATGGAAAAGTTAGACTCGTTGCAATTTTAAAGGGTCAGAAAAGAATGAATAGTCTTTTAAAGGGCAAAAATATGGTATCAGTCTCTGGTTTTAGACTTTCTTCAATTCAGGTTCAAAGTCATGGATCTAGCAATATCATCTCCATCTCCTACTAAATAAATTAGGAAAAGTTTACCAACTTGTATTTAACCCTCTTATCCTAGCTAAGAAATTATGGATAGCTTGACTTTTTTAAAATTTATATTACTGCTTTTGAAAAATGCCAATTACTGTTTTTATGTTATCCTATCTCCCAAATCTCCCTTCCACTAAGTGACATTGGACCAATTTTCCTATAGTCCATAATTTTGTTCTAAGAGATGATATTTATTCATCCTGCATTTATTTTTCATATTTATAACTCTCTACCATTCTGGAGGTTCTAAACCAGGTTGCCAACTTTCCTCAAGTTACTCTCAAGTCATTCGATGTGGACAGATACCCTCTCCTACCATCCTCCAGCAAATGAAGTCTAGTTCTCACAGCATCCTTCAGATTCAAATACCACATTTGTCAGAAGACTTAGTGTTCGATATTTCTATTTCTGTAGTTTCTGAGAGCTTAAGAAAAAAGAATACTGAAAAACATACAAATACCACTCATGCCAAGTTTTATGTAATTTGGACAGCTTTGAGAAGCACACCGCCTCATCTTATCCAGGAGTTAATCTTCTGACTCTGACGTTATAGCTGTCTGAGGAGAAGACGGGGTTGAAATGAATTCTCTAAAAAGTTCCCTGAAAATCAATAGCTCTTAATTTCTTTTCAAAACCCAGAAAGGAACAGAGAGAGAAAGGAGAAAAGGGAGAGGGGATTTCATTAAAACAGAGATCAGTAGAGTAGATAAAGGGGATTGAGGAGGAGGAAGGAGGGATGGGAAAAAGGAAGAAGAATGGAATGAATCTGATGAAACTTTTCCATGTATGTACATGAATACTGCACAGTGAATCCCAACATCAAGTGCATCCACAATATGCTAATAAAAAACTATAAATAAATTACAGAAAGATTAGTACAGAAAGAAAAGCATGGGGAAGGGAGAAGGGGGGAAGGAGGAGAGGGAAGGGAGGAGGGGGAAAGTTCTGGGAACTGATTTAGAGCAAATTATATTCCATGCTTTTGTGATTATGTCAAAATGTATCCCAATGTTATATATAAATAAAAAGAATTTTTAAAAAGGTAAAGAATAAAACCTCTTGTATATGTACCTCTATGCCAAAGTAAAATTCACAAAACAGTTAGGCCTAGTTACTGCAAGTCTACTCCAGCTATAAAATTGATAAACAGTCCAGAGAATACTCCCATATATTATGACTTATCACCTCTCTGTAGGGGATAAAATGTTACAGCTGTTTGAAACTAAGCAGCATCTTTGATCTTGAATTCAAAGAACATACATGGGACCAAAAGTTGTTAGAGAATTCTAATGCAACAAAATAGGTTCATTAGGTTGTAAAAAGCAGTATTAATTTCCTTACAAAAGCAGTAATGACCGGGTACAGTGATACACACCAGTAATCCTAGTCTCTGGGGTAGGGGTGCTGAAGCAGGAGGATCACAAGTTCAAAGCCAGCCTCAGCAAAGTAGAGAGACCCTAAGCAACTTAGCAAGACCCTGTCTTTAAATTTAAAAAAAAATTTAAAAAGTGGGGGGGACTGGGGATGTGGTTCAGTGGTTAAGTATCCCTGGGTTCAGTCCTTGCTATCAACCAAACAGTAATAACTTACCATTACCTTCAGATTTTTTCAGAAAAATATTCTTCTTTAGAACTTCCTAAGACCATATTTGTTAATCACATTTTGTTTGCTGTGCATTTTTACTTTAAAAATCTAGTGGATAGAAATCCTACCATGAAAACGCCCTGATAGTGCTCTGAAAATGTGATCTCACACAGACAAAATGTTTCAAATAATTGAGAATTTATCATTTCATTTAAATTCCTTGAATGTTAATAACCTTGTAATATATTTTCCTTTTCAAACATAAATTCTTAGACAATATACCTTTTTTAAAGTACAAAGTCTGTCATATTTATACACACTAGGCTTATATACTCCAGAGCTCAGTACATGGTGGATCCCCAATAAAATCTATCTGCAAAACACTCATTAAATAAATTAATTAATGGTAATTTTTGACAGATAGGTAGTTTAAGCTTTTTGAAAGGACTTTCTGGCTTAGGTTGGGGAATTATCATATCCTTTAATTATGATACACAAATGTGTGTATACAAATCTGCTCCTCTATTACACACATACCTTCCATGGGTTTGTGTGGCTTTACTCTGCCATGGAGGTAAGACTCTAAAAACATACAAGAAGTAGTAATGAAAAAATACAACAAGTAACCAGAAGAGAAAAACACACCACCACACAGAATTCTCAGTGCTATTTAAATTCATGGATACTGCTTTCTTTGGTTAATGGGAAAACAAAATACCTTTCTGCTTGGCCTTAAAATCTGTTAAAGTATTGCCTGCGAGAAAATGTTTGTGAAATAAAATTAAAGGCTGTGGCTATAAATCTTGAAGAGACCACAGTGAATCTGTAAACCATCTGCTATGCTTGACTTCTATTTTCCTGCTTTCAAGCATCAACACCACTACTCATTCCTACTGTTTCTCTCTCCAGGGCTTAATCCAGTTGGGTGGGCTAGATCTGTGCTAATCAACACCTCACAGGGCAGGCTGTAAGATCCAAACGTAGAGTTTACTTCTTTTCAACGGCTCTGAAAAGTAGAGTCTGTGGCCAAACTTCCTAACCTGTGTACCACTCTTTGTGTATGCTGATCACTTCAACTTTCAAGTCTTTAAATAATTTAGAGAGCTCGAGTACATGTTTCAATTTCTTAGAGTTCTACAATGTATGGAAAGAATTCAACACAGAAAATCATAAGAGATGACCTCCTAAAGGAAGCTCCCAAAGTTAATTGCAATGAAAAGACTAAGCAGACCATCATCCATTTTGATCCTCTGTCAGGGTAAGTCTCTGGAAGAAAACTACTTCTAGTTTTTTGTTTTCTTTTTTTTGGGGGGGGGAACTCCAGGAAAAAATAGTTTTAGAAATAAGTCTATAAATTTGGAGAGAAATTCTAAACACTTTCGGGGAAGAAGAGGCAGAGAGATTTCTATAGATAAAACAAACATGAAATCATTTTGCGTTTGAGATCACTGATCTTGACTGCATCCCTTCCCACCAAAGCGCTGAGTCTTTTTTATTCTTCTACCTTTTTTTCATTAAATAATTTAATAAAACTCTTATTGTTTTTATTAGTATTATAATTGTATGCAGCAATTCAGAAAGTTTGGGATGGTCAGTTTGGTGGAAAGGGATACAGTCAATGTGAGACTCCATTCTATTAATTGATTCATACATTATTTCTAAGACTAAACACCTAATGAAAAATTTATATATTATTGAAGATGGAGAAACCAAAGTTCTGAGAGATTGTTATTAACCCATCTCTTTCTTAATCTACAGCTTGCATATTAGTAATCACATTCACAGTAAGAATAAATTTCAAGGACTGGCCAGTCTCTCACAGGTCATTTATTGTTTCTAATCTATCTAGAAGGCATGTAGATCCAGGAAGAACATTTAATTCTCTGTTGTGAAAGTTCTCAAAAATTCAAAGCAAGCTCTATGGCACTGTTTCACTTTTAACTTTTCTGAAGAGAAGACTATGAAAGAAATGAATGAGTCTAACTTTTGATCTTCTATCTTGACAGACCTAAGTCCCTCGAGCATCTCCTCAATATAAAAGAAAATAACTGGCAGCTTCAGGAACTTTGGAAGGACCAGTCTGATGCTGTACAATTAACCCTTCAGATTTCTTAGGAGAAAATCATCATGCAAATACTAATTATTCCAGTGGATAAATGACTCACAGCATGTGGATTACATGCATACAAGTGCATAATTCAACTGGGGGTGGAAGATGAGACCTTTTCTATTTTTCTTAAATTTGCTCTTTTTAGATATACGTGACAGTAGAGTGTATTTTGACATGTTATGTATGGAGTATGACTTTTTCTAATTAGGATCCCATTCTTGTGGTTGTACATGCTATGGAGTTCCACTGGTTATGTATTCATACGGGAACATAGGTAAGTTATGTCTGACTCATTCCATTGTCTTTCCTATTCCTATAGGTGAGAGCTTTTCTAGAACTCCTATGACAAAGGAGAATGTAGTGATCTGACCAACTTCTAATAGAACAAAGGATCAATTCTACTGTATCATCAGGAAGATGGACTTTTTCCTGAATAACTGTTATAAGCACTTAAGTATTCTAAAATCTAGGTTTCTTTTAATACAAAATATATAAATAATGTTATATTCTGGGATGCAGAACACATTTTATGATTTCCTTTATATACACTATGGAAAATTAGATTTCCCAAGGAAATCACCACCAATCAACTCTACTTAAACACACTTTATAGAAGATTTATATAAAATACAATTCCAAATAATGAAATTGCACAATACAGTTCTAGTGAAAGTTTAGTTCAAATAGATTGAACAAGGAAAAGAGTATATTTGATGATTATATATATCATATTTCCTGAGCTATTCCAAACTTCAAATAGCCTATTCTACTGTTGCCAAAAACTGTTGAAAGGACCCAGGGATTTCAGTAATCAGAATGAAATAATTTTATAATAGTCTTTTGTGTCAAAAGTGGTACAGAATTTTTTTGGAGCACTCATTCTTGCTTTTTTTGATACAGAATGGTAATGCCAAAGTAAAATATATTTTACAATAATAAATCATATATAGTGGTTGATCCAGAGAAGAGTTGCCTGGGAATCCAGGGTGGCCTGGCTCTCACAAGTGGGTTATGGCGCCCTCCTGTCAAATGTCAACAGTTTCAAAGAACACCAATATTAGATGAGATCACTCTGACTTTGATGGATCAAGGGAAAATCAAGAGTATGCTGTAATCATTCAGAACACAGAACAGAAATGAAAACATGAACAGCATCCAAACCACAAGCCTTACTCTGCCACATTCTCACCAATGTGGGCACCTTGTGCTGTTTTACCATTCATGCCTTTAGCTTTGTTTTGCTTACCTTGCCTTCTAGTTAAGAATCACGAAGATACTCATGTCCATACTTACTGCCAATCCAGAGCAAAACTGTACTTTCTTGGACCCTTCTGCCAATCACTTAATATAAGCAAAATTCCTGCAATAAGTCTTTTCCAACATCCTCTAAGAATTCCTCTAGTTACTTAATAGTTTGTGTTCTCTGTTATCATAATAATTAAACAATTCTAAATATATTCCCCTCCTCGGGGGTTTTGCTGGTCTTTGGGTAAAAGAAATTGACAGTAAATACAGAAGCATTATACTGAGAAACAAAATATATGTTGTTATAATAATGTCATTAATATCAGCTAAAATATATTGTTATAGGATAAACTAAAAATGGGGCCACTGATTTTGTGAGCCACCATTTAAGCACTGTCTCCATCTCTCCATTCTAAAAGCAATTGCATCAGGAAGCTACCTGAGTAACTAGAAAATAATCATATGTACTGAAATTAAATGGGAAATATCAACTTAATACATGTACAAATGTACACAAATCAATTAAAAATAAGAAAAGCTGAAATGAAAGGACTATATGTGAATATATCAACTCTTAAAATCACAAATAATGTATATATGTATTTTTAACTTGAAATTTAACATGACTTAGGAAGCTGCCACAGAATACTTTTACTAGAGTATATATGGATGCATTGCACATTAACAACAAAAAAAAAGAAGATACTTAATCACCCAATCATTTTTTCTTTCTTTATAAGAAATAAGTCTTATATTGATTTTATGCCTAAAATGCTCTGTTAGTGACCATTCCTGATGATTCTTGCCTGTACCATGTGAAATATTATAGGATACCACAATTAGGTAGTGCATTTCAAATCTGAATGCCATGCAAGTCACCTGGGGATATTGTTAGATAGCAGATCCTCATTCAACAAACCTATAGTGGAGCCCATTGTATTTTAATTGAGTTTACAGCAATAATATTTTGGTCCAAGGATCATAATAAGTAGCAGGAATAGACAAATTAAATGTCAAAAGGGAAGGCTGGGAAATTTCTGGGGCTAAAGCTCATGCCTAAAAATGTCATTTACTAAACAATAGTTGGAGCCAATGACAGGTCCCAACTTAGTGCCCAGAGAAGGCTGGGGATTAACAGTTGGGGTTCCCTGACAGCCTAAGGCTGCCCAGGTATTGTGAAGCAGCTGAATAATGAGGCTGCTTTCTGCTGCATTTTTTGTTATCCATACTCCATCAAGGTAAGACCAGAATATTCCTCTTCTGGGACTAAAGGTAAAAGCAACCTTTCCTTTATTGGGATTTCCCATATCATCTATTTTTCTCTATAACTCTGCAGTCTTCACTCACTCCCAAACATGCTCTCCATACTCCCCGGTAGATGGCCCAACTCAGGCTTTATATACAAATTCATGTTCTAGGTTCTAAAATTTCATAAATGGTTTCATTGAGGTTTCAGTTTGCTTTTTTAAAAAATCAGAGAAACCAAAACCTAAGTGCTGCTTAAGGAAAACCCAAGAGAATTTTGTGTCACCTATGTCATAGCCCTAAATCTAAGAGATGAAAGGGATCTGAAGCATTTGGTTTGGGAGATCTGGCACTCTGGTGGGATGTGGGACTCGCAGCCAGGGCTGTCATGGTGCTGCAGATAGGCCAACAGAGATGCTCCCAGGCTAGATGTAGCTCTGTAACTAGAATGGAGTTGGGCTGGTGTGATAGCTGGTGGAACTACAGGCTCAATATGACACTACATTCAGGACCCCCAGATTTTACTCTCAGATGGCTGCATTGCTCTTTTTGTACCCACTTAAACTAATTGTACTAGAATGTTAGTGTCAGCGATTAAGGACACCAAGGATTAAAAAGACCCATCCCAGGTTTCCCAAATGGCTCGAACCCATGGAAATTTTTAACTGTGTTGCTACTTGAGAAAATGGGGAGATCGTAAAGACACACACACTTAATTTGATATCATCGTGTATCTTTTACTAAATTTGCACTTATTATATTTACTACAGAAAGGATAACTTGACTAAGATCTGTGTGTCTAGGGGCTTATTCTTCATCCTTTCTCAAATCTACTATTCTGCTAGACTCTGGAGTATACCACAAAATGTTGATGTATTTAACTTCATTACAAAAACGTCTAGCTTCATATGACATGTATTCAAAATAAAGTCACAACAATTAGAAGCTCACAAAAATTAAAATAAAACAAAAAATTATGAAGCAATCACAAAGGATGTTTCTTATGATTCTTTATGCTGAATAGCCTCTTTTTTAGTTGACTGCTAGGCATTAAAATAAAGAATGATGGAGCTGGGCACAGTGGCACATGCATGTAATTCCAGAGGCTTGGGAGGCTGAGGTAGGAAGATCGCAAGTTCAAAGCCAGCCTCAGCAACTTAGTGAGGCCCTAAGCAACTCAGTGCTCAGTGAGACCCTGTCTCTAAATAAAATACAAAAAAGGGCTGGGGATGTGGCTCAGTAGTTGAGTGCCACTGGTTCAATCCCTAGTACCAAAAAAAAGAGAATCTACTTTTTGAGAATGGGAAGTTAGCTCATTAATTTAATAGGTCGAACACAAGAATTCCCAAGAGAAAAGTAAGATAAGACCAGAAAGTAAAGATAAATAGCTAAATCACATAGTTAGTAAGAGAGCTGGGACTGAAAGTAAGACCTGCTATTAACTCCTAAAAAGTGCAGGCTTTCCTCTCTATCATGGTGTGCTTACAGATTTTAGAACTTGGCATAATAGCTTGCGCACAGTAAGCTCAAGTTTGTTGAATTATTTTACCAAAAATGAAACAAGTATCCACTTGCAAGGGAAATATTAAGCTCGTGCAGCTAAATCAGACATGATTTAACATGATGCACTTTTGTTACTGCTCTCATGTCACTAAACAGATCTCTAGAAAACCAGTGGGGCAATTCATAGTTCATTCTAGCCAGACTCCTAATAATGTATCCAGAAATTAAAACATATATCTTTGAAACAAGTACAAAACATTTGGTTTTTATATTGGGGAAAAATGTGATTCATATAAATATAAGGAATATATTATAGTTTTTCCACTTGCCACAAAATATATTGGTAATCAGTTAAGTAACCTATAAAAAATAAAAAAAGATTATTTTTTTTTAAAGGATGCAATTACCAGTTTGAGGCTGTACAACTTTGGAATCTTCAGATGGTTTAGCTGTAGGTACCATCCATGGCTTTTCACTTGAAGCTATATTGGAAAGAAATAGAATTTCCTGAGTATTTGTTTTAAAGAGAAAAAGGACAGGAATAGATCACCGGTATGGTGAAGTGGTCACCAGAAGACTGCATCAAAAGTCATTAAGTATTGAGAAGAAATCAATATATGCCCATCCATACAGCATGCGATCAGTGGCTAGGGAGAGACGAGAGCTTCAGATCACACTCTCAACATTTTTAAGCACAGAAAACTAAGCAACTGAATTGCACCAAATAAATAGACTGATAATTTTTACTGAATGTGAAAAAATTTAATCAAATAGGATATTTTTTCTTCTCTTTTCTTTTTTTGTCAAAGAAATGACTTGTTTGCCTGAGTTAACAGAATTAATTAGTTCATCGAGGTTTGCAGAGCTAGGACCCAATAAATGTGTCCTACAGAATAAGCAATGCAAAGCCCTCATGCATGCTAGGTAAGTATCCTGCCACTGGGCTTCATTCCCAGTCCACCACCCACATTTTAAACATCAAATATAAGGTACATTTATTACCAAAAGTACTCCGTGGTTTCTCAAAAGGGAAGGGTGTTTTTGCCTCAGGAAAATCTGGAAGACTTTTTGGAGCTGTAATGAAACACACAGGACAGTTATGACTGGAGGTGCAAATAAGAGAAGAGACTTTCAAAATTTCAAGCTTGCAAAGTCAGTAAACACAACAGGAATGATTTCATGTCAAATGATGAATCTTTCTTACTTTTGTGTTTAAATGCACAGTAACGTAATATTTCTTTTCCAATATTTTCTAGTTAAGCCAGTATATCTGAGGTATATAAGCTATGCTTGTATGTGCTCTCAGGTATACTTCATTTCATTTTTTTTTTTTTGGCCCTGGGGATTGAACTCAGGGGTACTCGACCACTGAGCCACATTCCAGCCCTATTTTGCATTTTATTAGAGACAGGGTCTCACTGAGTTGCTTTGCGCCACGCTAAACTGCTGAGGCTGACTTTAAACTCATGGTCCTCCTGCATCTGCCTCCTGAACCACTGGGATTACAGGCATGTGCCACCACACCCAGCTTCATTTAATTTTAAACCAAGCACCAAATACATTTGAATTAGAAAATATCTACCTGATAGCTTTTAAAGGTAATTTTTGTACCTATGTGGTTTTATATATATGTTACTTCATCTTTTTAAATATTGCACTCATAAAGAAATTCTAAGCAATTAATCCTAAGAAATTCTAAGGAGTCTGTAGAAATATATCTACTCTATCAAGAGAGACAATTGAGTAAAAACAACTGTGCAGAAAATTCAATTTGTTCAATTAAATGACTATGAGTGAAAGAATCAAACATGAAAATGTGACCACTAAAAAGAAAAAAATATACACCAATGCATTTATCATATGAAGGGTCTCTTTAGGATTCAAAATTATACAGATTTTTAGCACATTTAAGGGCTTGGGTGTTGAGGAACTCATGGTTCTATAAACAATTTGTTCTTCCTTCTAGGGAGATGAATTTGTATGCAATAACCTAAGGATTTATATCAAGCATACATAAAATTTCCAAGGTAATAAATAATAAAAGTGCAGTGTTTAATCATTTTTACCTAGAGTGCTCAGGGGCAATTCAAACTTAGGCATTAGAATAGTTTGCAATGCTTCTGGAGTCCTTTCACTGAGAACTGCAATAAAGAAGAATGCAGTTAGCAACACCTTGAGTCATGACCTGATTTTGCTTCACCATGATCATACACAGCAACCTTCACAACACTCAAGTGCAAAAGCAGTTGATGCTTCATATGGCAAGAGGTGAACTGACTTTCAAACCTGGAAGAGTTATATAGCTGTTAAAATTTGAAGGATGTACTTTCAGAATATCAACATTACAAGTGCAGAATGAAATTCTTCAGGGGAAGAGAACAAACAAGCAAGTTAGATTCTCTTGGGAAAAAATAGCAAATATGAGTAACATGAAATTCTTATTAAATAGGAGGACTCTTTGGAGGATTCTTCCTGAGTTCAGTATGCAAAAGACTTCCAAAAGCCAATCTGAGCAGAAGGCGCGGACAGTCAAGACTTGCAGGCTTTTCCCACCCTTCCAAAGTTGGAGGTTGAAAGATGGTATTCTGTATATCCAACCCAAGAGACAGCTTTAAAAGGGCATGCAGTTAGCATCTAGCATCCAGCTCTGCCTAGAAGATCAGTCATAAGATCAAGGTATGTGTTACATCTTGGAAAGAAATGGCCTAGGAAATGGGAAAGTAACTGCCAGGAAATAGGGTGAAGGAGAAAGAGAGGAACAGTGGGGAGAGGAAAGGGAGGGAGGGGCAGGCTAAAGCACTGTGCTTACTTTTCTATGAAGGTTGGGAGATTTTTGCAACAGTCTTTTTGTTTAAGGGGGGGAAAAAGTTCTTAGAATTACCTAGTGTTGTTTCTGAAACATCTACTTCACTAGACACAGTGGGTTTAATGGTTCTGGGAACTATTTCAGGAATCACTGAAAGATTTAAAAAAAAAAAAAAAGGACAACTAATTAAGATAAATGATGAATCAATCAAAGGCCACAAGACATCATTTGTTGGCTTTAGAATTACCAGCTGATATTTATACAACCCATTTCTTTTCAGATCCTAATGTTAAGGACTTCCTGGCTTGGACCAGGTGCCTGGGCACTCTTTTCCCCACCTGTCCTTTCTGGACTTGGTCCCCTTTTCTTGTGTGTTCTGCAAAAGCACATCACACTGACCTCCGTTAAAACATTTATCGCATTAATTATTATTTTTATTATTTTTGTCTTTCTTTATCTCTAGGGCTTAGTGCAATGCTACAGTAAACAAGTACAGAGTAGTTTATTAAATAAATGGGCAAATAAAAGAATGACCTAAGGCTAAAAGATTTACTTAAAGCCCTTACATTATCGGATTTTTCTCTCAAACCACATCAAACTTATAAAGCTTGGAACAGGGTTGAAATTATGATCAGGACTCAAATACTCAACCACAGGGCTGTTCCAACTGCTAGGTTAAAGGCAGTGAACAGCTCAGGTAAATAATTTGGGTGAAAGAAGAACCATGGTTACTGAGATCTTGAATGAAATGTGAGCTAGAATTTTGCAGGGTAAGAACATGAAATAAACACAATACTGAATAATAAGTTGTGGTTGTTGCCTAAGTATTTCTAAAGTGGAAAATTCTGAGGAGGGTTTGGCAGAGAATTAATAAATCTGTAGACTCTCATCAGACACTGTGCTAAGAGAAGAAAGTACAACTTGGAAAAATGGGTAGAAGCTTTGAGGCAGAGAAGGACTTGGAATCACCCACTGGGCCATGTCTGGGCTCTTCTGGGTACTGACCAATTGTGTTGAAACCAGAACACTACCAGGAATTTCACCCAAGCCATTTATTTCAGTAGTCTTAAGTAGCTTCTACCTCGGTCCTATGAAGGTGGGGATGAAGGTCCAATCTCTCTTTAGGCAGGAATATATGTGCTCTGTCAGAAATATTCCTAATTCAATATGTTTCTTGATGCTATCTTATTACCACATCAATCATATCTTCTCTGGATCAGCTACAAGTCCAAAAGTTTGATACAAAGTAACTATAATGGATATTCCAAGTAATGGCAGTTTTGTGGATTGAAAAATTGACTTCAGATCGGAGTTACTTTGCTAAGTGTGGATTGTGGGAAATTCTTGGCAGAAGTTTGTTTGGATAAGGTGGTATAGCTCTGGCAAAAACTCTGTACTTGAGATATTAATGTATCCCCAGAGGACTAGATTGGATAGTTTCATTGAGAGAAGTTGAATGTTTATTAGTAACAGTGATAAACTCTGGGGAATATGTTTACTACATTCATTCTTTAAAGTATTTTTGTTGAACTATCATATTTTCTTTATACTAGGTTGTTCATCTCCCAGGTGCATTTGTTTCTAAGTGATTCCAGGGTATTTTCACAGCTATCAAGCTAGAGGCTTGTGACAGATATAAAGCAGTTTTGCCAAACAGACCACTTGTGAAAGGAAAGCAATGAAAAATGGTCTCAGGTTTTTACAGGAAAAAAAAGCACTAAAACCATGGTAATACATTTTAGTGTAAAACTATTTTAATGCCAATGTAACAACTTTCATTTAAAGTAAAATATACAACTTACATATTATCTAACACTTCATGATTCAATCATTCATTTCTCAAACATTAGAGACCTAGATCCTCCTCTTGTTTGGGGATCAAAGTAAATTTCCTACTATGTCTTCACTGAAAAAAAAATAGAGACTAGTACATAATTCACTTTGAAAAAAAAATGTTACTTCTTTTCTCAATATCAACAGAAGGATCTCATCTCATTACCTGTAACTGGCTGTGCTGGGATTTTTTCAACCTCTGGTGTTTTAGATTCAGCAGGTAATGCCAAAGTTTCATTCTTGGCTAAAAAGTAAGAGTACAAACAATTTACCTCACTTCCTTATAGTACAGTGTCCCATAACACCTTGATCAAAACACCATCAAGTAATAAACCATTTTAAAAACTAAACATACATCCCTTTTTACCAGTCAACTTCATTGTATATTTCTACCAGGATCTAGTATGAAATTTATTTTATGAAATTTCAAAGTATAGACTTTGAAATTCCTTCTTCTTAACCCCAGCTAATTGTGTAAGATTTAAGTTGCCATCAGCATGAAGAAAAAGTGCCACTACAATACTTGGATAAATCTTGTCATTCTGATTCATAAATAGTTTCCTGAAGGTATAAGTTTATATTACAAAAGTTCCTCAAATTTTTATATTTAAGTATGCTTAATTTTTTAAAAAAGAAATCAATAAATACAAATTTTCCATTATTATATATGGTAAAAAAAAATATAACAGGCCACGGCATTAATTTTGAAAAAACACAAATAACTGACAAAGAGAAATAAGTTATTTGGAAAAAATTGTGTCAAAAAAAAAAAATAAAGAACGAACAGTAACTTTTATTTGAGCCACATGTTAACATAGATCTTTTCTTTTGGTCTCTGTGGGAATTCAGTGCAAAGAATGAAATTACTTTTTTCATTTTTTCCTCCTCTTTATGCAACTATTTGGGAAACTTCCTTCTAAAATTTGGGTGTCCTTTTTCAAAGAAAGCATATTTCTAAACTAGACTTTTCCAATGATTAAGACATTCTCCAATTTTAAAATGTTCTTGGGATTAACTCTATTCAATTATTTAGCACATGCAATCTGTGACCCACTTATAGTATTTTGAACTAGTTTAGTGACATACAAGAATTCATGCATTTTTTTAGATACCATGATCATACCACCTAGAGCTGATTAAAGAATCAGATAGGATTTTGTTGTTGTTTTGAGTGTCCAAAGGCTATGAAGAACTTGGGTTTCTCAATAGTGGCACTGTCAACATTTGAGGTTGGATAGTTTGTGTGTTGGGGAGTGCTGCCCTATTCATTGCAGGACAGTTAGAAGCCCCTCTGTCTTCTACCCACTGGATTCCAATAGCACTCTCACCACTGTGACAAGCAGAGATGTCTCCAGACATTGCTAGATACTCCCTGGGGTAATCACCTGATGGTAAGAACCACCTATTTAATTTGTTCTCTCAAAGTTTTTTGAATGTGCAAATTTTGTAACCTTCTTCTATAGTTCACATTACTCTTATGAAGACCATTTTCTTCTTTTTAGTTAATGTGGGCACATTAAATTTAGTTATTTACTTAAATTAATGACAATTAGAAAGCCATCTCATTGTTTAACCCGTTGGTGGCTTTCTAATTGTCTAATCACTTTTCCATATATAATGGAGGTGATTCCTTCAGAAAGCTTATTATTCTCAGGCAGGATCTGAAAGCTGTCAAATGGTAACATACTTGCCACCCATTGTGGAGTGTGTTTTGTACACTGCACAGCCTGTTTGCACAACAGAAATAGTTTATTATCAATATTCATAGTTGGCTAGCATGGCATAAAGAAAAAGGATTCTCTTCCATAACTAAAACTAGACCCAGTATAATTTTATAAAATATATATATATATATATATATATATATATATATATATATATCTTTATATTTTAATTTCTAAATTTTACTAACATTTTCCTGACATCTTTTGTAAACAACTCTTGTTTAGAACTGTTTCTGATGATTATATGAAGAAACATTCAGATTACAAATTTTTATTTTTCATGAGGTCTGGTTCTGGTATTTTAAATACGCACTATAGGAAGATTTGTCTTTGTTTCTTTCTTTCTTTCAAGGTAAAATGAAAATTTCCTTTTCTTTTTTCCAGCGTCTTTTTTTCTATCAGGGTGATTTGTGCTAATTTTCTCCCTATTAATATCTTATGTTCTCAATGCTTCTCTGCCTAAGACTCTTCTCCATTTTTTCAAACCTTCAGATCCTAGACTTATGCTCCAAACTGCTTTAGCTCCTTATATTCAATACAAGTCCTTGGTTTTCAATTATGTTAACCCCAAACTAGACTTATTGGGGGAAAAAAGGCAAACTACCTTTCCAAGAGATATTTGTATTTTTTTTAGACTTTCACTAATTCCTTATAAAGACATATGTTATTTCTAAATCTGGCATTTCAGAAGTCAGAGAAATTGGGAGACAGAGAAGATACTTAAATGGGGGAATCTTGACCTCTCCTGTCAACCTGTGAGTGTTCACTAACACTATGCAGTCACAGCAATAGGAAAATAAAATGCCAACTAAATGCAACCTAAGATTCAGGAAATTCCTTTTCCTCCATTATTCTTCTGTACCTTTTTCAGCATAGTTGTTTCCCTTAATATTTGGCAGGCTAAGTCTTGGCTTTGGCAAACCCTTTGAATATCCCTTGGAGATGAGTGTGTAATACTCGCTTTCTTGTTTATTTCTTTCATTATTCACACCATGTGTTCCTAGAACAAAAGCTATTACATCTCTTGATGTCCCGTGATGGGTTCTGCTGGAATAGGGATATTATTTTTGGAATTTACTCTCTTAAAAAATACAACTTTTCTGGATTGCAGTGATAATTAACTTCAGGAAAGTTTATTTCTCCCTTGGTAGTATAAAAAACTGTTTATGCCCAGGCTCTTTTTGTAAAAACATTGTTTCTGCGCAGAAAAGGAAACAATCAACAAAACGAAGAGGAGTCTAAAGATTAGCACACCATGTACCTGATAAGGACTGGTATCCCAAACACATAAAGAATTCATACAACTCTGTACTGTTCTGCCGCACACTAGAATGACTATTGTTGACAACAGTTTATTGAATATTTCAAAACTAGTAGTAGAGAGGATTTTCAATGTTCCTAAAGCAATCAAGTGCACTAGGGTGATAGATATGCCAGTTACTCTTACTTGATCATGACACATTAAATACATGTGTTAAAAGGTCATATTTTTCCCCATAAATATGTATAATTAGTATGTGTTGATTAAAAATATTTTTAAAAAATAGAAAAAAATAATCTGAAGTAAATTGGGCAAAGACTGAAGAGATGACACAAAAATGGTCAGTGGGAAATGTGATGAACATCACCAGTCATTAGAGAAATACAAATTAAAAACACAAGAGATCATCTCAATAGGATGGCTATTACCAAAAAGACAAGAGAAAACAAGGAGGTAGAGAAAGGAACATTTAAGTTGTTATAATCATTATGGAAAATAGTATGAAGATGATTCAAAAAGTTAAAAATAAAGCTATCATTTAAGGTAGTCAGCAATCCTTCTAAGGGGTAAATGCCCAAAGGAAACGAAGCAAGCACTTCAGAGATAGATGCACCTCCATCTCCACTGAGGCATTATTCACAGCATCCAATATATGGAAACAACCTAAGGATCCACTGCAGATGAATGAATCAAGAAACTGGTATCTAGAAACTAGATGAATGAATCAAGAAACTGGTATCTACACATGATGGAATACTATTCTGCTTTTGAAATGGAGGAGATTTCATTGTTTGTAACAACTTGAATGAAGTTAGAGAACATTATACTACGTAAAACCAACCAGGCACGTACAGAAAAATACTGTATGATCTTATTGATACGTACCATTTTTTAAAAAATTCAAATACATAGAGAATAAAATGGCAGATAGCTGGGGGGGGTGGTTGGGATAGGAAGTGAAGAAATACAGGACAGAAAGTAAAAGGTACAGATGATTAAGTTCAGAAATACAAGATTCAACCCAAAGATTACAGTTATAATATTGTACTATATGCCAGATATTTGAAAAGAAAGTAGATTTTTGGTGCTCCTATCACACACACAAGAAAGGTAACTAACTATGAAAGGGGATGACTGGATATTAGTTGATGTGACTATAGTAACTATTTCACTAAATATATGTATATCCAAACATGTTTTATACAATAAAAGATTAAAGACAAATTTCATGTCTTTTTTTTGAAACATGATCTGTTAGGATAATACACTTGATAGAATTTTCCTTGGATATACTGGATATTTTCAAACACACTGAGTATTAGTCTCTTCAGTGCAAAAGAAATTTTTCATATGCTAAGTTTAAGACAGGTATTTTCCCAGAAATTTTGTTTAAAAAGATACTTCCTATTTTTATTTACACATTTATTTGCATTTTTATTAAAATAGCACTATCCTGAATCATACAAAAAAAAAAAAAAAAACCCCATCCAATATAATTCCCTAAGTTAGAAAAAGCACAAAAGGCTGAGTTCATATTAAGGTAGCAAGTACAACTTGGCAAAAAAAAAAAAATGAACAGGAAACATCACTCAAGACTAAGGAATAAAACATAGCATCTTCTGGTTCAAAAGTGGCACCAGTCGTCTGGGAAGCAACTTTGACCATCCTTCACAAACCCTGATCTTTGTAGTTTTGGTGAACACATTAGGGACAAAATGAAAATGAGATTGGTTGGGTATTTTTCCTTCTCCTTCCAAAAAGTCCTTCCCAGAAACAGGGTGAAAAATTTAGTCTCTGGGCAGAGAACAGATGAGTGCAAAAATCCTGGATTGTATACTTTCATCTACCTAAGGTTTTCCTCCTTCTCTTTCCAGAAACTTCTTAAAATTAATACTTGAGAGAAACTTAAGATTTTACTTTTTAAAACTCTTACTGGTTGCCTAGCATTGAATGAGAAAAATATAAAAAAAATTAACTTCCATATCCTAATAATTCTACTTATGCAAAATTTAAGGGGTCTAGATATTTGAAAAACACGTAGAGAGATGGAAATTGCTGTTTTCATTTTTGCCTAACTTGAGTTGCTTGGCTTTGTGTGAACAAAACTGAACATCTCCTCATGATACTGTTTTCCAAAGAAAAAAAATTGGAAAAAAGTTCTTAGAGGAAATGCTTTGAATATTTCCCTATTCAGTATTATGTTGGCTATGGGTTTGTCATATATAGCCTTTATTATAATGAGGTATGCTTCTTTTATAG